ATAGATAAACTATAGGACAGACTCCTAGGTACTAAGTAGTTTACAGCGATTAACATTAGGGACACCTACTATCAAATCAGAATAAAGGAGGGTGAAGAATAGAAGACGGCGTTTAAAACACGTTAAGGACTCTATAAGTACCAAGTCATGCCTTTCGGATTGACTAACATACCCGCCTCTTTCTAAGAGCTAATCAACAATACCTTAAAGGAATATCTAGATATGTTTATCCTTGTATACTTAGACAATATCCTGATATTCTCTCAAACCTATAACAAATATATGGAGCAGGTTTAAAAGGTGCTTAAGAAACTACAACAGAAACACCTCCCGGTGAAACTCAGCAAATACAAATTTTATAAGCATGAGATAGCTTTCCTCGGCTACCTTATATTAGAAAAAGGATTAGCTCCAGATCCTACGAAAATACAATCTATTAAGGAATGGCCCAGGCTACAGAATGTTAAGGAAGTACAGTCGTTTGTAGGACTTGCTAACTACTACCACAAGTTTATCTTGGGGTATTCTCATACAACTACTCCTTTAACAAACCTCACAAAAAAGGATTAACGCTTTAACTGGACAGAAGAATGTGAACAGGCCTTCAAGGCTATCAAGGAGAAAATAACTAAAGCTCTGATACTCACTATCTTTAACCTAGAAAAGGAAGCCATACTTGAAACAGACGCCTCAGACTATACAGTCAGTATATGCCTTACTTAGAAAGGGGAGGATAGAAAGAATAGGCCAGTGGCCTATTAGTCCAGAAAGATAACCGGACCCAAGTTAAACTATAACATTTACAACAAGGAACTCTTAGCAATAGTGGAAGCTTTGAAAGAATAGAGAGTATACCTAGAAGGGACCAGTTAACCTATCCAGATCTTTACTGACCATAAAAACCTTCTATATTGGACCACAATAAAAGAGCTCAACCAGAGGCAAGTTAGATAGGCAGAAACGCTTGCAGTATACAACTTTAAAATCACGCACATTAAAGGAACGGAAAACAGATGTGCCGATGCCTTAAGTAGACAACCTGACTATACAGAAGGAACTAGGCCCGCACTAGCCTTAATACTACAGTAGGAAGGAGACAGCCTAATATACAGAAAACCTTAAACATTGGTAACTATAGAAATACAACTAAATAAATAACAACACCAGGAGGTTATACGCGATAGGCATAATATCAAAACAGCAGGGCATCCAGGTGTCAACAAAACAATTGAACTTATAACTCAAGACTTCACCTGGCCCAGCTTAAGAAGAGATATAGAAACCTATATTAAAAACTGCGACTTGTGCGCACAAACTAAATACAGTCAGTATAAACCCTATAGATTACTACAATCTTTAGAACTACCAGACAACACATAAACCTTAATCGCAATGGACTTTATCACAGATCTACTAAAATCCGCACATCCTCTCACAGGAGTAGAATACAATAGTATCCTGGTAATAGTTAAAAGACTGACAAAGTGGGCATACTTCATACCATTCTTAAAAACAGCGACAGCAATAGACTTTGCTCACGTTTTTATAGAAACTGTCTTCGCACAGCACAGAATGCCAAAAGAAATCATATCAGACAGAGACAAGCTCTTTACATTGCAATTTTGGCAGTCGTTAACAGACCAGTTAGGAACAAGACATAAGCTATCAACAGCATTTCACCCACAGACTAATAGATAAACAGAGAAAACAAACCAAGTCCTTAAACAATATCTACAGTGCTATTTAGACTATAAACAAATAAAGTGGGTTAAGTTATTACCAACAGCACAGTTTGCATACAACAATTCAGCAGGGGCAATAGGGATCTCTCCTTATTACACAAACTACAGAAAATACCTAAGACTTCATAACCACAAACTAGATATAAAGCCAGTAGTAGAAAAAGCAAAAATATTAGTAACACACTTACAAACAATGTATTAACTACTTAGAGACAACCTACAGGAGATTTAAGATAAAACAACAAAATATGCAAACAAAAAGAGAACTGGAGGATTAGTCTTCTCAGAGGGGGAGATGGTTTACCTCCTACAAAAAAATATAAAAACACAGCGACCAAGCTTCAAACTGGATTACACTAAACTCAGACTATTTAGGGTTATCAGAAGGACAGGAAATGTCAACTATTAACTCAGACTTCTAAAAGAGATAAGGATACACAACATATTTTACATGTCACTACTAGAAAAAGCACCACAAAACATTAAGACTCTAGGACCAATATATATTCACAAGGAAACACAGGAACTATATTACAAGGTCAATTGTATTATGGGAACCCAACTTATCAACAGGAAGCCACACTATTTAATTCACTAGAAAGGATATAAGTATACAGAAAATACGTAGGAACCAGAGGAGAATCTTACTCAGGAGGCTTTAAAGGACTATCGCCAGGACCTGAGGCGGCGACAACCAGGTCTGGTAGTTGAGGTTCCTTAACACCAGCTAAAATCCAACTAGACAGCTCCGAACTAAGGTTGAAGTTCAGAGGAGACATCACAGCTAGCAGCTTAGGGTCGCCGGTAAAAGTGTTAAGCTCCTCAAGAGCTCGGGCTTCCTCCTTAATTATCTTTTCTTGGCGGTTATAGATTTTGTCCAGTTTCTTGTTGAGGGAGTTATACTCCTTTTAGAGAGAGAGCAGCTCCTAGATAAGACTGGTGAGACAGGAACGCGCTTCAACCTTCTTACAGAGAAGGTCGGTTTTCTGGTTTTCCAGCGTATTAAACTCAGCATTGGAAAAGGTGCCCCCACAAGCGACATTCTTTTGTAAGCAGCATAAGCAACGTAAAGCACCCTTCTGAACAATGCAGTGGGACCCAGAAGAAACACACTGAGGGTAGGGAGCTATTGCAGGGAGACCGGTTTGGTTGATCTTATTAGCAAGACATTTTCGGCGATCAGTAGAACTAAGCTTAGCAGTGCGGACTAGAGGCATATTCAGCCATAAACAAGGGTTTCGTGTGGAACAGGAGGGACTCACTTACTTATAGGTATTAAGGACAACTAAGGCTTAGGAGGGGGAAAGTGTTACGAATCACGTCCGCAACCTGACCGAGGCCAGTGGCTGCAGGGACACTAGGGCCCAAGGGGAAGGTTACCCGGAGGAGGACTGAACCCCATAGAAAGCCATACCCTAGGGACAAAAGAACGGTTGGTGAGTCACGTGACACGCTCTGTGATCTGGGGTGCTCCCGTTCTCAGAGCAACAGATCACACAGAGCGAGACAAGCTACACAGCACTATATAGAGGGACGACCCGTCCCGACACTAGATAGGACTCTCGTAGTCAACTTCATATATTGATTCGCTCTATACACCAGTAGTACAACTGCTACTATTAGTTCCTACGTTTACTTTGGCCTAGCCCTGACCCTGATACTATCCCACCAGCTGCTAAACCCAGTTTGGACCCGACGTTTGGAGCGGTTCATAACACACAGCTTGCTAAACAGCCTGTGGAGTAGTAATAACTGCTAGAGTATAAAGGGAAGTGTGACTAATATTTAGAGGTGTATACAGCTAGCTATACTCCTATACCAGTATAGCCTCTTATTAATTACAAATATAATTAGCATCTTAGGGAAGTATAAGACCCTGCACCTAAAGTCCTAGTTATAGTAGTGTCTAGGGAGGTTCAGGAACCTCACTAGTATGTATAATTCTCTTATTATGTTATAATTGCTTAAGTTAGGCTTGATAGCGTCACTTATAGTAGCGGCATAAGCAGTGAGCGGCCAGCTCACAATGGTGAATTACAGCGGCTTCCTCTGTTGCAGAAGATTCACCACAACTATGTTTTAACGCCATCCTATCTATGGGCCCAAGAATCTAGTAAAGGATTATCAGAATTTTTAGAACTATTATATATATAATTAGAAATGGTGTAAGGCTATTACTATATACTGTAAGACCCTTGGACTGTTAGGTAAAGGATTACTCTAGGGCAGCAGCGTCACGCTCTTAGCAGTCTAACCCCAGCACTATCACGCTCTTAGCAGTCTAACCCCAGCACCGTCACGCTCTTGGCAGAACCCTCACTGTAGCCCCAGATCGGCTAACTTCAACGCCGACCCTAGCGACAACCACATATACCACACCTTCGACAAGAGTATCATTGGAAAGCCTGAGTCGGGCTCCGCCCTTTCGGGCTGGTCTCGCGTCGCTTACGCGCCGTTCAACCTCTACTGAATCTCTAATCCGTAAGCCCAGTCTCTCCCGTATAAGCGACGCCGTCAGCTTTAGTGTTTTCATCTCTGCCGCTAGCAAATCGACCGGAACAGGCGGAGTGGGTGTTGCTGAGAGTAACGTGGTCGTTATGTTGGTTATAGGCCTGGATGATACGACAGTACTAATAAGATAAAATGCGCACTGGAAGAGAGGAAAGACGACGGCCGCCAGAACGGTCGCGGTATATTAACTGGGCGCAAACTGCACGATAAATTCTCACGAGAGGTGGTGTGAGGAAGGGATAGGCACTCACGTTTATCAACAGGTGTTAAAATACGTGCCCCTCTCCGCCGCCATGACGAACATGTCGCTTCTACATGGTTGTAGCGTGGATTCGGTAGTAGATATTATCTAATTGTGGTAAGAAGATCTCGTCGTATTTCTTAGACTGGTTGCTGATGTTAACAGTAGTATTAAGCACCATATTAGAAATGATGATTAATCTGGTCCAAATAGTTGGACAAGGTAATGAGATTGCGCGCGACAACCGGGCGAAGATCGCGCCATCTTCACCTTCTGGTTTAGCATCAACGTGCCGTATCCAGGTCCTTCTGACCAACTGTGCGGTCGCCGCGCTGCCTATAAAACAAAATACTGGCTTTATTCAAGATCAAACAAATGCTTCTGAGTGATCGTTGGATGGTGCGTGGCGCCTCCGACACTTCGAACACGGATGCACTAATGGATGTATAGGCTTCGAACCTTCCCATAGCTCACGTCGCAACATCTAGTTAAGGTAGCTAACACCTTTACTTAGACTCGCTCTCTTGTTCTTGGGCTTTATAATCAATTCTCCCGAGCCCTTTGTCATCCCACACCAGCTTGATAAGTAGCGCAATCGATCCTGCAACGAACATGAATGTGGTCATAACCGCAAAGCCCACAATATACCGAGGTGCATCCTGGGATGGCCAGATAAATGAACCGTATACTGAGGCCAGATTGCCTGGGGACAAATTAGCACCCGAACGCGAGACCCTAAATGGTTGAGCGTTCTCACCGAAGCCATTAATAACAGGCACTGAAACTGCTCGCCGCTCTCGCCCTGGAAACATAGTAACTTCCCAGCTAATTAATAGAGGTACGCAGCATTGCACTCCAGCAAAGCCGAAGCAGATAAAGGCGTAGCGAACAGGGAACTGCGTGGCAGCTGCGCAAATAATAAATGAGACGATTGCGAATACGCAGCAACCAACGACGTGGTAGGCTTTCTTTCCCGTAAAATCGGCTGAGAACCCCATGGCCAGGTTAAAGACCAGAGTGACCGTGTAGATTGGTACAGTCATAACTAGAAGCTATTAAGTTCAAGCCATATCCATGTGATTTCGACTTACATTGCACCATGCGGCCTGAATAACCCAAAGCTCCCATTAGCGTAGGAAAGAAGTACGACACTGTACCCGCAGCAAGAATCGTGTTGAGGGATAGCATAAAAAGCTTTTAGCATTAGTAGCCTTCCCATGTGTGAGCATTACGTTCACTCACCCACATCTTCGGATCCCTAATCGATAGACTAACAGCCTTCTTAAAGGGCATCTTATCGTCGAGGTCCTCTCGAATCGCCAAGCGAGTAGTCGCCAATCTCCTTTCGTCTGCAGAAAGCCATTTGGTGTTCGTAGGATAGTCTATAAATCTTAAGCTCCACGTATAATATCACGACAAGGGAGAATTACCTGGTAGCAGGAAGTATGCAATAACGCCAACTACCACGGTTCCAAGGCCTTCAATGATAAACAGCCTAAGTTCGGCTCTGTAAGCACTTCTCGTGAAATAGAGAGGATAAACAGTGTCATACCATTTCCAACCACGCACGCCTCCAATATTGTCCATACCGTCAATGATACCGCCAGCAAGCAAGCCGCCGAAAGCACCAGCTAAAATCGTGCCGGTGTAGAATATTGCAATACGTTTCGATAGTTCAGAAGGCTGTAAGTTGTTAGTGGCAAGCTTTTGCTAGATACTGCGGAGTGACTTGCCTTATACCAGCAAGATAGCACAAGCATGACCTGTACCGGGTTAGCCAGGTCGACAACCATTGGCTTCTGGGCATAGAGAAGCTCACTCCAGGAAAGAATCCTGCTTCTAGGAAACCAAGAACGATCCGGAAGGCAATCATGCCACCTAAGCCATGGATTCCTTTCACTGCAACAGATACAGCACCCTGTGATCGGATTAGACCTTGCCCAAGCTCTCCTCCAAATTCCTACATACCCATGCTATCATGATGGTCGGCAGGAAGATACTTGGTTTTGTTCGGGCCAGGACCATGACCGCAGGAGGCTCGAAAAGCAGGTATGCCTGAAATCGATGTTAGGGACGAACAGACATTTGCGGATCGTTAGACCTACCACGAAGAAGATGGACACGATGAGGGAGTAATCAGAAGAGCTCAGGTCGAGATCCGTCTCCATGCCACCGACTTTGGCGTTCTATCACGGCATTCAGTTCCAGAATCCTCTTGCTGGATAGAAGATAGGTTCACTTACTCCAATATTGGTACGGTCAAGGTAATTGAAGACGTACATTGCCCATAAAATCGGAATCAGGTGGTAGTCAATCTTAGTAACTAGCTTCTTCTCCTCCACCGTTCCCTCGACGTACTCAGCGCCCGCTGTATCGACATGCTTGGATCCGTCACAGAGTCCGAGTTCGTGATCGCGATGCTGGAAAACAGCTTTATCGTCCAGGGACATGATTTAAACCAGCTGTTGTTCGAGAGAGATGTCGATCTGTGTAACAAGGTCGGGGAAGCTGAAGCATGAGTGTAAATACACCGCACCACGAGCAAGTCGAGTCTTTGTAGTCCTCCCGAAAACCACCTCCCCGCGGGGCCCCACGAACCAAAGTATGTAGGCGTGGATATGTCGACCTACGGCTCCACATCGGTCCGGCGGATTTACCAAAGAAGTTCGGGTAGATGCGGTCCTTATAGAAGCGTCAGCCAATGGTGAGGGGACTTTACCCTTTCTATAAAAGGCTTGGCCTTTAGAAATGACCGCAAAATGACCGCTACAGTGGTTCACCCCAACTTCCGCTAAGCTTTATGTATGGTGTGGAGTATAAGGCCACATTCAAACATGTGCGTGGCTCTCCCCATCACGGTATAGTTCTAGGCGAGTTCGCTATTTATATCTTTCTCTTCAGCTATAATGTATGGATATAGGCTATACCACCAAGCCTTGGAGTTATTCTTCTATCATTCGAACGGCACTGGGGTAAAGCCGCCCCAAAAGTCCCTATCGTCGTAGTTGAACAAGGACGCGAAGACATCGGATGACGGCATTGTTGACGAATTGTTGTCGTTGTGCTCACCATTTAGTGGCACGTGAATGTCTGGACAGTCTTGCTCCGGCCCAAAGACGGCGTCCATATCAGCTGCCAGTTCTTGTAGCGGCCGCTCTGGAACGAATGGTGATTCACCGGTGCCGAGAAAAGCGGGAAATCCATTGTTATGGACTTTTGAAGGCTCGGTATAAAGCTCTGATCTGATGTTGAGCTCGGCTGATTCGCCAATACCAGGTGAGGTGGGACGGGTGATCGCTGGGGTTTGGATTTCTTGATCCCGGTAAATGCGCTTTAGTAGTCCATCCAGGGCCGTTGAGTTTCGGACGGCAGGATGTCTAGGATCCATAGAAGCTCTCGACATACAGCTAATTAGACCGCGAATCAGGTGGAGTATAGCTCTTTTCTGTGATGCTGGCAAAGGGACGACCACGACCGCTTTGAGCAGAAAAACACCCGCATGCGTGAAAAAGAGAAAGAACCGCAGAGGAAGGTGCGCTAGAGCCTGTAAGACGTTATATTGGCGTTGTAGGTGATTGAGAGTGGCGGCAACATACCCCAGAAGCTTGAAACCTGCCAATGGCCAAGCGCAACACGTCAGCCTAGACATGAGACGGTCTTGTTAGATTTCACCAATATGAATAAAGCAGGAAACATACTCCTGCATTCATTGCCTCGATGATAAAGCGTGCATCGACGCTACCCATGAGACCTGTCGGAAAATAGTCAGTCGGTCGGCGTCCGTCGTTGCAGCTGTCAGCTCGATGCATGTGCCCCTGCAAAGAGAACGAATAGATGTATAGACGTAGGTGATGCTATGAATGACAGACGTAAGCCTATATCTCGACCAAGAAATACATTGAGTGCTCAAGGGACTTTGATGCTTACAAACGATATCCAAACACATTCATTGATTGGTTGCGTTTGCCAGGACTTCTTCTGCCATCTGTTTCGAAATGCATATAGCGCTGTTTGTAATCATGTTAGGAGAATGTATCCTCTGTAAAGCAGGGTTGTTCTTTCGCACCATCCGTGAAGCCATCGATATGTTTGTAATAATGCTCGGCCTTCGCGATTGCAAACGAGTGGCTTTTCGACGAATACAACAAATCATGAGCATTACTCAAGATCTGCGTAATATGCATGAGACACTGCAAGTATGCAGCATGATCATCTTGAAGACCTTGAATCTGTCGCATTTGAGGAAAGTCATCACCTGCATCGGAGTGCAAATGTTGGATCGTCATTCCTGGACCTATTTGCTTCGTTAACCATGTCCGCCAAACTCTTCAAGTAGCTTAGCCTCAAAGAGCTGGCCTACTCACTCCGATGCCAGAACGGTTTCCCAACACGAATTGATATCTGTCGATCAAGTAAGAAGCAATCTAAATTCCAGTCAATATACCGGCCTGCCCGTTAACAGTCAGCTGCATTTAGGAAACCAACTCACAAGACCATACGACCTTCCCTCTTTGCCGATCTTCGGTGATCTTCTCCTCAACGTCATCGGGCTGCATGACAAGCTGTTCCAGGCCCATCATATAGCCTAGTCTAACAGCCTGCGAAGTCGTGTGAGCATTATAAAGTTACTAACACAACAAGCTCACGTACAGTGCCGACTGTCATCCAGCACATTCGATCCTCGAGTCTTAACTTAGTAGTGTGACCAACGTTGGGTGGATACTCTAAGATACATATCAGCGTAACCTACTCGAGATAGAGGCCCTATACCTGATAGAAGCAGCAGTCCTTCAAGCATATCGAGTGATTCGTTTGTACCCCTTATAGCAACTTGGGCAAAGAGCCGCTCGACCCTCTGCCATAGGTATTGATGTAGTGTGTGCTCTCCCAAGAGACCCGAAGTCACTACCAAGATAGCAGCCATTAAATGCTCCTCACGTGCAGCCATAGCAAGGATATGCTCTGATAGCTTTGGTTTTCTATCTTGCGGTATAAGCGGCATTATTGGATGGATTGCGCTAAGATAGAAGTTGAACAATCTCAGAAGAGTTGCTTCTTCTATGAGACCTTCTTGGAGCAAGAAGAATTGCGTCCTGGAACTGTCGTTTCTATTTGTGTCCCTGTTTAAGGTGCGTTGAGGGTTGAATCCTGTACGATCTTGGTCCAAAAGTCGTATAGCATCCGAAGTATTCCTCAAAGGGAAATTTGCAAGGCTCTGACTGGCTAGCTGTTGATCATAGCTTGGTTGCTGCTGAGCGACATTACTGCGCCTTGAGTCAGATAATAATGTTGTCGCATCTCTATAATCTCCAACCACGGGCTCAAACGACCCCATGAAAGCTTGCCAGGAGACTTGTCCATCTTGGCTGGAACCCGGGGGCACATCAATACTGGCGCTCTCAGGCGGATGGTCCACTGATTGCGCGTCACGCTCTGTACCTTGCCTAGGTCTCTTCGGTGGTCGACCTTTGCGCTTCTTTGGCGGGAGTACTTCATGGAGGTCAGCGTGTCAATCCACGGGAGTGGGCCGTGTCAAGTACCACATGCTGTGTTGGCTCTGCGACACGCATCACAAGGCGGCGTAGGATAAGCGGGATCTCCTAGGCTGCATTTGTGTTTCTTCTGTCGGCAGCTCTCGCATGCCTGGTACACCCGCCTGAAAGATGGACCCGCAGTCAAAGCATCCACAGAAGGACCTAGCTCAGCCCGTAGAGATTTGGCACCGGGCATTTTACGCCAGCAGCATCGCCGAAGCGGAGATTTAGGTAGAACGGGACGAGGTCAGGAGTTGCTTGGATGAGTCCGCTGATACTCTCCAAGGCCGCATCCTTCCGCAGATCCTCAATGGTAGAAGCAGCCGATCGTCTAATTACAGACAAATGAATAATGCAATTTGTGTAGTGTCTAACATTTGAAAATGGAGGCTTCACCCTAGCTGGGTCCTTCCTCCAATACGCCAAAAATCCAGGCCAAGACATTAAACAACCGAAAGTAGCCGAGGCTCGCATTCTGCTGACGTAGTACTCACTGCCTCGCTGCGTTGAAGGCAGGTCAGATTTCAAACATGTTTCCTCTCCACCACACGCATGGGAAGGCCGCCTCGAATGCCCTAAATACAATGTCTTTAATGCACTGCAACAAGCTTAGTAGCTAAGGTCGGAAGACTTACCATATTCATGGCAGCAAGTGGCTCGTACGTCCTACTACCATTAGATAGAATGATCTCGAAGCGCTGGAGAATCGCGACTGTGATAGTAATGCCTTCGTAAGTGGCAAGCGGTCGACCCAGGCAGCTGCGAGGACCAGCATTCCAAGCGTGATATTCTGTGCGGACCTTCGTTAGTTGAGCCACTGTAAAGACAAGACGAAATGCATACTAAATGGACTGAAGGAGATATTCTCCCCATTGTCTTTCAGCCACCGGTAAGGATTGAAGACAGCAGCATCTTCGCCCCAAATTTCAGGCATCCGAGCCATAACATAATTCTGATAGCTGACGACTTCACCTCTGTTACGCATGTAAGTATTTATCACGGCTTGAACGGGGTGGTGCTTACTTTCTGACGCGACGAGCAGGCATGTTTATCTCAGGCACTGCGGGAAGAATGTCATTCTCGGCAGCTTCTAGCTGTCCAGCTGGAGACACGGTGTTGAGCCGTGTACACTCATCCCACATTGCGTTGGTAAATCTCAATCTCTTCCGGCGTATGTCAGCGCACGAAACCTTTTCTGGGGTTTCAACTCACCGGTGCATCAGTATAACTCAGGAAGCCATCGGTGAATCCATGATCTTGGATTTCGGCCCGAATTTTGTCCAAGGCATTTAGATGTTGGTTGCGGCTATGATGTATCTCCATCATGAACCAGGACGTGTTGTAGGTCGTTGTGTCCCCTGTGTCCATGTCAGAAACAATAGAGCATCTGATTGACGGACTCACGACCAGCAGAGAGGAATGAATATACCATTCCACCGAGCGTGTACTTGTCTGTCGTTGATTGCATAAACAGATCCAAAAGGTCAACTCCGGCGTCTGGGTTGGGTTTATAGCCATTCCTCATCGCCTCGAGTCGCTTCTCGATCAAATAGTCGATCTTGTCGTAGAATAGATCTACGGCTCTCTTTGTTACCTTGTCTTCGCCGGAAAGCTTCTCGCTCAACTTCCAAAGAGGATCGCGTCTCCGTCGGTCAAATACTATAGCACAGTAACATAAGCAGCCGCAGAGGCCATTTTAGAACCCACTCACAATGTGTAGCTTGATCAAATGCCTCCACAAACTCCGGCTTGGAATCTAGGCACTTCGGATCATCAGACATGATTTCCAAAGCTAGCCTGTCCTCATGAAAGGCAATTCTAAGAAACAGACAGAACATTAGACGACCCATAAGATCTTGGAAATCGATCTCTATCTGCTCCTTGGCCAGGTTTGAGAGAAGTCGTAGAAGAATGTCTACCCAATAATGAACAGACTGAGTAATGTGGGTCTCGAAGTTGCGCTTGCTAAATGCACGAGATGCTGCTTTGCGCTGAGTTTGCCACTCTAACCCATCGGCAACAAAGATGCCGCTTCGATGTAACGATCCAAAAGCGTTCCGTGTAAATTTGCCACGGATGTAGTTCTTGTGGTTGTGTTTTTGAATATGCTCGAGATATGTTGGATGGTTGATGATATGCATGCGAAAGAATGGAATGGTCAGCTCGTACGCAGGCCCATATCGCTTATAGAGCGAGTACCAGGCCGTGCAACTAGCGGCACCATTGGTCCTAAGGTCCTGAAGGTTACCCGTGAAGGCCTTTCCACGAGGTCCAGGGATCCATTTTGCGTTGGCGGAGGATGATGTCCAAAACCCAGTTCTCCGATATGCCCAGCAGATGGCTATTGTGATATATCAGTTCTGGTCGGAGCTCGACAAAACTTGCAACTTACATCCAATAGCGACGAGAAACACAAGTGACCCATAAACAATCGCTATGGATGCCGGTGTCTCTAAGAGCGCGTTGAAACTGACCATGATGAATACAATGTCCTGACGTAACTCTAGCCGATGGAATTTATCACCATAGTTTTCCGTTCTTCGTCACGATGTGGCCTTCAATCAAAGCACTATGCACAATGGCGACTTCTCATGTTTGAGTGACGCCTTCTCTAGACCATATGGGTCCGAGGTCTTCCGGTTAATTGCGGTGACTTTCAGATGGAATAGGCCGCCCGAAGACTTGATAGGGGGACTTGGCGGGCCGATGTCTGCGTCCACTTCCAGGTATTATGCTCTGGGTTTTTCACGATGTACCGTCATTCTCCGTGGCCATAAGTAGGAATCTTGTTGGTATGTAAGAGCAGAGATCGGCAAGGCGATACGGAAGCCGGGTCTGTTTAGATTATTCTTGGAGGGCAGATTGAGGGGTAATTTGGAGACTTGGACCGAACCAACTTGAAATGGGGCACATGATAATCGGAGTACGTCACGGTAATCCTTAGAACCTGGCTACGGCATTCCGGAAACGGCACTATCTCACCAGGGCGGTGTTATAAGAGTTCATTGTGATAGGCATATATTGCCAAGCTCAAACCAGATATATTCGTTCGGGAAACTTGTCAATCGCAAAGCTTCTCTGAAAATATTGGCAGCAGCCTCCGAGCACCGCTATCCCTAGTTTGGAATATACGAAAGCTGACAGCCGAACTTCCTTCTGCCCTCGCGACATTCTCCTCTTCCTTCAAGTCACGCGGACGATAATCCAAAGGCTTCTGATAGCTATGCCTGCTCTGCCTCTCCCAACCACTCAAGCTGCTCCATTGGACTCTCGTGAGGTTTGCCTGGCGGCGTCCTTTCTGGGTCGGCCCGGTCTTGAGCCGTCCTCCACGTGTTTCATGTCGATCTGAATGCTTACGGTCGGATCAAAGCCTTTCTGCCGGGCTTTCTTCAGGATATTTGACTGTGTGGCGTAGGGAATGCCGAGAAGCTCGCGAATCTTATCCCTTGGTACCCCGATCGCCAGATAAGACAAACATTGGGTGCGTTGTATAATAGTGTAGCATTTGCCAACATCGTGGCGGATTTGATCGGTTTGTTGAGCCCGTGAGGGCTCACCAGATCGGTGTGTCTGGCCCTCCTCATGAGGCTGGACATCTGAAACGAGAGGATAGGTCAGTTCATCCGCTTGAAATAGCCACAGTTGAGAACATTGGGAGCCATACTGGTCTAGTCTACTGGGGGCACTTCGGGCGGGATATCCATCCTGTCATGTATAGCCCGCACACGTGGGGCTGCCGTCCAGTACTTTGAGGTGCCACTGCGCGAGTCATCAGTCCAGATTATGAAAAGGCTGTAAACCCAACGCGTAGATGCTGGTCGGGCAGATGACCACCTGTGTGCCGGCCGGTAAGTAGCAGGAATTAAGGGGCAAGTGTCTCAAGACGGCTAGCTTTGCGCTAGAGGAAAGCTTGGCCATGGTCTAGATTGATACGCGGATGGACAGCTCGATGTTGACGCACTGGCGGTGGCTGGTGTAATTATGCCGCCAATTCCCGTCACTGTTGACTATGCTGAGTGTATCACATCGTCCTACCATCGCCATGGTGAGCACTTCGATTGGACAGAGTGCCCAGCATCGCGGAAGCTGGATACACGCGTTGAGAAATGCTTTCTAATGTGTACTTCTCTGCTTACCAACTACCCCTTCTATCACCTGATCCGGTACTTCGACTTCTCCGATAGTTTCTTGATTCGGCGTCGATGTGACCCCACCAGCGGGGACCAACTTTCATCGACTCAGATGCACTCAGATCAGATGGACAAGAGTCGCGTCTAAAGGCAAAGAAGAGACTCGTTACTGCCAATGGCAACGAGATTGGGATATCTACGAAAGCGTTGATCGTGATTCCATGCAATAAAGGGGGGATGTAGATCGACCGCCCCTATCGCAACATCCCGACACCTTTAAGGGCCACGTCTCGGCGACCTTTCCTCAAGATGACATGCCCAAGGTGGCGAATACAGCCTGTACTCTAGAAGCTCGATCGCTTTTTACGCACCACCAGCGCAATGTGCATTTCCTCATATGCAATAGTCGCATCGTTCACATTGCCCACGTGCCGGCCGCGCCATACAGCGCTTAATGAGCACGCCGTTCCGTGGCGATGAGAGTCCGGCCGTACGGAAGCCATGGTCAGCATCATCATTAACAGCACAATCAACAGAGATGCAAGGACAAAGGCCAAAGATCTCGTCGTTTCCCGCGGCCTTCGGTCCCTTTATGTAGCTGGGCGGATCTACGGAGTGCCGGACAGATGACCCTGTGCTCACGGCTTTCACAGCGAGGACCCAATGGAGCAGTACAGTGCAGCACCATGCAAACACAACGAAGGCCGCGGAGCTCTGGGCACTGAGAGGCTACTGCTCAGACTGCTGAACCGTCTCTGCACGAGAGCCATATCTGAGAGACTCTTCATGACCTGTAGCTTCGGAAAGCCAACAGACCTCATGTCGGGATACTAGAATACACACTTCAAACCTGACTGCGCCAAGCTAATGATCTTCCTCTCGGTATACTCCTCAATTCCTGCTGACCCCCCCAAACGGCCATATCCGCTTCGGCCACCAGTCCCACCATTTGGGAGTGTTGCCTCAATATAGACTGTTGGACCATTAATGTGGCAGCTACCGGCCCGTACCTGTTTGGCTAACCAGAGTGCCTTCATGATGTCCTGAGAAAACACTGCCGCCGACAGCGAGAACTCCGAATCGTTCGCCACCTCGATTGCTTCGGCTTGAGAATCAACCACAGTCAGGCACAGCACAGGACCGAACGACTCCTCTCTGAAAACGTCCATGGTTCGCGTGACCTTTCCCAGGACATGAGGTTGGACCAGAGTGCGATTTGGACCTGAAGCGCTTCTATCACCAGCAAGCAGCTCTGCTCCGTCCGCAATTGCTTGTTCGATCATGGCAAGAAAGCGTTCAGCCGACTGTGGAGTATACAGTCCAGCCATCGATACACCTTCCTGGTCACCCCAGTTTATCGTTTTCACTTTCTCCAGTAGCGTCGCAGTAAATTTCTGTTCAATTGCCTTCTCAACGATGACTCGCTCTGTGGACATACATATCTGACCACTGTTGCAAAAGCCCCCGAAAACCACTGCCTCGACAGCATCTTCGATGTTCGCGTCTTCCAGAACGATAACCGGAGCCTTACCTCCGAGCTCGAGAACGCATTGCTTGAGACACGATGCTGCCCATCCGGCAATGATCTTGCCAACACGATCACTTCCGGTATAGTTCAGTCTCCGAACCTTTGAATGCTTGGTGGCGTATTCTGTCACTTTCGCTGCATCTGAGGCTTTGGTCGGCAGAAAGTTAAGACATCCCGATGGCAACCCTGCTTCCTGAAATGCCCGGACAACAAGATGTTGAGATTTCGGACTGAATTCAGAAGGTTTCAAAACAACCGTGTTTCCACATATCAGGGGAGACGCAATGGCTCTGGCAGTCAGATTGACCTAATCTTATTAGAGAAGAAACCACCACAGTTGCAGACTCACCGGAGCGTTCCATGGACTTATGGCAAAGACAACTCCTATCGCCTCCCGCATGATCATAATCATGGTACCAGGGCGATCAGCAGGCACAATCTCTCCCCTCATTTGTGTTGCTTGACCAGCAGTCTCACGAAGAATGTTCGCGGTTGCCATAATGTTGACCCGAATCCAGCTTGAAACCGCGGATACCTCCGCTGACAGAATTTCAGGTGCATCATCATGCAAATAACGCTCAAGAGTATCGGCAGCTCTCAGGAATATCAAGCGTCTTGCTGAGGGTGCTGTTTGGGACCAAGATGTAAAGGCGGCGTCCGCAGCTTTGATTGCAAGTTCATACTCTCGAACACCGGCTGACGAGCAGTCGTATATCTTGCCACCCGTCGCAGGATTCAGGACTTCGAACTTTGCATCGTCTTCTGGTCTAACATATTCGCCATTGACATAGAGAAGCTGTTCATCAGTAAGCGTACTCCTACGCTCAGTGGTACCGTTCTTTTCGTGCATGGCGAATTTACTTTTCCAAGTGTCCACTGGTCTTACAGAAAAGCATCCAATACTCGTCTGCCTTTTGCCAAGAAACACTGCGCTCAGCGGATGCATGACTCCGGGCGACATTCCGCGTGGAGTTCCTCCTCAGCAACTACCCCAAACCATTCGGGCGATCTCGGCCCTGGTACGTAGAGGCAAGATGGCATGAAAGAAGTGTATACCTTACCCTGAAGTGAATTTTCTCACGGCACAACTGCCAAAATGGGCGACATTGGTGAAACGAACACTATGGTTACTGGAGCTTCTGCAATATTAACTGCTCTCGAGGATGCTGGGATAACGCACCTGTTTGTTAATCTCGGGTCTGATCACCCTGCTTTTCTGTCAGCATTTGCTTCAAAAGAACATGGCCTCAAAATATGCACTTCGCCAAATGAGATGAATGCATTGTCGGCAGCTTCAGGCTACGCTCAGATAACTGGGAAGCCAGCAGCAGTTCTGGTTCATGTGGAGTGCGGGACTCAAGCCCTTGCCGGTGCTGTTCATAACATCAGCAAGGGTCGCATTCCGGCAGTCATCCTCGCTGGAACTGTTCCAATCACACAAGAAGGCGAACTCAAGGGCAGTCGAAACGAATACATCCACTGGATACAAGACGTACCGAATCAAAGAGCCATTGTTGCACAGTATATGAGATATGAGCATGAAATACGATCAGCACATAATGCCACCCAACTTCTATTGAGAGCGGTCCAGTTTTCCACATCGAGCCCTCAAGGACCCTCCTATTTGATCGCTGCACGGGAGACACTTGAGCAAGAAATACCGTCTCCGAAAGCGAATCCCACTTTGAGTGGCTCACAGAGCTACACAAAGACTCAACCATTGGAGCTTATGGGTCTCTCACCTACAGCGATAACATATCTCACAGATGTGCTGTTAAGCGCGCAACAACCCTTGATCATCACAAGCTACTGTGGCCGGTCCCAGCAAGGATTTGACGCTCTACGTACTCTTGCAGAGCTCTGTATACTGCCGGTTCATGAGAATGCACCGATATACAATAACTTTCCAACAACATCTTACCTTCATCAAGGCCATCAATGGAATGGTGGAGGTCAACTACCAGCACTAGCTGAAGCGGATGTCGTGCTCGTGATCGACTCGGACGTTCCTTGGATCTCAGCTCAGTCCAAACCAGCACCATCTGCTCGAGTGTTTCACTTGGACGTCGATCCTCTTAAGGAAGGAACAACGCTGTGGTATCTGCCTTGTAAGAAGAGGTGGAAGTGTGATTCTGCTCTAGCGCTACAACAACTGGCGGACTCTATACGGCTTTCCGCGTCTTTCTCCAGTTCCGAGGTACAAGAAAGCCTGACTCGTAGGAAACAGTTCTTACAACAGCGCTTTGAAGCCAGACAACAACGACTCAGTCAAGCCGAGGCGCCTCAATCCGCGTCCAGACTTACAGTACCATTCTTCATGTCGCGTTTACGAGAAGCAACGAAAAGTCTGCGAGTCGTAGGCCTGAACGAATCAACGACAAATCTGGGTAACGTGGCCGACTTTTTACACCATGATCAAGCTCTTTCACTGATTGGCAGTGGCGGTGGTGCGCTTGGCTGGTACTCGGGAGCTGCTGTAGGGGCATCTCTTGCTCTACAGGAGCAAGGACGATCCAATGACCTCGTTGTTGCATTCACTGGTGACGGAACATGGCTATTCGGAGTTCCTAGCTGCGCCTATTGGATGGCCAAAAGGTACAACACTCCCTTTCTTACGATCATTTGGAACAATGGAGGTTGGGCATCTCCAAAGAATGCTTGCTTAAGAGTCCATCCCGAGGTCCAATCTAGACCCGGATACAACAGCACAGAATTGAGCAACGATTTGATGGTCGCGATTGATCCGTCGCCTGCATTCGGCAAAATTGCGGAGGGAGCTGGTAACGCATGGTGGGCTGTTGCGAAGACTTATGATGAAGTAGATAGTATCTGCCAGACGGCCATCAAGGTTGTACAGGAAGAACGTAGGTCTGCCGTGGTGGAAGTTGTCATTGACAAAATCTAGAAAACTCTGGCAGCGAGCAATTACAAATTTGGGACCTACTCCCGGAAGCATAACTCCGCGCAGCTTGCCAGCCATACTGGACCCATATCTGCATGTACAGGGTTGCTCATGGATCTTTACCATATATCTTATACTGTGCTGCTTCTGCGTGCCAAGCTACTATCATGTCAAGTGGCGAGTGCCATGGCGAATCCCATGATTTCCACGAGCAGCATGCTTACTATAGATGACTTCGAACAAGCCGCATCTCGAATCCTACTTCCAATGGCACGGGACTACTACAATGGAGGAACCCTGGATTCAGTAACCCTGGAACGAAATCGCCAGGCCTGCAATAGCTAGAGTATTTGGCCGCGAGTACTTCGAGACGTCTCGCATGTTGACATGGGGGTGCAAAATCCATTTTCATCTGCTGATAGGCAAGGTATCAGATGTCCAATGGGCGTGGCCCCTGCTGCCATGCAAAAGATGGCTCATTCAGACGGGAAGAAGCAATGGCAAGAGCCACCGGTAAAAGAAGCTGGCCCCTTGGGCTCAGTAGCTTCAGTACAACAAGCCTGGAAGATGTTATCAGTCACGCCAAGATCTCACACAGCAATGCAGTCTGCGCTTTACAAATGCATATCTTCGAGGAAAGAAGTACAAGTCTTGATCTCATACGACGGACCGAGGGTAAGCTATCTCTATCACTGCCGGCCGTTGTGCTGACTCTAGCTAGAGTCCGGATACCAGGCCATCATACTCACAGTCGATACACCATTCTTTGGCCGCAGACTTACCGAACTGAAAAATCAGTTTAAAGTCCCTGCCCACCTAGAAATGGCAGATTTTCCTCAAGCACTTGGTGTCAAGAGAGCAATTCAATTTTCAGACAAGTGGTGACGAAAGTCCCTGCAAATAAGAACAGTATGTTTGGGTAAGTAGATTCAGACCCATCAGACACTAACGCGATATAAGGAATCCCAGTCTCACGTTCAACATCGTTGGGGAGTTGAAGAATCACACCAGGCTGCCTATCTATCTCAAAGGGATATTACATCCTGCTGATGCTAAAATGGCTGTTGAAAGCGGAGCAGACGGAATCATCGTATCGAATTATCGAGGAAGGCAATTAGACCACGCTTCTGCTACACTTGACGTTCTGACCGAGATTGTTGCTGCAGTTGATGGTCGCATTCTCGTGGTATGTTCCGTCACATCTCTCCATGCTGAACTAACCAACTTTCAGCATTTTGATGGCAGAGTTCGACGAGGCAGCGATATTTTTAAAGCCATCGCTCTGGGGGCGAACTTTGTGTGGATAGGAAGACCGGCTCTATGGGGCTTAGCAGTCGCAGGCCAACAGGGTGTGGTGCGGGTGCTTGAGATATTGGAGAACGAGTTTAAAGACTGCATGACCTTAGCGGGTTGTACTGATATCCAGCAGCTGGGACTTGGCGGGCGCAATTGGTTAAAGAGAATCTCATCCGCAGATGAAGACTCTCTAAGTCGGGGCTCGAAACTATAAAAGCTGAGTCTGCCATGTGAGAGCGCGACAGGCCTCCTTGATTCTCTGCTCTTAGCCATATTCATGCAGGTAGCTACGATCTGTACGCTTCCCACGACATCCTAAGATTTATCTCAGGTTCTGACGGGTAGACGATACTCTTCCAAATAGTGGTAGATCCGGAATCGAACAAGTACTGACAGAAACGGTCTCTTATTTAACATTGGGAGTCGCTCAGCGCAGCCAAGTCTTTTCTTTAATTGAGACCGACTACTGAAGATACATCATGTTGCCCAAAGCTTAGACACCAGTCTAGTCTGCTACTACCAACTTCAACACTTACAATCTGGAAACCTATAACATCATTAACCCTAAAACACTATGCGAATGGGAATGGACAGGCAACAGCATCGCGGCATTAATGAGCTGCAAGCATGCTGGTTGCCACGGGAGCACCTACCAAGGGCGCCCCGGTCCCAGATTTCCAATTCGCTCCCTCGCTGTCAACATTCTCGGCGTCATGGCTAAAGAGCCACATCCTTCTTTTATCATCACCCCAAAAGACCGGGTTTTCTTGACCGTTGACCTTCATAGTGACATCACGCTGCTTCTGTGTTTCACCATCGTCGACGTGCAAGATGTACTGATGCTCCCTCGTCTTTTGCTGGACAAGACTCGCTCGTGGCAACCGGATTGACTCATACTTCAATAGTGCCTGCTTCAAGCCGTCGGCACCTGCAGTGGAAGCACCCGCAAGGCATTGACGAAGAGCAGCCGCATCCTCAACTGCTTGTGCAGCACCCTGAGCCAGGTATGGCAGCATAGGATGGCACGAATCGCCCAGGAGAGCGGCTTTGCCAGAAGGATGGACCCATCGAGAGAGGATAGGTAAATCGCAGAGCCTCCACTTCATGAATTGGGGGGTGAGCTTGCATAGCTTCTGGACGCGAGGCTCCCAGGTCTTAAAGCGTTCAAGCAAGTCCAGAGGCGATCCCTGAACAACCCAGGCTTCGTCTGAAGTCTCATTGTATGATGTCGCGCATACAACGATGTTGTACAGCTCTCCATTTCGAATGGGATAGCCGACAAGATGTGCGTCTGGGCCACACCATGATGTGGTGCAGGGATCGGTGATCAGATCTGCCAGTTCAGGGTCGGCGAGCAGATCCTTGCCCGGGATAAGAATACGGTAAGCGACATCGCCAGTGTCGCGAGGGACATCCTCTTGGCCAGTCAGTGCAGGGCGAGCAAGAGACTTGATGCCTGATTTGGTCAGTGCTTGCAAACGTCAGGGAACTTGGCATACATACCATCAGCACCAATAACAAGGTCTGCCCTCCATGTCTCACCGTCAGCAGTGACGACGAATGGCCCCTCAAAGTTATACTCGACGACTCGCTTGTCGTTGAGGATCTGGACGCCCGCGCGAGTTGCTGCTTCGAGAAGTCCGGCATGGAGGTCGGCGCGGTGCACAAGGTAGTATGGAGCACCGTGATTTTTGACGATGTCATTGAAGGGAAGCTTGACAATAGTGGAACCATCTTTCCAACGTAGGAAGTGGTAACATTGCGAGACGGACTTCTTCATCTTTTCGAGATCAACGCCCCATCTCAGTAGTAGCCTAGAGCTATTTGGTGGCACGCGAATACCAGCACCCGCCTAATGAAAGTGTCAGACGTGCTTAGAGCGGCTGATGATGGACTGACCTCTGCAAATTCAGGCGCGGAGTCAATAATGGTCACATTGTGGCCATCCGTCTGTAGTGCGAGACCTGCGGCCAAACCACCAAGGCCGGCTCCTACAATAAGGATCTTGCGAGGATGTTGTGCTTGAGGCATTGTGGATTGATTGCGAACGATCGTCGAAGTACGAAAGTGACCAGGAGAAGTTTTGGGTTGAATCACAGGAATATATCTCTTAGTAAAAACCTGGATGAATGATGTCCGGTCGTGCTGGTCTGTCTGCAGCCTCTGGTATCAAGATAAACGTGGCACCTTTCCCGGGGAGACAAGGATCGACGGTTCTACTGCCTCGGACGCTGCTTGGAAGCTTCCTAGGATGCATGCATCCAGACAGAACAACAGTGGAAGTACGCATCCGAAAGCCAATGGGGCGGGATTTCCCCACATCGGGTAACTCTTTGCCCTGGCACGTGCCTGGCAAGGGCTCCCTGGGGCCCCAATCATTACCCCGGTTGGATGCCGAGTCTACACCTACCCACAGGGTCCAATTAACTAGACTTGACCGAGACACCTCACGGTTCACATTATCTTGCAATTTACAGCTTACTTAGTTAACAAGCCACATCTCCCCAGATGCTACCGTTTTCATTTCTCCAAAAACCGAGGCAGCTTCACGACGCCGAATACTGGGATATAAGTACCCGAAGGGGTACTGCTAGGCTGGTGATCCGGTCTTCCTTGCTTGGGACACCAACACCAAACACCCACAGCCGACACCAGACTATCCCCACCCAACTATGGCTGCATCCAAGGCTGGGTCCCCAACGCGAGACTCAACCAACGGCGATGTCGAGAAGAACTCCGCGATTCACACAGAGATCGCTGCCCTTGCCACGATTAACGACCCCCAATCTATGACAACACATGCAGAAGATCCGATAGAGGCCAAGAAGGTCATTCGCAAGATCGACTACCGCCTGCTACCGTTGATGATATTCCTCTATACTCTCACAGTAAGACCTCGGCCAAAGCAAGCACGCAGTCTTCTCTGAGCTCTACTGACCATGGCAGTTCCTCGACCGAGTCAACATTGGCAACGCTCGGCTATGGCATCTTGAGAGAGACTTGGGCTTGGTGGGATATCAATACAATATCGCTGTGCTCGTCTTCTTCATTCCGGTCATTCTTTTCGAAATTCCGTCCAACATTATGCTTTCGCGCGTCAAGCCTCGATATTGGATTTCTGGCCTCGTCTTCGGTTTCGGCCTTACTGTTTGCCTGGCTGGATTCTGTACAAACTTCGCAGGCCTGATCGTCGCCCGGATGTTCATTGGAGCATTCGAAGCTGGCATGCTTCCAGGCTGCCTGTACCTGCTTTCATCCTGGTATCGAAGACACGAACTCCTTACACGGGTTGCGCTACTCATGGTCGCCAACGACATCGCAGGCTCAATATCAGGACTCCTGGGAGCTGGACTTGGTTCTCTCGATGGCCTTGCTGGATATAGTGGTTGGAGCTGGATCTTCTTTCTGGAAGGAGGATTCACAGCTATTGCAGCCCTCGCAGCCTTCTTCTTCCTTCCGCCATTTCCAGAAGAGTCGAAGTTCCTGTCCAAGGAGGAAAAGGAGTGGTTACTCCGTCGCCTCCGACAAGATACTGCCGGTGGCCCGCTGGACCAGAAAATGGGACTGAAAGGTTCAGTAAAGGCACTCGCAGACTGGAAGGTCATGATTGCAGGCATGCTATATCTGTCAGTCTGCGTTACAGCATACTCGATCTCGGTGTTCCAACCCACTATCCTTGCAACATTCGGTTGGGGAGGTATCAAGGCTAACCTCCTGTCGGCACCCGTTCGGATTGCCTCTGCCATCTTCTCTGTTGCCGTTGGTATATGGAGTGATAAAGCCAAGAAGCGTGGGGTCTTCGCCATTGGAGGATATACAGTATCCATCATTGGCAGCATCATGGTTATGACGGTCCGATCTCACGCTGTTCGTTACGCTGGCCTTTACCTTGCGGCTATAGGAATCTATATCTGCCAGCCCCTTGTTCTGGCGTGGGGGTAAGTTTAATTCCATTTCAGCGGCTGCCAGCTAACATGAATCCAGCGCCAACCAAGTTGTAGGCAAGGTAAAGCGCGGAGTAATGACCTCGTTCGCCGTTGCAACTGGTCAGTTCGGTGGCATCATCACGTCGTTAGTTTTTCCCAAGAAGGACGGACCAATGTACGTGCCAGGTCTATCAACAAACGTCGCTTTTGCGTTTGCTGGTATCTGTGCCGCAAGCTTTCTATGGGGCTATGGCTCTTGGGAGAACAAGCAGCGTGAGGCTGGAAAGCGAGATCATCTGAGAGCCCTTCCTCAAGAAGAGCAAGATCTTCTTGGTGAAAAACATCCTGACTTTAGATTCACCCACTGAGGGACCGAAGATGAAGAAGATTGGACACGGCTGTGAGTCTAATATGGATGGAGCCTTTGGCTTTACCGTTGCGTTTATTCGTATGTGCAGAACAACGATTTAATTGAGAATCTATCAAATGGTAAAAACAGCTTCCAGATTAGCCCAGTCCATTACTTGGCCATCTGTCAAGTAGTTAAGTGGATCAACCCAGAGATTCGCATCTTGCATTTCTGTGAAAGAGCTCACGCCGCCTTGTTGTACATCGAAAACATCATGGTTGGCGAAATTGTGAGGCGATAACACGTACTGTGCACTATCAGAGACTTTTTCAACAGTTCTGTCGACGGCTGAGGCATGTTCAGCGGCGTAGAACCCCGGCTCTGTTCCGGAGGACTCGCCAATACCCCCTAGGTGACTTTTCGTACTGAGAGATCCCGCGACTGCCTGAGAGAATTTCTCAACGACGGCACCAAAGCGCTTCATGGTTCCACTCTTCTTAGTCTCCTTGATGGCGGACTTGAGTTTGCTGATTATCAAACTGATCGAGGCTTCATTGCCTTGCTGGGCCAGTGTGCTGTGATTATTGCCATTAGGCCCGCAGGTCAACTGACGAAGGAGAAGAACCATGGTAGTCTGGTACGCATAAAAGACATCCAAAGCAGAAATGCCGTTAAACAGTTGGAATCGATGCAGCAAGGCGATCAAAGATGCGCTTTGACACGCGTGGTAGACACATATATCTGCCTTTCCGTTGTGGTTTTGTCTTGATCCGTTCGGGTAGTCTTCCTGCATTGCTGAGCCTGTCTTTCGTAGCATGGACGACCGACAGACCAAGATACCTATATGGTGATATTGGACATGAAGCATAAGGAGTTTGCGTAACTGTTGTGGCGGTTGTCGACTTAAGGCTTTTTCAATATCTTCTAATGGCGCAAGATCAGTAAGAAGTGGCCTAGATGGCAAAGCTAGACCTTCAACACTTGCAACACTGGGTAGTCGAAGATGTGTGGGAAGACTCTCAATCCATTCCGCTGTGCTGGCAAGTATCTCATCTTCTGGACTTGTGCGGCTCGACCCTGCTACCGAATGTTTTTGAGGTTGCCGCGTAACAGCAAGAACAGACCTTGTACGGCCTAATATTTTTTGGAGTTGAATGCTCAGCATCAAAAAGTGGTCCCCGTATCCACCATCGTCATCAAAGAAGCCTTTGTTTGGAGGTGCAAAGTCTATATCAGATTCGCTGATGCTGCTTGGCCTCCCAAGACTGGATGATAGGAACTGCTCAAAGCTGAAGAGGGTACAGAAAACACGTTTTCGGATCTCGCGCTGGATTGGGCGAAATGACTGACCAAAGCTGATCTCGTGAAGGCCCAGGGCTATAGCTTCTCTAGACGCAGCGCCGAGTAGGTTCCAAGCACCATTCCTTTCATTGTTGTTATGCATAAACAAGGCTTGTAGCACCAGTGCTTGAACGTTCGTAATCGAACACCTTGACAGAAGTTGAGGAAGGATGTTGGAGATTATGGATAATGAATCGTGCCGGAGTTGCTCGATGTTAATGGCTGGATGTCTGGGGGCACTGAGCGACCCAAAAACCATGACGATGTGCAGACACGCGACCCAGCCCCAGTCTGGTCCGAAGTTAAGGTCGTTTGAGCCTGTATCGCTTTTTCTTGCCGTTCGGATTCGTGCCACATACATCTCGAATTCATCATGAAAAGTAGCTCGATGGAAAAGTGGGAAATCCGGATGGACTTGCTCGAAAAAAGAATGTAGTAGTGCTTCAATAACCTCGTTGGAGGGCAGCGTTTGTAGGTATTCCAGCCCTGGTTTGGAGGTACTCGAGAATTGGCGAGCGAGAGTCGAGTCCATCGAGGCTGGCGACGAGTCTGCCTGAATACCGGTGTCAGATTGCTGTTCGTTAGAACCGTCCGCATCCAGTGCTTGCGCAGTGTCATCGCCGATGAAGTCGGACCTGTTCTGAGTATCCGGGTTTCCATTGCGGACTCGTAAGAGCTCTCGTAGCTCAGCAAAAAAACTCAGCGATCCTGAAGGCCCGATGTAGTAGGTGTTGCCAGACCTATCACGGACTGAACTGGATAACGTATCTTTGCCCGCTTGCGATTGCGTCTCACCCTGGTGAAGCTGTTGGGGTGGCGTTGGCACAGATGTTATTTGACTAAAGCAAGGTGTATCCTGCACTGCACGTTCTGCATCACCTGACTCAGCCTGCAGATCTGGCATCCGGCAGCCATGACGGCGTCCTAGGTCCAGGAGATCGTGTACAGTGTCGAGGCGTTCTTGGGGGAATAGACCTTTGACAAGAGCTTCCAAGCAACGATGACGGTCGTTCAAGTCGTCGATGCTTCCATAAAAGCGAGCCTTTCGTGGCATATCATACGAACATGGTACTTCAGCTTGAATACAGCTGTAGCACGCCGCGCCGGATCTGGACGGAACGCATTTGCACCGTCTTTTGCGACATAGGTCACAGCTTGCAAGGGACCGCTTACGCAGCTGTTCCGGAACCCTGCGCGACCGCTTGGGGCGATTTTCCACCATACTGTGGAAGGTGTGGGATTGAAGGAGTCAAGATTCCGGCGGCTCTCGTGCAGGCGAGAATGCTTTTGGAGAAAAGGAGGGGATGCCCATGGGGTTCCATGGTTAAGGTTTACCGAACTTCGGCCTGCCCTCGCCTACACGTTTTGGCCGGAAGCATGACTCCGGAATGTTGCGCCTCGAGGCACAACGCTATGGTGAGCAAAATACACATCTAGAACATGCTTACGGGGACCGCCACAACCGTGATTTGACAAGTGCAGACGCTTCAGATTATACCAGTGACCATGCAGACCCAAGGAAGTCAGTCTATGCGTCTAACAGACGGCCGCAGCATCTCTTATGATATCTCCACAGCTCCAGAAGGTGTTACTAGGCCGCTCATACTTCTAGCAAACTCGCTTTGCGCTCCATATCGCACTTGGGACGCGGTAGTGCAGCAGCTCAACACTCGTGGCATCGATGTGCTGAGGTACGATCAACCAGGCCACGGGCTCAGTGGGAGTCCTAAGAATGTTGACGAAACAACATTCGAGTCACTGGCGGACGATGTGGCAGCACTTCTGCAGCACCTTCAAATTTCGAAGCTTGACGCTTGGGTAGGCGTATCTATGGGAAGTGCGACTGGAGTGGTGTTCGCGACGAGATACCCGGACATCATCGAAAAGCTCATTATCTGTGACACAATCTCGAGCTCCCCGCGAGTCGCAGGAACACCGGACGTCTTTCAAATCCGTTCGCAAGCAGCGGTGGAGGCAGGAAATCTGGGCGATATTGTGGAACAAACGATTGATCGATGGTTTACGCAAGCATGGAGACAAGGGAATCCTGAGGAGCTCTCTCGGATACGGACCGTCATGCAAACCACAACCGTGGAGGGATTTGCGGCATGTTGCCACGCTTTGAGCGCACCTACTTTCGATCTACGGCCGCTAGCTCCGAAGCTGGCGGACTGCGTGAGGGATGTGGTGTTAGTTGTCGGTGAGAACGATGCAAATCTCCCACAATCTATGAAGGAGCTGCAGAGTTTGGTTCAAGGCAGGTTTAGCAGCGAGAAGGATGGCAAAAAGGTCGACCTGCATGTCCTGAGGGAGGCGGGTCATGTTTGCTATCTGGACAATCCAACAGACTTCATACACGTCGTTGCTAGTGAACTACGCACGGAGACTGCTCTTCAAGGTATGCTTTAATAAGGACAGACCGAGCATACATCACTGTGCACGACAGACAAGTGCACTTTTCCTGGTTCTGAAACATGTGTGGTATCTTTGAAAAGATCCAGCCAGCTCTTGGCAGTGATTTGTGGATGATTTTGGTGATTTGTACTTGCTCTATACCGTTTCCGAGGCACAGTAGTCGAAAGATAGCTTTGTGGGTAGGTGAGAGCCTTTTCACAACGGCTTTCAGCATTGGATCGCTGCACATAGACCTTGAGTGCTGACAAGATGTTGCTGACTTGATATACGCGTCAACAGACGAATCCGCGCCATTTTCAAGCCGAAGCCTCGATTTCAGTGCTAGGTTCACGTGTCAGCCGCTAGCTTGGCTTCCAGTCCAGCAGGAAAAGAAGAAGCCAGCATTGCAGAGGCACAGCGCTGAAGCTCCAGTATACTTGAGCGCCCGTTACGTAAAGTATGGACCCGTGTCCCGCTGACACGGCTTTCTGTACAACATTAAGTGATAGCACCCCGTTTCATTTGCCAATCGCTGATGTGACATTCATTGAAGTTGAACATATCACACACCAATCCAAGTAAGAGACGCTCTGCTCCTCGTATCACTTCATGACAGCACAGTCATGGAGCTATCACCTTCCCGACTGGAGTAGCCGCAAATATTTTTCTCAAGCACGAATAGGGGCAGCTACTCAGGCTTTCGTCCGTAGACGATATAACTATGCCGGTCAGTAGCACTCTTCTCAGGAGAGACAACTTACAAATCGTAGATGGTATGAATGGCGGGACTATTCAAGTCATTCCTCACATCCACCAGGAACGTTTGAATCTCATCATACGTCCAACCCATATTGATCATCGTCCCAAGACTGACTGCTTCAAGCGCCTCTGACAGCTGGATGTGATTCAGCACGCCCATCTCCTTCAACAGCTTGTCTTTAGGCCAGTTTCCGACCGGGACAGGTGTTTTCACGGCAGTAACGTCCACAAACCCCGCGTCTTTCATCCACTGTTCCAGATGCATACCTAGATGTGGCTCTGACCCTGAAGCTCTAATTCCTTCTATGACCAAGTCATCCCATTTTCTCAGGGCACATTCTTGTGGATAAGTGTCGTCCTGCGAATATAGTTCAATATCCCAATCTTGAAACTCGGCCCATCCTCCTGGCTTCGTGCATGTAAAGGTTTGACGCATAAGCTTTGGGAAGTCTTTGATGGCTCCAATCAACAGACATGCATGAACATAATCGAACGGCTCCTGTTCATAGCCCCAAGGTGCTTCGATATCGTCTATCAGAAACTTGACATTAGCCGGAACCCAGCCTGGCTGAATCGGACTGAGGTCATTTCCGATGATATAAGCTTTCTCGTGCTTGTCGGCGAAATTGATGGCCCATAACCCCGTGCCCGTGCCCAGGTCAATGGCCCGTTCAATGTTGTCTGCTATAGGCGCCAAGTTCAACTTCCCGTCCATGATTCGCCTGACGAGAGCATAATGAACATCCAAACGATCAATTTCTTGGTCGTCATTGGGCATGAAGTACCGACCGGCTTTGTAGGAGTGATATTTGCGACCATGAGACTCTGGAAAATTGTATGCAGACGATGTTAATGATGCGGAGTATGTGGAGAGCTCCTCGCCATAGGCCGAGTCTTGCTCGAACTGATCAGGTTCGAGTGACATGATTGAGGAAGACCGCGAAAGGTTGAGCTGTGGAAAAGGGCGAGGGAGGGTAGTACTTCATCATTGTGCTTGAGTGGCACGAACCACTGGGAACGAACCACGTTCCCGCGAACTGCTATTAGCGCCATCGCTTAGCAGCGGGCCAACATTTTCCGTGGTCCGCGTTGTGACCTTGTCTAACGAAACGATTCTGATTGATGCTCGGCATGTTGATCGTTCCGTCCGCGAAATAGGTGTCAACACGAAGTACCGGCATTTTTGTACTTCTGCAGGTGGACAGATGTGGATCCTTGGCTACAAGTACTTTCACGTGTCGTTGGGTGCCTGAGGGCTGCTAGATGGAAGCACATGCTCGTAGACGCCACAGCCACCCGCCGGCACTCGCCTGGACAGGCTCGTGTATGACTGTTGAGGGGAAGGAGGTGTGAATTGAGTTTCTGGTATCTTGGCGGGTCCGAAACTGCCGCCAGCCTTTCGTACCATAGGCGATATTGGAGGCTCCCATTTCCTATGATCGCAAAGCATTTTCTTCGACACCCACAGGGACTCTGCTTCCAATACCAACGTCGCGCCTGATGGCGGCACACCACAAATCATGATGCTTGTCAACGGCCGATATACTGGTCCACTCCTGGGAGGCAACTGGGGCGATCACTTTGAGGTCACAGTCACCACTCACTTGCAAAAAAACGGTACCGGTATCCAGATGCAGCTCTATTCCACCGTGCCATTCTATTGCAGACTCGACAACGAAGGCATTCAAAGCCGCTCTGTCCCACGTCTCGGATGACCCAGCTTTCATGAGTGGTTCTTGCTCACCTGTTGATGGCGGTAGCACTTATGCGGCTACAACTGCGATGACTTCCAGTCCTCCTTGACCATATCTGCACACTTCTCTCCAATCGCATACGCAACAGCCTGAGTGTGTCCATTATTCAGTTTCGGCATGATGCTACAATCTGCCACCCTCAAGCCCTTGATGCCCTTTACTCGTAGCCTTGCGTCAACAACGGCACCAGGATCAGTATCTGGTCCCATCTTGCATGTTCCGCCTGGATGGTAGCACGTAGTGGCGTTGTTTTTGATGTACTCCATCCATTGCTCCAATTTCGTGAATTCGTAGTGCTTGTCTTCAGGCGGCCATGCGCCCAGCAAAAGATTTTTCGTGCCCTCGCCTTGCTTAATGACTTCTGCCCCCAGCGCGCACGCCTCAGCATACACCAACAAGTCTAGCGGATCGGCCAGGTAGTTGTGCTGGACGATGGGATTCTCTAGGGGGTTTGCGCTCCTCAGCTTAACATATCCTCGCGACCGCGGCGAAAACAGCTCGATGATGTTTGCGAATGCGCTACGGCCGGCCGGGGGAGGATTATTGTACTGCTTAGGGGCCATGTAGCGCTCTGTATTGAAGAACTCGACGTGCGGCTGGCGAGTCGTGAGACCCATGGGATCTCTTCCTGGCAAGCACGAGGCATGTCGCCAGAGATCGTGTTTCGAGAGGCGTTCATCCAGGCGTGTGAAGGCAAAGACGCCAAAATGCGCTCCAGATAGAATACCTGTGCGAGATTGTCGCCACTGGTCGCGGGAATGCTCGTACGCTGATTGGGGGTGCATCTGGTGGCATTGCGTGTACCCTTGAGCCACCTCATAGAATACAAAGACAGTGAGGTGATCCTCGAGATTCTTCCCCACTCCTGGAAGATCAACAACCGGCGGAACGCCGGCCTCGTAGAGTTCTTCTTTAGGACCAATCCCGGAGAGAAGGAGAGCTTGCGGAGATGCGTATGTACCTAGACAGAGGATGATTTCGCGACGAGTACGAATAGTCGTTGTTTGCCCGGTTCTCTCGTCAATTACTTCCACACCTTGCGTTTTGTTTTCGTTGAAAATAAGCCTGGCAACCCGGCTGTTGCAACGAACTGTTACTGGGGATGTCTTCAGGTAGTCTGCGCCGGTGACTCGGATACCGCCATAAACGGTACGCAGCGAATGACCGACCCCGTGCCATCGAGTGCCTGTGCTAAACATATCGTCGTCTTTAGGGAATCCTTGGCCTTGGAATGACTTCAGCACGGCAGACGAGATGCCAGCCAAGGGATGGAACGTCGTTTGAATGGGTCCTTCAATGCCATGGGCATCTTCATCCGCGTCGAAGCCTTCACTCTGATGGAAGGTTTCTGATCGCTGGAAGTACTTCCACATAGAGTCGGCGTTCCAGCCCGGATTCCCCATGGATTCCCAGTCATCAAAGTCCTGCCGCATGCCTCTTACCATCAAGGTGCCATTTGTAGACGAGCTGCCGCCAAGAAACTTGCCTCGGGACAACTTCATGGGTCGGCCATTCATCTGCGGGTTCGGCTCTGCGATTAGGTTCCAGTCACGATCAGTGTCAAAATTTTGGAGCATGCCGCCGACCATCTTGGTGTTCTCAATATCGCTATTGTCTGGACCTGCCTCCAGCAAGATGACGGACACATTGGAGTCTTCCGCCAATCGTGCAGCAACGGCAGGGCCGGCCGTCCCTCCACTACAGTCCTATCAGCTCCCTCTCCGTAACGTCTTGGTCTCTTACGCACCCACAAACAATATAGTCGTATTCTTCAGCCATGTTGAGCTTACGAAGGTGTTAGGCGGTGTCGCTCGAGGTCGCGAAGGCTTGCGACTTCTCAGAAGTGTTAACCCAATCTTGGAGGATTCGTGGTTCTCCGCATGAACAACATTTTCAGTTAAGGCGTCGTATTCTCCAAGCGTGGGGAAATTATGGGTGCTGGTCCCCGCAAGTACCCCAACGTGCACGGCCTGAAAATGCTTGATGCCCATAGTTTCACTGCCGACGCCCGCTCTCTGAGCGAGTCATATCAAGTCAGCCTGATGCATCGCCTGATCCACGTTGGAGAGACCATTGCAAAATCAGGAGGCGCCCACGTTGATCAGACTGATATGACCCACCTAGCTCAATGTTCCGAGGTGATGAGCATGGAGAAGCTTGTCAGTCTATCCGGTCCTTGCGACGCGCTTGGGGCAGCTTATATGTGCCAGAGACTGCCCCATTGCTTAGATGAAGTTTCAACGTCTTCAAAATGCCTCACCGCAGCCGACATGCCACCCGCATTGCCGGGTTTGCGACACTTGGCTCAATCACAGTATGTGTTTCTAGTGCTGCAACCGCTTCTAACATGTCTAGTACGGATATGGCGCTTCCATAATTGCTCAAACGATCGGTCAGCCGCAGTGGTACGAGTCATTTGGGCTCGAGCTTACGGGTTCACACACCGATTTTGTCACAGGGGCGATGAACGGGCTCTTCTCTTGCGGCGGAGCGTAGGTAACCCAGCTATACTCCTGGTTTAACTAACTTGAAAATTCAGTCTGGGATCGCTCTCGACTGCCTACACCGCGGAGAAGCTGGGACGACTGCGCTCGATTCAGGTAGCATGTGTCGTTTGCATCATTGGTGGTGCCCTTATGACAGCATCGTTCGGGATCCCTATGTTTCTTGTCAGCCGATTTGTCATGGGATGGGGCGTTGGCATGATTGTCTGTGGCATTCCTCTCTACAATGCCGAACTCGCCACACCTGACAACCGTGGCCGCAGTGTCGGCTTCCACGGAATTGCCCTGGCCTCTGGATACGTGCTTGCTGGTCTCGTGGGCTTCGGCTGTTACTTCCATGGATCTTCCTCATTCCAATGGCGATTCCCGTTTGCTGTTCAGCTGCTCCCCGTGCTGATCCTGCTGGGCGGGAGCTGGTCACTTCTTGAATCACCGCGGTGGTTATTGAGCCAGGACAACGAAGATAAAGCGTGGATTAACCTCCGCAAACTGCACCACGACCCCGCTGACCCCAATGACACTTTCGCCAAAGATGAGTACTACCAGATGACACAGCAACTGCGCCTCGAGCGGGAGAGGCGTGCAGCGATGAATGTGCGGCACTGGTGGGACTTCTTCAAAAGCGCCTCGTTCCGTAAGCGGCTGATGGTCGGTGTTGGGGCTCAAGTCTGTAACTCATTTACCGGAAACCTCGTCATTGCCAACTACCAGGTCACCATGTACCGCAGACTGGGTGTGAGCGAATCCATCTCGATCTTGCTCATCGCATGCTGGAACATGGTCGGCATATGGGGCAACTTCACCTCCGCCTTCTTTATCCTCGACCGATTTGGGCGCAAAACATTCTACCTAATTGGCATTGCGGGTTGTGCGTTTAGCCTCTGCTTTGAGGCTGCGCTGACCAAGCACTTTGTTGAGACAGGGTCTACCAATCGCGTCGGACTCAGCTTTGGAGTCTTCTTCCTTTTCCTGTACGTCGCATTCTACGCCAGCTGCATGGACAATCAGCAGTACGTCATTTGCAGCGAGAGTTTTGCAATGGAAAGTCGAAGTTTGGGTGTAGCCTGCAGTCTCTTCGGACAGTTTGCCGCCACCGCACTGTTTGTGGGTGTCGCTCCTGCTGGTAAGTCTCTGGTGGTTGCCACAGCACTGCTGACAGCTATAGCGTTCGCCACAATCGGTTGGAAATACTATCTCACCTTCATCGTCCTTAGCTGCTTCAGCTTCACCTTTGTCTGGCTCATGTTTCCTGAGGTGAGTCCGAACTTCATCCTAAGAACAGTCGCTGACAGGAACAGACAAAGGGACTATCTCTGGAAGAGATTGCAGAATTGTTCGGTGACCCCGTCGCTGTCCATTTGAATGAGATGCAAGATAGCAAACGAAGGTCCAGCCACGCCGAGAACGTCGAGCACTCCTCGAAAGCCGTCTGAAAATGCTACGCCAGATTTTGGCACAGCTGGAGGTAGTTTCAATGGTGGACGGTCCCAGCAGCTCTACGCCATTGGTTCGCCGTCTATATTAGCTGCGTACGATTCTTGTCTCTCGTTGCTTATGGGGAAGAACGAAGTGCAAATCGGGCAGTTCCTGAGCGAAGAAGCTTCAGCGACTCGCATTCGGCTCCTGCGCCATCCTTGAGCCTCGAGCCTTGTCCCGAAGGCCAGTCACGCGCTTCAAACCATCTCGCTCATCACACTGTTTGATGGAAAGTCACTTCTAGATCTGTTGGGCCTTGTAACTTTCCGTGTATATAGGACTACCAAGATGCCAGACGGTCCTTCCAACACTGAATATTATGCGCAGATCGACATGCAGCACGGTCTGTTTACGCCCTGATTGCAGCTATTCTATGTTGTTCACCGGTGTCAGTGGCTTCCCGGTGGCGAAATATGCCATCAAGTTATCCAGGTTTGTCTTCTCAAAGTTCTCCCAGCTTGTCATCGAACAGACCCCAATGTGAGGCAGTACAGCCACCCGCCAGTTCTCCTTCAGCTTCGGATTGATGCCAGGCTCATTCTCATGAACGTCTAGCCCAGCTCCGGCCACCCTCCCGTCATCAAGTGCTGCAAGGAGAGCCTCTTCGTCGATCATCTTTCCCCGTGCAATATTCACAACCCGGAGCCCGGGCTTCAGCGACAATCTTCTCTGATCCAGTAAATGGTGTGTCTCCTTCGTATACGGTGCGGCGATGAGTATACAATCAACTGCCATGATCATTTCTTCCAAGTTCGCGTGATATGTCCAAGGCACCTGCTTCCGTCGCGGTCCCTGATAATGGATGTGCATCGACAATGCCGCCTCACATTTTCGCGCAATTGCGATGCCGATGTCTCCCAGGCCGACGATTCCCAAAGTTTTCCCGCAGGGATCAACCGCCTTCATGCCCAAATCTCGGCTTGCCAACCAGTCGTATCTCGCGCACCACTGTGCATAGGTCAGATACCGGAAAGAATCTAGCACCAACGAGAGCGCCGTATTGGCTACTGCTTCGGTGCAGGAATCGGGAGTATTGCAGTACCAGATTCCCTTGGCCGTGATGGCCTGTACATCGGCTGCATCATGGCCGTGACCACTACAGCAGATGATCTTTAGAGAGGTCGGAAAATGTGGCACAACATCGCTTGCGAATGGCCTCTGCTCGGCCAGCGGACCCGCCTTCAGCCATCCATTTCGTGAAATAGCAACAATGTTGGACCAAGGGCCGTGTAATCGCTCAATAAACTCTGCTGTGGAATTGCAATCGTAATAGATGAGGTTGAATTTCTCCGACAGTGCTTGTCGGCGCTCAACATCTACAGCCTGGACTGTCGAGTCAATGAGCAGAACATCCGGCTTCTGAACCATCATTGCGTTAACCATCTGTCCTTTACGATTCTTCACGCTTCAAGATATCGTTGGAGTTCAGTAGCCGACCAGTTGATAAGCCGGTCCCCGCATCGGCACAACAGCCGGTCTCACGTGATATGGATATGACCGCGACTTACAACAGATAGATTCCCAGAGTACTACTGCGAGGATGTGCCTATCTCGAACACCCCTTGAGTCCTTACCACACAGGCGAAAGAGTTTCTAGTGTAGGTGTTGTTCCGCCGCGCCAAGCTAAATAAGTGACTGCCTCGTTCAATATGGCGGGGGTGCTTGGAACAGTGGGAGCCTTTGCCGCGGGCCTGCTATCTTTGTTCGGTCAGCAAGCGTTGGATCCAAGCGACTACACAACCCGCACACATCACCTCCTTCAAACAACGCCACTCATCGACGGACACAACGACCTGCCATATCTTCTCCGCCTTGAGATCAAAAACAAGATCTACGACGGCCGCTTCACCTTTGATGACCGTAAGCACCGTCTTCTTGATGATGTCTCTCACTGACTTCACAGATCTTGCGAGTCACACTGACCTGCAGCGGCTGAAACAAGGTCATGTTGGTGGCCAATTCTGGTCCGTGTTCGTGGAATGCCCTTCTACAACACACTTAGACGACCACACGCACTCCGTTCGTGACACGTTTGAGCAGATTGACGTGACGAAACGCATGATTGACGCCTATCCGGACTTACATTACTGCGAAACGTCTTCCTGTGTATTACCTGCCTTTAAAAAGGGCAATCTCCCATCGATGCTTGGCGCCGAAGGCTTGCATCAAGCGGGCTCATCTATCGCCGTCATCCGCCAGTTGTTTGAGGCTGGAGTCCGGTACATCACAGTTACACATAATTGCGACAATCCATTCTCGACGGCAGCGTCAACTGTGACGGAAACGGGGCAAGATGCAGGCTTGAGCGACTTTGGTGCTGCGGCTATCCGGGAGATGAATCGGTTGGGCATGATGGTTGATCTGTCACATACTTCGCACGATGCGATGCGACAAGTTCTGAATGTGACGAGATCGCCAGTGATGTTCAGTCACAGTACATGCTATGGTCTGGCCAAGAACTATCGAAATGCACCGGACGATGTGATTGCAGGCCTGAAAGAAAATGGAGGTGTTTTAATGGTGATGTTTGTGAAGAGGTTTCTCAATGCCACCGACCCAGAGTCAGCAGACATTGAGACTGTTGTTGATCATATAATGCATGTGGTTGGCCTCTCAGGGTGGGATCACGTTGGGATCGGCGGCGACTTCGATGGGACCATGACCCTCGCAAATGGCATCTCGTCAGTTGCAGATTACCCAAAGTTGATTGAGGCTGTGATGAGACGGGGAGCTACGGATGAACAGATCATGAAGCTGATGGGCGAAAACATTTTGAGGTAAGTGCCCATCTTTCATCTCGCTCATGCTGACACGTGCAGAGTATGGAGAGAAAATGAGCAAGTCGCGAAGGGTTTGCAACGCGAGCTACCAGCTGAGGACGTTTGGGAGGGTAGAAGTTGGTCTCGATGGAACAATCCACTTCCTATCATGATCCCTGGAAATGCGGAGCGAATTGCAGCAAAAGATTATCCATAGACATCATCATCTCATTCACTCGAATCAGTTACCAGTTGCAGCTGCTTCCCTCTCGGCCACACTTCCACCCTTTCCTACCGCATTTGCAAACTTGTCACCAATCTTGAACGCACCGAAGACCTGCTTCTTCGCCACCTTCTTCGGGTCTACGCCGTACCCTCCTCCACCTGGGGTACACACGACAATGCGATCTCCAGCATTGAATGGAGCCGTTGCTTTCCCACCCAGACTGATCGTTCTGACAGTCCCATCTTCTGGATCCTTTCGAATCCACAGGTTGACACCCCTCTTGCCTTCATCACCACCTGCCATTCCATATGGTGGAACGACTCTTCGCTCCGACAGAATTGACACTTGCAACGGCATGCGAAACTCAATATCACGCACGCAGCCATCACCACCCCTATGCAGGCCTGCACCGCCACTACCCGTTCGGATAGAGAATTCATGCACAATGACCGGATAACGCCGCTCGAAGATTTCCGGATCACTGATTCTCGTGTTCGTGACGTGGGTATGCACTCCACTCTCTCCTTCCCAGTCTGCACCGGCGCCAGAGCCTCCCGCGATCGTCTCGTAGTAGCCGAAGCCCTTGACGACTTTGCCAGTTACGGCATCGGTTCCTCCGTAGCCGAATGTGAGGTTGTTGCATGTTCCCTGGCTGGCTGCACAAGCCTGGAAAGCCTTGAAGACGAGATCAACGATCCGCTGAGAAGTTTCGACGTTAGACCCCACAGTGGCAGCTTTGAGGGACGGTGAAAGAATGGTGTTGGGTGGGAGAGTGAGTTTGATAGGCGCGAGGCAGCCTTGGTTGAGAGGAATTTCGGTTGAGATCATGGAGCGAAGGCAGTACTGTCCAAGTTAGTTGAGCACCTCAGGAGCTTAGAGTTACTCACCATGATGCCGGAGTACATCACCGCTGGCGGGCAATTCAGGTTGCCATAATGCTCCGGACCGGTACCGGTGAAGTCAAACTCTGCATTACCGGATTCGCCGTCAATTCTGATCTTCAGAGATAGAGGAGTGCCATCGTCAATATGATCGGTCGCCTCAAGATCTTGTCCTTCAAAACGCTTGGAGAACACCTTTAGCAACTGACGCACTGCTTGGGCGGCATTGTCTTGAATAGCGTTCATGTAGAACTGAACCACAGGCCAGGAGTATTCTCGAACTAGCGCTGTGATCAGTTGGATGCCCCGGTTATTGGCAGCAATGGCAGCTTTGAGATCCGCAAGATTGTCTTTTAATGTTCTTGTTCCGCTGCAGCCAGGGTACGAGCCTGGAATGTCGTAAAGAATCTCTGTCAAGCCAGCTTCGTCGAAAACACCTTCCTTGACCATCTTGAAGGATTCGACTGCAACACCTTCCTGCCAAAGCTCTGTGGAGTTGGGAGGCATGGATCCTGGTGCAATGCCACCAATATCGGCGTGATGTCCTCGGTTAGCAACGAAAAACAGTATCGTTTTGTTGTCGTCTGCGAATACGGGTGTGGTGACCGTGAGATCCGGTAGGTGCGTACCGCCGGAGCAGGGGTGGTTGCTGAGAAGCACATCACCTGGCTTGAGCTCACCTGGCTTGTACAGCCTCGCTTGATAGGCAATAGCGTAGCTCATAGACCCGAGGTGACCCGGGATGTGGGGGGCGTTAGCGACAAGTCCGCCGTCAGAGGAGAATATGGCGCAGGAAAAGTCCAGGCGCTCTTTAATGTTGACAGAAATCGACGTCTTCTGCATAGTCTGGCCCATCTGTTCTGCGACACTCATGAAACGGTGGCCGAAGACGCTCAGTTGCACGGGATCGACGACGTCTGTTGAGACACCGGATTTCTTGACATCAAGGATGTCAAGTATAACGTGCTCGGGAAGAACCGTGGCTGCCGAAGAGGGGTCAATCACAATTGTCTGAGTTTTGTCCACAACCATAGCAGGCCCATTCACGCGAGCACCAACGGGAAGATCTCCCAGAAAGTACAGTCCAGTTTCGGACCATCCAGTGCCCTCAAAGTAGACCTTGCGCATGGATTCAGGTTGTACAGGAGTCACCGGTGGTGATTGCTGAACTCTGCGAAGGTCTTCAAAGGGATTCGCCAGGTTGAGATCGGCTCCTTTGCCGACACTGCGTACTCTGACATCTTCCACAAGGATTTCGCGCGGCTGCGTAAAGCCAAACTCCTGTTGATGGCGTTCCGTGAACGCAGTTCCAAAATCAGCCAGACCACCGTTACTCTGTATCATAAGCGTGGTATCACTGCCGTGGTAGCGCATATTGAGGAACTTCTGATGGAAGATGTGCTCTGGGGTGAAGCCTTGCTTTTGCAAGCCGTCCTCGCCAGTTGCACACAGTCTGTCCATTCGATTTTGTAGCTGTTGGAGAGCTTGGACCGAGAAAACAACGGCTTCTGGCTCTTGATTCTCCACGACTACGTCTGCAAGCGCCATGCCGTACGCCGACAGGATACTAGAGTATCGTGGGATAATTACTTGTCGAATGCCCAGTTCGCGTGCGATGGCAACAGCATGCTGCCCACCTGCACCACCAAAGCAACCAAGGTTGTGACTTGCCGTCTCGAAGCCGCGACCTTCGCTGAGTTTGCGAATGGGTCTCGTCATGGTCGCATTTGCAATCATGAGGAATCCCATGGCAACCTCCTCTGCGGTCATCTGGTCGTTACCGTCTTTCTCGTTGTTGATTGTCGCTGTGAGAGCCTCGAACTTGGTCCTTACAACTACCAAGTCGAGCGGCCGGGGGAACAGATCCGGGATGATTCGCCCAAGGAAGAAGTTGGCATCAGTCACAGTGAGTGGACCGCCCTTGCCGTAACATGCTGGTCCAGGATCTGCACCAGCACTGCTGGGGCCGACCTTGAAGAGACCGTTCTCCCAAGACAGAATCGAGCCGCCACCCGCAGCGACAGTGTTGATGTCCAACTGTGGCGTTTGAATCGTGACCTCTGCAATGGTGCTCTCGAAGATGTGTTCTAGCGAGCCAGCGTATCGTGCAACGTCAGTGCTGGTACCACCCATATCGAATCCTAGCACGGGGGTGTCATCCTGAGCATTGTAACATGTTCTTGACAGACCAATGACCCCACCTGCAGGGCCACTCAACACACCACGAAGTCCAGAGAAGTTCGTAAAGTTTGTCAAGCCTCCATCAGATTGATTGAAGAATAGCTTGCTTGCATGCTCATCCTTGAGTTGTCCTTTGAACCCCTTCCTCAGAGTCTCTAGATAGTCATCTGTGATCGGCGAAAGATATGCATCGGCGACGGCTGACTGGCTCCGCGGTACGAGCTTAGCCATCTTCTGGATTTCGGACGACGCAGCGACTTTGAATCCCAGCTCTCGAGCGATTTTGGCGACGCCAAGCTCGTGGTCTTGGAAGGTGTACGAGTGCATCATAGCAATGGCTAGTGTTTTGTAGCCTTTCTCCCGAAGCAGCGCTAGATCTCGTTTGACTTGTTCGTAGTCTGGCTCTTTGAGAATACGAACAGCCTCGCCCGTCAGGCCAGTCCGTAATGCTGAGTCGGACGCCACGTCGATTGGCTTAGGCTCAGGATCCTCTGCGAACCCCTCGATCGTGACTCTCTCATCAACTTCCACAACTGTCTCGTAGAGCTTGCTTAATCGATGTACTGACAAGTCGAAAATGTGAGGACGAGCTTGGTTGCCGATTTTCAAGATGTCGCGAAATCCCTTCGTGATCACCAGCGCAACCCTCTCACCTTTGCGCTCGAGCAAAGCATTTGTCGCGACTGTGGTGCCCATACGAATGGATTCGACCGCCGTCAAGTCCAAAGGCGTACCGCGTGGAAGTCTTGACCCGGACGCCATTTCCAAAATCTGGCGGATGCATTCCGTTGGTGCATCATCGTACTCCTCAGGACACCTCGACAGGACTTTGAAGATGACATCCTGCTCTCGACTGGGGATCTTTGCCCATGCGTCTGTGAACGTACCACCTCTGTCGATAGCTATTCTAATGCCTTGCGACGCCATATTGGGTGTCGTGAGTGTTACTGGTCGACACCGAGTGAACCACCATCAAAGGATATTGGCAACATATAATGCTGCGGACATACCCGGATGGAGGCCCCAGACGGTGTTCTGCCGCCGTCCACCAACAGCACCTTGCTGGAGACCGACTCGAGTGAGCCGACTGATTTTTCTACCTACCGATCGTTGGTCGGCTACATATCGCTCTGCCGAAGGCAGACTCGGCACAACGCCGAGCCCGATAAGAGAGCCAATGGTGCTGGTGTCTGATTGGCCAGAGACACGTCTATCAGCCGAACATGTCGGCAATGGAAATGACCGATGTCTTGCAGATGTCGGTCCCACAATGGTCGTCCGATGTCGACTGGCCGTCTGTATCATGCGCATCGCTGTTCAGGGGGGCCAGGTCAGGCTATCTGGCGCTATCGTGTCCTTTAGATGTTATCTCCAAGTTGAAGCAACACGGTGTGAGTTGGAGGTGTCGGCTAGCACTGGCATGCTACACGGGAGACATATATGGCCTCTTGAGATCCCACGTACTCGCAACAGCACGTGGCTGTGCTTTCCATCGACCTCGGTACCAAATTCTCTCAATGGCTGCAACAATCGACTCTACTGGTGTTGACCATGGCAATAACGTGGAGAAGCGTTCATCGGCGGTCACGCAGACTGAGCCAAAGCCCGACTATGAGAATGGCTCATCTGAGTACTTGCCGGATCCCGTCAAAGAGCGCAGGATGATGCGCAAGTTTGATGTAAGTGGCCGGTAGACATAGCAATTAATCACTAACACTACTAGATCTTTGCTCTCATCTCGCTTGGTCTGCTGTACATGATGGCCAATTTGGACCGCAGCAACCTGGGAAATGCCAACATCGCAGGCATGCCCGAGGAAATCGGTCTAGTCGGTAACCAGTTCGGCATTGCCACAACTCTCTTGTTCGCAACCTATGTTCCTCTCGAAGGCCCAGTGGCTGTGCTTTTGAAGATTATAGGTCCTAAACCCTTGATCTCGGTCTGCGCCTTTTGTTGGGGAGCCTCGACTCTGGGAATGGGCTTCATCCAAGGCTACAAGGGTCTCTACGCATGCCGTCTGCTTATCGGGCTCTTTGAAGCAGGACTGATCCCCTGCATCAACGTCTACCTTGGCTGGGTATACAACAAGTCGGAGCGAGGCAAGCGATCCTCCGTGATCTTCGCCTTCAGTGCCTTCTCAAGTGCCTTTGGTGGAATTCTGGCCTTCGGTCTCACTCAAATAAGTGGCCCGAATGGCTTCTCTGGATGGCGCTGGCTGTTCGTCGTGGAGGGTATCATGACGATTGTTCTGGTACCCATCTTCTTTTTCATCTTCCCAACGACCCCGGTCGAGGCATGGTTCTTGACTGCGGAGGAGAAAGAAATGATGCAGGCTCGCTATGATGCTGACCCAAGCTGGGGCTACACTGAGACATTTTCCGCGAAAGAATGTTTGAAGGCGTTCGCCGACCCCAAATGGTACGCTTTCTTTTGCTACCAGTTCTCTGTCAACATCACATTGTACGGCATGACGACTTTCTTACCGGCTATTGTGCGTGGTCTTGGATATACATCGGTTCGCGCCAACTTGATGACTGTTCCCATATATTTTTGCGCCTTGATTTTCTTCCTGGGGCTGGCATACTGCTCAGACAGGACCGGCATGAGGGGGCCGTTCCTTGCGGGACCACTTGTGCTGTTGATCATTGGTTATGCGATTCTGATCAGCGTCGACAACCTCAAAGTGCGATTCTTCGCCTGCTTTGGTAAAGTCAACCGCACCTCCCAGGAGCAATGCTAATTATTTCAGTCACCGCGTTAGGAATCTATCCAACGACTGGCCTGTCTTTGATGTGGCTGCAGGACAACGTTGCCAGGCACTACAAGCGGGCTACTATGGTTGGATTCACATTGTGCCTTGGTAATACGGCCGGCGTAGCAGTTGGGCAGATCTTCACAGCTCAAACTGCCCCACGGTACATTCCCGGCTTGTCAATCGCTATGGGCCTGGCTGGGTTCGCTCTGTGCATCGTTATCGGGATGATGACTACGATGACCATTGTCAATCGAAGACGCGCTGCCAAAATCCTTGCAGCAGAGCAGGCTGGAACTCCGATCTCGTCAAACCCGGAGCTCGGGGATTACGATGTGCATTTCAAGTATAGCATTTAAGCATCGAAAGCCAGAAGAGATGGTAGAACGTGCAAAGGGCAATTCGGCGACTTGTGGTATCTGTAGTTGTACGGACAGCTTTGAAGCAACATCACTAGTTGCTGTTAGCACGAGTGAGCCGTAACCGATCAAGATCGATTATTCTCGGTTACAAGCCGAACCGAACCCAACCGGTGATCCTACACTTTTGTTTCGTTCGAAGCCTACTGAATATGGCATGTGTAATCTGTGATACTTTGGTCCAGTCCCGGTTCTCGCATCGAACACAATACAATCGCCTTCCCACTTCACAAAACTGCAGCTAAGCCCCTCCCACATCTTGCAAGTCAGGCCAAGAGATTTCTTGTCGACACGGACCTGAAATAAAAACCGAGGCAAGCAGTAGGCCTCTCATAACTCCTCAACAGAACACACCATGCCAGAACATCCTGTGGTGGCTTTGCTGCGGCAGTTGATGAGTATCCCTTCCACCAGCGAAGAGGAGCATGAAATCGGCGTCTGGCTAACGAAGCACCTCTCAAGCCTCGGCTACACCGCTGAACTCATTCCGATCAGCGCTGAGTCAAGCCGATGCAACGTCTACGCATACCTCGGAAGCGATCGCAAAGCACGAACCTGTGTATCCTCGCATATGGACACGGTGCCACCCCACATTGACTTTCGCATGGAGAACGGCGTCATCTATGGACGAGGAGCTTGTGACGACAAGGGACCACTAGCAGCACAGATTCTGGCGGTGGAGGAATTACGTGCTGAAGGCGCCATCCAGGACGGTGATGTCTCCATGCTTTTCGTGGTAGGCGAGGAGAAGGGTGGGCCGGGCATGCTCGCAGCCAACGACATGGGTCTCACGTGGGAAGCAATCGTGTTCGGCGAACCGACTGAGAGCAAGCTGGCTACTGGTCACAAGGGACATTTCGTGTTCGAGCTCTTCGTCCAGGGTAAATCTGCGCATTCTGGATACCCTGAAATGGGCAAGAGTGCGAATGGGAGTCTAGTCGAAGTGCTGAAGGAGCTAAGCTGCTTGCAGTATCCAGCATCCGACCTCCTAGGGCCATCAACGTTCCACTGCGGCAAGATGCATGGTGGTGTAGCGTACAATGTTATTGCAGCTGAGTCATACGCCCTTTGCGGTGTACGAGTGGCTGCGGACCTGCCACGAATTGAAGGAATGGTTGGAGACGTCGTCGGCAGATATCCCAATGTCGTCCTGACGAAAAGCTTTTCTTACTCGGAAACATTGCTGGATCACAACGTCGAAGGTATGTGCTCGTGTATGACTGATGCCTATCTGACAAGTACTAGGTCTCGATACTATCGCGGTTTCATTCGGCACAGATGTTCCGCGGCTGAAAGGCAGCCACAAGAGCTACCTGTACGGGCCCGGATCGATATTGCATGCGCACGGTGAAAACGAGCAAGTGAAGGTCTCAGATCTTATTGAGAGTATAGCGGTCTACAAACAGTTGCTGCAGCTGTCGTTGAAGACCAAGACATAGTCACAGATGTAGGAGAGATTCGTCCAACTGCCGGATGCCGGCCCGACGCCAAGTGACTTTCACGTCGGGTTAGGAGCCGGCCATGCCATAAGGCGCTTGCCGAGTACATATCTCGTGCATCTAGTCAAAGATAGAGCTAGAATTATTCCCACGGAGAACCACTTGGGAGGGCACCCTTGATTATCAGCCGTATGCCTAGAAATCGATTTTGTACCAATAAGGAGGGCACTGGCAATTATCAGCACAGGCGGTACAAGACTGTCCTGACGCACTGAGGAAGGTGTCATCCATCATCAAACAAGACACTACCACTCGAGTTGAAACCACTAGGAGGGCACCGTCAGTTATCAGCCCTGTGGCCAAAGTCCAGTTCCTACACGGATCATCATGTTTTCAGGTTTCGGTGATATTCCAGAGTTGCCTCTAGATGAGGCGTTCCTCTTGACCGCAGCGTTCAAAGCGGATGACCACCCCCAGAAGGTCAGTCTCGGCGCAGGCGTCTACAAGGATGAAGATGGAAAGCCATGGATCCTCTCAAGCGTGAAACAGGTGAGCTACAAGCTACTACGCGAAGTCAAAGCCTGACACTGTGGAGGCCGAGAAAATCCTTTACGAGGCTAGCCTGGACCACGAGTATCTGCCAATTCAGGGCAATGACGTCTTTCTCAGCTTGGCCCGCGAGCTTGCCTTTGGTGAGACTGGTTCGAAGGGCAACATCGTCTCTATGCAAAGCATTTCCGGCACTGGCGCAAATCATCTAGGGGCCAAATTCCTCGCGGAGCAGCTAGAGCCCAAGCATGTCTGGATTTCCGACCCGACATGGGGCAATCACCATCTCCTTTGGACTGTTGCAGGTCCAAACGTTATCCAGAAGAAGTATCCGTATTACGACGCGGCGAAAGGATCCCTGGATTCCGATGGGATGATGGCAGCATTGGAAACAGCAGAGGAGAACGATGTCGTCCTGCTACATGCGTGTGCACACAACCCCACTGGTATCGACCTCACTCCCGAGCAGTGGCGGCCGGTTGCAGATCTGTGCAAGCGAAAGAGACTCTTCGTCTTCTTCGACTCGGCATACCAAGGCTTCGCAAGCGGGGACGTCGATGCAGATGCCTGGGCTGTACGTTACTTCCAAGAAGCAATTTTCGACACCCAGAACCCATTAGCTGGAATGTGCTTGGCTCAGTCGTTTGCAAAAAGCTTCGGATTGTACGGCGAACGTGCTGGAGCTTTCCATCTGATTCTGCCACCTGGCGTACAGTCTGCGGCAGCCCGGAGTCAGCTCCTCCGGCTTACACGAGCTGAGATTTCGACACCTCCGCTGTACGGCGCGAGAATAGTCGAGACAGTCCTTTCAGACCCCAAGTTACGGGCGATGTGGAAAGCTGACCTGCTGACCATGTCCGGCAGAATAAAGCAGGTGCGCTCAATGCTTAGGCGTGAGATTGAGAAACTCCCGCGCAGTGGAGATTGGAGCCGACTGGAGACGCAGATCGGAATGTTCAGCTACACAGGTTTGACAGAGAAGCAAGTGTTGCGTCTTAGGGAAAAGTATCACATCTACCTTATGCGCAGCGGCCGAGTGAGCTTGAGCGGGATGAACGAGAGCAACGTGAAGTATGTTGCGCAGGCTATCAACGATGTCGTGACCGACGGCACTCTATAGGAGTAAATCCATATCCTCGTTCGTCAGTCCGAGGCTTTCGTCCCAGCTCGCATCCGTATGATCCAGGAATGTCTGAAGAAGAGGGTTATCGAGAGGGTCAACCGCTGGACCGGTCCCAGACCAGTCATAGTTGGCTAGTGGATCGCTGGGAGCCAGAAACGTATTCCAGTCGTAGTTGTTGACGTCAAGGCTCTCCGCTGCCTCCTCTGGCAAGGAGACGGGGGTATCGGTGACGGGCAACGGTTCCAGAGCTGTGTCTTTGTTGGTGCTGCGAGCTCGAAATCGCCCTACACTCCATTGAATATGCGCCAGTCGGGCATAGTACTGATATGCAGCCATGTTTCCGTTGTCTCGCATCGTTTTCAGAAGGTGAAACGCCGTCTGGACAGCATCCGAGTCACTGGAATTGGGTGAGATAATTGCTGAGATGATCAATACCAAAGTGGAAGAGAAAAGGTGGTGGGCATCAAAGTACCCGTATGTGGCCAGCGCATTCTCCACAAACAATTGAGAAAGAAGACTGTTTGATGTCCGGGCAGCCGAGATGCATGACTCGGCAAGCATCTTTGCTGTGTCTGAGATAGGAGGCGTCACTGCTTTGTTTGCCCCGAAAGGGTTCTTGGCTTTGAGTACATGCAGCAATATCGGCCGGGTTGTCAGTATGATGCATTGGTTGAAGTGTAGGTGTAGCGATGCAACATGACGGTGGGATGTGCTGTGTTTGAGCCTTAGACTGTCTGGCATGTTGGCGTCTAGTTCTTTGAGCTGCTTGAGAATGTTTCGTACATTACTGACGAAGCTGTTGCTCGATCGAGATGACACACCGTATATGTCACGCAGTATACAACCAACAATCCTGCTCAGTTTGATGTTGATGATCAGATGGGCCGGCGAGTCAAACTTGTCTTGAGCTTCTGGGGGCAATTTCTCTGATGGCATACCGACTTCGATGTCAGCATCTTGTATGCTTAGTGGTTGGCCAAGCCTGGTGCTCGTTGAACGGTCGAAGATGTACACGGTCCACCATAGACGGATCCTATGCTCTTGTTCGACCGGTGTAAGACCTGCCGGCATGCTCCGGTGTAGTCCCAGACAGGTGCTCAGCCGCAGTGCGATACCGGCATGAACATGAGCCGACTTGACACGGCCAAGTGCGTTTGAGTAAAAGCAGAACAGGAGCATTGTCTCGACTTGTGACGTTGTTGGCTCCTCGTATAGGTCTTGAAGCAGCTCTAGTGCTGTCAGAAAGTACTCTGTACCTGGAACGATACCATCGCTTGGAGCAGCTGTAGAATACAACTCTCCAAGGGCAAGGGTAGCAAAGAACTTGCACGCCCATACGGCGTCGTACTCGCCCGTGATGTAAGCTCGGTCGAGTTGCTGCAGGAAATCCTCTTTCAGAAAGAAGTGATAGTCCTGCCCAATGAATCGAATGGCGACACGGACCAATAGATTTGCCCGTATGCGCTCCGGAAGCTTCACACTGGGCATCTCTCCCGTTTGACGTGCGAATGCGTCTCCCTGAGTATACCGGTACTCCGAAGCCATCACCGTGGCCTGTGGATTCAAGCATTGCAGCAAACGGTCACCAAAGAGCGAACATGTCGACTCACCAATGAACTGTTGTCGCGAAGCTTGGTCGTACTGGAAGACGTTGCGGGGTTCATGCAGAGGGTTCCGAATATCACGATCTGTGGGTACATGGCTGGATGCTCTTGAGACATCCCCCGAAGTGTTGCGGCCCCGGTCTGGGATCGGTGTTCCCAGGATAGCCTCGTCTCGCCGTTGAGGGCTCATCCTAGCAGGCTGTCAGTTTCAAGAGCCGTCGATCTTGGTGAGACGGACCCATGCGAGTACGGCCGACGTCTATGCATTGGATATTCGCAAGCAGAGCCTTTGCCGGCCTTCTGGCACCGCCGGCAAGGTACCTCGCCGGTACACTTGACCTTTTGGCCATGACATCGGAAACATCTAAAGGCGTCAGTAGGCTGTCGGTTCTACGGTGGCGTACTCACGCCACGTAGGACCGTCTCTTCTTCCTCGGAAGCGGCTCATCAGATCTGCCGTCTACCGCACGAGGCGATGATATCTCAGCCATGATTCTGGCCCGGGAACGTCTAAGCCGGCGATGTTTGCCTTATATCGGCTGTGAGTCGGTTAGCAGAAGTCGGCTCTGACGAGCCAGGCCGGCTCCCGCCGGATAGCGATTAGACGGGCCGAGGTCACATGATGCGCTGCGGACAAGTGCACGATTATTCCATCTTGGCTTTGAAAGTTCCCTGTCCCGCACTCCGAGCCCGTTGGCCAAAGGGTGGTGTCCGGGAGCGGACGTCGAAGCCATGAGCAGTTGAAACTGGTTTATGCGTGAAGCTCCAGTGAATTGGCAATATCTCTGATTTGGTCGGCCGTTGGACTCAGTCCAGATCCCACTCCAACGTTCGCAACGACCAACTTCCTCAATGCCCCTCCGACGAAGCAGCCAACCTCTATAATATTGCACATCACCTCGATCGCGGCGGACTACAGTCCAACAGCGCCTCCGCTAACACCCAGGTACCCTTCTCGTCAGATCCTGGACTCCTTCCGCAATACCTGCTCCTGAATTTTCAGTCCGATGAACCGTGAGTAAAAACGAGCGTGTACAGCCGCTCCGGCCATCAACCACAGTCCGGGGGCTTTCACATCAGCAAGTAATCGCCATGGAAAGATGAGGGAACTCACCACTCTCTTCACAAAACCCTCTGATATCGCCCTCTTCGGACAAACCCCAGATGATAGGCAACTGCCTTGCCATGGGTCCCAGGAACGCTTCAAGGTCCTTCCGGTAGTCGGGTTCGTAGCCTGTCGCCAGCACAATCACATCGGCCTTGATCTCCTGACCCTGCACCACGATACCGCTGGGACTGAATCGCTCGATGAGCCCGTTGACCACTCTAATCTCACCGTCTTGGATGTGCTTTGACGTCCCAATATCTATGTAGTAACCTCCAAAGTGGTTCAACACAATCTCGTTCGGGATCACGTCACGCTCCTCGCCCATATCGACGCGAAACCCTGCCCGCTCCAGCTTCTCAAAGTACTCCTGATGCGTTTTCACATACTCTTGATAGCTCGCCCGCTGCAGCTCGCCAGCCACCTTTGTTGGCATCCCCATGGCGATTCGATCCGGATACTCGTTAGGATGACCCCATTTGTAGCCTGCACGCTGCGCTTGTGCATACCATTCCATGGGATAGACCGCAGTCTTGCTGCGTTGGATCATGGTAACGTCCATCCCGTGGTTGTACATGTCTTGTGCGACGTCGTGGCCAGCGGTCCCGGTTCCAATCACCACACCACGCTGGCCTGACCATGGCCTGCTGTTTTTAAAGTCGACCATATGCATCAACGTGCCAGTGAACGTTATCTCATCCGGCCAGGTCGGGCGCCGTGGCTGCGTGAGACCAGCACCGAGAGCGAAGGCGACGTGAAGCGCGCTGATCACCTGACCATTGACAGTGACATTCCAGTGAGCGCCATCGCGCACGCAAGAAGTGACTTCGGCATGGGTGCGCAGATGGATGAGATGTTTCTCAATAAAACGGCGGAACCCTTCAACCACGCGGGCGCCCGGGAGAAATTCGTCTTCCGACTCCTCCCACGTGGAGCCAAATGGCAAGTTATTGAGCTCCCGGAAACTATGCTGGCGTACTGTATCGTAACGAGAGATCCATCTGTAGCCTGCCGTGTGAGACTTCTCCAAGACGACATAGTCGATACCGAGAGCCTGCAGACGTCCTGCCAGAGAGAGACCACTCTGACCTCCACCCACGATCACAACAGTATATTTGGACGCCAACGGTCGACCGATCACGGGCTTGTCGGGCCCCTGAGAGTTCTCTACTATGGTTGTCATAATCACAGTCCAGCTGGGGTGACTGAGTGGCTTACCAGTAATCGATTTGTCTGGGTTACCGTGGCCCTCGTAATTCTCCAGGACGGTTGAAATCATCCAAATGCGCCACTGTCCTTCTTCTAGGGTGAAACCGACCATGCCGGAGCCATTGCCACTGAGAGAGCCATGACGCACCCGGAAAGCATAGTCAACCGCGACCCACGAACTCCGAAGCAATCTGACTGTCCTAGTGCGTCCTATCCGGAGATCGCGCAGAGGAAGAGTATCCGACCAGGTTTGGGCGATCTGCTTTGAGTGCGTCTGGACCTTGTGAGTCTTCGCGAGCAGATCCAGCCACAACGCCCAATCTGTCAGCATGTCCGGCCTCAGGGTGGTGAGAGCATTTGAAGCCAGACTCGAAAACAGCTGGAGGTTGACATTGTTTGGGATGTTGTCTGGCGGTAGTTTTCCAGGCAGATCCCTTATGGACGTTCCAGGTGCCCAGGCTTGCATCGTGACATCGTGTCAGTACCAGAGTTTACGCGGGTAGCAAACCCCTATAAGACAATGCAAGGTGTGCTCGGTGAGGTGAGCGCCAAGATCAGGCGGCCACCCCATGAGGTCGCAAGCCTGATCACACAAGTCAAACGTGACTTCGCGTGACTCGCAAGAGCATGACCCTGACCCGATGAGGTGTAGGCTCCGTAGGCAACTACCAAACGAATTAGTCGTCTGGATTCGATAAGGCCAGTCAGCGGGGCGAAGGCGGTGAAGGCAGCGATGCATTTTTATTTTGAGAAGGTGGATCTATGCTGGACGCTCGAGATGTCGCCTTGATTCATTTCGCCGTGCTGAGGAGACGATCATACAATGCTCCCATTCATCAATAATCAGCAAATAAGATCACTGTGTGCTATTCCACTTAGAGACGCTGCATATGAGGTGGCGTGGTCTTCTCTTCGTCCAATATCTTCTCGTCGTCTGATGATCTGTCCAAGCCAGCTTCAATGCCTCCATCAGCGACTGCACGCGCTATCACTTCACCCTTGGGCTGCATGGCAACGGTCTCCTCAGTACCTTCGGCACGTCGTTGTGGCGGAATGAAGACGTTGTAGTAACGCGGGATGATACAGCCAGCAATGACCAGGACCATCCCGATGTGGGCGACCGTGAACCCGAGGATCATTAGAGGATCGTAACGGAGTGTGTAAAATTCGGGATAAGCGAAGCTGAAGATAATGGCCAACACAGGTCCACTAATGTAGCGCAGGAGGATCGGCAGAAAGGGTGGAATCTTCCAATTCTTCCCGGTGCCAACGATGATGTTGAGATCGCGACGAAGTTGATTTCCCTGTCGAAGATGTTAGCCACGAACTTTGACAGCAGTAGTCAGCCTACCGAATAGAAAGCCAGGAACCAGAAGCGGCTGGTGATCGCGTTTGATTCCCAGAAGCTGGAGAAGCGGGTGGCGAACGCGTTTGATCTCCAGAACCTGGACAGGCGGCTTGCGGACGCGTCCGCGCCCCCGATCGTTGCGGCTGGAACAGTTGGCGTCTTAGCAATTAACACCGCCGCGATTGTGCAGACAATGTAGAAGCCGAAACCTGCACCGACTCCAGCGGGCGGGCTGCCGATACCATGAGCGAGTGCGATGCCAAAGACCTGCGCGCCAAAGTAGCCAAAGTTGTATAGAGCAAAGGCTGGGAGTCCGGTCTGATCAACAACATCAGACCACCTATAGACAGTTGTGGCGCTCACCACCTCTGTCCACACGACAAAAATAAGTGCGACATTGTTGATCCATCGATCAATGCCGTCAAGGAGGTAGTAGCCAAACTCCGTGCAGTATGGCAGACACAGCAGAAAGGAGATGATGGTAAGCGTGGTAACGATGACCGGGCGCGAGAACTTCACGCCAGCATCCACCGCTAGAGTTGCGGTCGCATCCAGCATAACAAAGGCGGAGCTGAAACCCAAGACGACGAGCGTGAAGAAGAGCAAAACGGCCCAGAAGTTCGCGCCAGGCATCTGGAGCACTGCTTCTGGCAGTGTCAAGAAACCGACAACGAACGCGCCCAGTCTTTCGCCGTCCTGTGGCCAACGTCGAAGGTACCCAACGACACCAAATACGGCAAAAGCTGCAAAGTTCTCGAAAAGGACATTGCTGCCGCAGATAAGAATAGCGTCCATGACCGCGTTCGAGTGCTTCGCGTTGTACGAGGCGTAAGAGGTGAAGTAGCCGAAGCCGATGCCGGTCGAGAAGAAGACCTGTCCCACCGCCGTCTGCCAGACAGTACCGGATGCAAGCTGATCGCTTCTCCACGTTGCCCACAGAAGCCGTACGCCCTCGCTAGCGTTGTCGAGAGACAGAGAGCGGCCGACGAGAATGATAGTTGTAACAATTGGTAGTCCCATGGTAAAATAGACGACACGGCCAGTCATACCGACACCCCGGAAAATTGAGGCCCAGATCAGGAACCAGATGAAGATACTCCAACCGACGGTCTCGCCAATAAGACCGACAGAGGGGTACGAAGTGTATGCTGCGACTGAGCCATCATCGTTCAAGCTGCCGGTCCCCGGAGTGGGATTGGCGATGACATCGTTGTTGTAGAAGTCTTCTAGTCGGTTCATCCATGGAAGTGGGCTGGTGAAAGAATTTCTGAAGTAGTTCATAATCCAGGCTAGGTTGACGGTGAAGTACTGAACCACGATAAAGCTGACAAAGACTGGACCGAGGCCGACTCCCTTTAGTCTCTGGTTGATATTATTGAACGCGATCACGCTTCCACCTCGGTACGCCTGCCCTATCGAGATTTCGAGGATCAAGGCTGGGATGGCAATCAGAAAGACGGCCAGAAGGTACGGAATGAACCCTATGAATATGAGTTAGCTTGTACCATGGTGGCAATAGAGCAACAAACATTGTAGCCCGTAATTATTGTATACGACCGATGGGTATCGCAGCAAGTTACCCTGACCTGCGCACCCACCCATGGCGGCCAACAGGAAGGCTGCGCGCGAAGGCCATTGATCACGCCCATCTTCGGACTTTGCAGGGGGAGGAACGATCAGGTTCCCAATCTTCTTGAGTGTGTCCATGGTTGAAAAACGCGCAGGGTCCTGGAGTGCCAACTCCAGATCGAGCGCGCTTTTGTATGAGCTACATCAAAAGCAGGCCAAGGAACTGACAGCAACCCCACTGCGGCGGACGAAATGGCCTGAGCAAATCCTACAGCATGGGCGGCTGTCGGAGGGCGGGCACGATGCTTGGCATGAACGTCGAGGTGGAGCAGCCTGCAAATAAAGTGGTAGAGTTGAAGGCTAAGCATTATTGGCGTGGGAGCCGTAGGGGAAACGATGCCACGGTGAGATCAGGGAAGCGAGGCGAAAGTGTGCTCAGTTGCGTAAAAGCCCAGACTTCCGCTCCGCTAGAGAGCCTTGGCTGTGGAGTTCGACGTCACCCTGCTCCAATGGTGTTCATTGTGTTTGCCGTCTTCCGCCTCACTTGACTTGGCGGTTGGGGTCTTGTCCCAGATGTCAATCCACATTCATAGTGTTATGCGCGCATGAAAATCCTTGTTGAAGATGGACGGGAAAATGCGAGCCTCCATAGGGCAGGGCGCGCTAGAGTAGACACCCCGACATCAACCACGTGTGGTACCTCCACCAACAAGTTGAATTTTCCTGCCAATTTTTTTGCGTGGCAAGCTTTGACGATGACGGATGTAATGCTATGTCGTGATTCTGTGGCGTGTCGCGTGCTCAGCGCAGAGGTTTCCAAGGACGACGCCTCAGTCAGCAATTTGCTATTTGCAAAGTCGAGGACAATGGTCGATCCACTTTCAACTCCACAGCAGATCGTTGTATCGTCTTCTTGTCGCCAACGTCCGTCCGAGTAGCCCAATGATATACTGCTCGCGATCGGCTACAGTGTCTCGTGCCATTGATCTGGCTGTCCTCTCGTCTTACCAGGAGGTATCCTCATCTCGAACGTTATGGACATAAAACGCGGTCGAAGAGCCGATGAAGAAGTTACGTGGGTCCGAGCTATGCGAGATCTTCGAGAGGTCGCAAAGAGGCTGCTTGTACGGATCTGATTCAAGGATGTTCAGCTTTTTGAGCCACTTAGCATCTCGGAGGATCCATGGGTTTTGGTCAACAGCTGTCTCTGTCAGCTTAGGGTTGAAAGCACACATCCCGTCTCGCGTAGCATATATCCATTTCTTAACATCACCTGCTGAGCATGAAGACACGGAGCAGCATAGTCACTCGATCGGTGACTGCAAATGCGTACCAAAAGACCATCGCCTTTTGAGTGCAGTCAATCTTGAAACGATCATCGGCGTAGCAACAAAGCCGCACAGAGCATCTCTCTGGCGACTTAGCTTACGACGTCAAGGGTACAGTACACTGTCATTTTCAGGTCTATGAGACGCGGAGGCTTGCTGGCTTGATGGGGAGAAGTTGGAAAGATACTTATCGACGAGTGAAGCACAAACCCCACGACTTTTGTGTGGGCCCATGTCGGTCGACGAGAAGTTCCGCGCCGACCGCCGCACATCAGCTCGAGTCGTTGCGACCAATGCTATCTTCTACTAGGCATAAACGTATTGCGCCAGCTGTCGAAACCGTACACATTTACGCGACATTGCCACCGCCGACTCATCTTTCGTGACACAATTCAAAGTGATACCTCCCACGAGAAACCTATCATTTACCCTGCCTCGAAACCACCACCAAATTTCCCCGCCACAGAACGCACCAAATGCGCGGCACTCTTGCGAGAACCCAATAACACAGCTCGCAGACAGAGCTCCCCGAGTACCTCAACGGAACAATCTCCCAGTCTGTACGATCCAGCACAATGCCGGACCTACCCACTCTGAACGCCTTTCTCTCGTCCGCCTCGCTTCTCCTCTCCGCTTACCCCAGCGCCCGCATAACCACAAAATACTCGCTGCCCCGCGCACCCAAGAACGCCTCGTCCAAACCCACGAAACAATCCTCAGAAGCCGCGTCAACGAATGTCGACGGCGAGCAAGCACCGCATCAGAAAAAGGAACCCTCCGCGACCTTGACCTGCAAAGTCTACCACGCTCCCTCCGGCATCTGCCTCAAATACAAGACCGACAAGGCGCAGGAGGTGGGGCGGCTGATCACAAGTCTTGGGAAGTTGGGAAGGGGCGAGGCGATAGAGGTGTCGAGCGCCGCGGCGGGCGCGGAGATGGAAGGGGAGAAGATGGATGTTGACTCCGGGCCGAGCGTTGCGGTCAAGGAGGAGGATGCGGTTGTTACTGGGAAGCCGGTCGCGCAGCAAGCAGCCGGTGGTAGTGTTGGTGGCGGTGGGGGCAAGAAAAAGAAGAAGGGAAAGCGGTAGTCTCGGGCATGGAATTGGTCAGGAAACCGTCTGTGCCATCACTCCGTCAAGAGGCGTAGACAGGAGCAGGTAAAGGCGCATTCGGGCTTGCTGTGGGGTTGCAGGCACCGGGAGATATCTGATGAGCTGGAGAAGCCGGACGTCGGTCCAGTACGCAATCGAGATACAATGGCAACAACACGAAAATACAGGGAGCGTGAAGAATCAAAAATCAGATTCAAGCTTTTTTGGCTTTCGTCTACTACTCATAGTAGCAAAACTAATCCCCGTCTCGGGGATGTACAATCATGCTGTCAGTGCAGCTTCATCGCCTAACGCCCATGGCCATCGTGGCCTTTCCAGACCCAAACATCGGATATCGACAGTGACAAAAGGAAAGAATTGACCATTATAGTACGCGCCGCAGAGCAGAGAACCTGCTCATCTATGCCCCCATGTATGCTGAGCCGGATCTGATGTGTCGAGTGGAGCTCCTTGGTCAATAGTATCACATAATATTCGTAAACGCCTCAGAAAAAGCCGCTGAAAGAGCACAAGCTTAGAACTCATCGTCAAAGGTGAAGGCACCACCATCTTCGGGTGTTGCCTCCTCAACGGGAGAATCACCAGCGGCAGCAGCGGTGGCCTTGTCAGCAGACTTCTTCTGACCAGCCATGACACCGGCCTTCTGGTAGTCACCAACACGCTTCTCGAAGAAGTTGGTCTTGCCGGCGAGCGAGATGTTCTCCATAAAGTCGAATGGGTTCTGGGACTTGAAGTATTTCTGGTTGCCAAGAGCGACGAGTAGACGGTCAGCGACGAACTCGATGTACTGCTTCATGAGATTGGCGTTCATGCCCAGGAGGGCGCAGGGCAGAGCATCCGTTAAGAACTCCTGCTCGATGGCAACGGCCTCGACAATGATGTCCTGGATAGCTTGCTGAGAGGGGCGGTGCTTCAGGTGAGACAGCAACAAACACGCAAAGTCGGTGTGCATGCCCTCGTCACGAGAGATCAGCTCGTTGGAGAAGGTCAAGCCAGGCATGAGACCACGCTTCTTGAGCCAGAAGATGGAAGCAAAGGAGCCGGAGAAGAAGATACCCTCCACGGCAGCGAACGCAACAAGACGCTGGGCAAAGGTGGAGTTCTTGTCCGAGATCCATCGCAGAGCCCAATCGGCCTTCTTGCGGATGCAAGGGATGGTGTCAATGGCATCAAAGAGGTAAGTTCTCTGCTTGGGGTCGCTGATGTAGGTGTCGATGAGGAGCGAGTACATCTCGGAGTGGATGTTCTCCATCATGATCTGGAAGCCGTAGAAGCAACGAGCCTCGGGGACCTGAACCTCATTGGAGAAGCGCTCGAGCAGGTTCTCATTGACGATGCCGTCGGAAGCGGCGAAGAAGGCGAGGACGTGAGAGACGAAGTAGCGCTCATCATCATTGAGGCGGTGATGCCAGTGCTGCAGATCTTGAGACAGGTCGACCTCTTCCGCAGTCCAGAAGGAAGCTTCAGCCTTCTTGTACACTGGTGGGGTCGCGTTAGCAAGGGGCACGCGTCGCGTGTTGTGTTTTGCACTTACTTTGCCAGATCTCGTGGTACTTGAGAGGGAATAGCACGAAGCGGTGAGGGTTCTCTTGTAGCAGAGGCTCGTCTGCCTCTAGCTCTTTGATAGTGGGAGCCACCTTGGGAGCTTCCTTGGACTCGACCTCGGGCTCGGACTTCTTCAGCTCAGGCTCTATGGGAGCCGGTGATGACTCGGCGACGGGCACGTTCTCCTTCTCCTCGGGGGTGAAGTCGAGCTTCTTTACTGGCGAGTCCTTGACTTTGAGATTCTCGAGGTTGGAAGCCGCCTAACAAGGAATGTCAATACTTCAGGTCGTGTCGTCAGGACGAGTGGCAACATACCTGCTTGGACGGCGTGACTTGAGTGGCCATTACTGGAGATGTCTGTGATGATGTGAAAAAGTGTTATGTCAAGAGAAGATAACAAAGGATGTACTAGGGCGTGAGAGAGGTGGAAGTAGTCTGGGAACGCGAGGTGGAAGAGTGCAACAAAGCAGAAAGAGGGCGCGCATCTTTTATGATGTAAATCGCGCTAAACGCGTCGGTCACGTGAAGCGTGTAAAGTGGTTGGCAGCTTGACTCCACCATAAACATTCTCCTGTCTCCGTGCCCACCGCGAACGACGCGGCCAATCCATGACTAGATTCTGACAAAGGAGTGACCAATATGCTTGCTTCCGTGCCCTTGGTGGCATAGTTCAGAGCTGGTCTGGTCCATGAGAGCTCCAGTGGTAAAAGTTTGATCAGATTAGATTATCTTATCTGATCCCAGCCTCTTCCATTGTCGCCCTTTGTGGATCCCCACCTCGTCTCCCAAAACACCTTGTCACAACGCGTCGACTGCATTACGACACGCGTCGAGTCCGCGCGGAGTGTTTTCTCGGCAAGGCATCATATCTGATCGAGTGTCTGTTCGTCTTACACCTCATAACCCCGTCGCAACCGCGATGCTTACGTGCTTTGCCCTCTCGATGGAGGGCCGTTCACCTACCGTCTCGCCAGGCATGGGAAGTCTGATGAGTAGACAGAGATTTCGCGTCGGGACACCTTACTACTCGGCCTCTTTTGAGTGTCCTCACGCCACCGCTAGCAATTTTTTAACTGCCCGAACACCGAGTCATCATCTCAACATCCCGCCGGATGCTGTTCTTAACCGAGTGACCTGCATATTCACTGCCTGAAGATGTCTTGGCAAAACAATCTACCTTGGTGGCACACCCTGCTGTCTGCTGACTCTGGGTGAATATGGAGGTAATGGTGTCTCTCATTGTATCTATCGTCTGCAGATGCTCCTCGGGAGCAAGAAGTCTACACCAGTCGCTCATGCACTCGGCCGATTCTAGCCTCGGCACAACTCACCTTGGTTGCTCCCTCAACAGATACTGGCAACGCTTCATGAGAAGAGTACAAGCGGCCCAATACCCAGGTGTATCAGGTGAGCATGGCAACCACTGCAAATCGAAGATGGCCCGTTGGGCTGATCTTGGTATCGACCAGATTATCCAAGAGGCAAAAACGGGCCCCATCGACTCCAAAAGTGGTCTCCATATTCATCACCTGCAGTGTCGTCTGCATAATACTTGACGCCACAGTATTGCAGAGCTGGCAGCGGGTTACCTCCGTATCGCGGTGTCCGCCCTTCCTTTCTCCAGAGTATCTCCTCTTTGTTGTAGTCGCACCATTTTCGTTGATCCCCAACGTGCTTGGGTCTCGGGGGTCTACGCGCCAGGTACGGTCCACCCTGGGGTTTCTTGTGATTGCCCAATACTCGAACTGTGCCCATATAGAGTTACCTTGCCAGGATTCGCCTTTTGGCATGACCAAAAAAAAACATCCAAAGTTGACAGCCGCCATTGAGAGGGCTTGGGAAACGCACGCTGTGGATGTAGATATTGGGTCGGCTGGCCAGTTCGTGGGTCTCCTCTCATCGTCGTCGTCACCATCGATGTCGGCAATGTGCGTAGCCTGCTTGAGAAGCCAGTTGACGTTGGCACAAACCATATACGCACAGTGCTTGAGGTCGAGTAGACTATGTTCATCCTTCTGATTCTTGAACCACTTAGCAATATCGCCGATGCGTTCCGCCATATTATCGGCCCACAAAGTGTAGAAAGCAAGGTGATGCTCAGGATCAGCCCAGCCGGCGTGGTCGATATCACGCATGTGGTCAACAATCTCCTTGAGCGAGGGAAGTTTATTATCGCAGTCGTAGCCGCCGTTGGCATTCAGCTCGCACTGTTGTTTGCGCCGAGGTGAGAGCGTAGTAATGTCGTTTAGAGCATGTATGACATGCTTTGAGCGCTCGAATGAGCCATTGAGCGGGTATCCGAGGCAGGTAGATAGAAGCAAGAGTAATGTTAGCACCCATGAAACCATGTTGTTGGATGAGAAGCACTCTAGCCGTGCGAACAGGGTGCGGCTAGATTCTGAGGTTGGAGAGTGCTGTCAGATCATAGAGAGTAGAGAGTACGAGGGTGCGTGACAAAGCACAAGTAGATGTCTAGCGCGCCATGGCCTCAGAAGTAACAGCTTCGCATTTGCGTGCCTTCAAGAGTCGTGACTGCCGTTCAGACGCGGGTGATAGTGACCCAGGTGGTGGAGACGTGACGCCCGGAGAGCTGCCTTTGCGATCACCTCTTGTGTGAAAGCAGTCTTCCTGAAGGGAAGAGTGTACGTATCTACCGTGAGCCAGACCGCTGGGGTTTATCGCCGCAGCGGTCGTAGCCTGAGAAACGCACTGGGCTCGTCGATCAAGTATGTCACGACATGATCTGGCTTGTATTTTGCGTTGTTATGAGACGGAACTCATTTGTACTCATACATACTCTCGAAAGAGACCATTATTGACAGTAACCGTACCTTTGATACGTTCTTGCTGAACTCTGCGTTGATGCTCGACAGTTAATGTGTGACGATGGCTAATTATGCATCAAATAGATCTGGTCAGTGGGATTCGACCCTTGCTTCCAGTGAGGTGATTGTGAGTGCGAGCCACTTCGCATCTGATTTTGATTCCTTGGGTTGACATGTTGGTGAAGTTGTGTTCGTCGACTGAGTGAGTACTCAACAGTTGGCACCAACCATCCGGCAAAGTGTTGCGTTGAGTGAGTTGGACGGACCATTTCCGAACAAGGTATTGCCCTTCCTGGCCTCGGTTGGTGGATCGTCGTTAGGACTCTGCTTGGTCTTGTCAAACACAGGAGCTGGACCCCAGCCAGTCCAATTGGGGCCATCAGTTGTGAATTTGATAGTACAGTACTGCCGTGGAGCTAGCGGCTGACCACCATTCCGTGTTTGCGCATTGCCCAGTTCCCACATGAGCTGAGGCTTGTCCCATAGTTCCCGTGGGTTAGCACGCCAGATTCGCTTGACTCGAGCACTGTGAGTCAATGCCCAGAATTCGTACTGTTCTGATGAGCATTAGAAACGTTTGACTTTCTGGGGGAGAGCAGCATACCCCATGCAGATTCCTCCGGCCAGTCGCCCTCATACGGGGCAAGAAAGTAGACGTCCGGATTCTGAGCTGACATTGCCAATGCCTGAAAGTGGCAACCCAGCCATTGTTGGGACGCATCCGGGCCATATATCCTGGGACCTTTGCCTTCTTGGAGTTCAAACTGAATGTAGAAATTTTGAAACTGTGACCAGCCGTAGTCCAAGCAGTTTTCGAACCAACACCAGTATCTGATGTGCTGTGTCGAAGCCCATCGTCCTAGAACAGCCCAAGTCGATTCCATCGTCTTGCCGAGGCCGTTGAAGAAAATAACATGGTGGTTAACGTCCATAAGACCACCATTGTTGTAGTCCCACATACGATACATCAGCTCAGCCATAGAAGGGTACCAGTCATCGCATCTCCATTCGCCTGTCACCGAGTTGCGAGAGCACTGGCGAGGAAGCAACTGATGAGTAGGGGTTTCGGCGGCCAGTATTGAACCAGGATCGACAGCGGTGCCATTAGGAGTGGGCAAATTGGAATCCAATGGGTGGCCGACACAGGGATGTAGCAGAGCAAGGAGGAAGAGAAGGATGACATGGGCAATCTTGGAAGCCATACTGGACAACTGTGCTCAGCGGCGGCGAGACATAACAGGTGAACGCAATCGAGAAAGCGAACTGTGTCTGTTGACGGCGAGATGCTGAAGTAGCGAACAGGTGCCAGGGTTTACAGTTCAAAATGAAATGGAAATTGTGTCGTGGGGAAGTCGCACAAGTCGTAACAGCCGGGAGAGAATATGGCTCCCGCTGCTGCACCTTCCTCCTTGGCCGGACGTTGGGCGCGGCTTCTCGCCAACGGCAGAGGACCGAATGGTACTTTTGAGAGCAGGAGCTTGAATGATTGAGCCGAGGAGTCAACTTGCAAAGCCGTGCCACCGCAGGTCCTTGGTGTCTGATGTTTCCGGTTTGGACAGCAGGTCATTAATTCACGTCGGATACCCACCATCTCTACCCACTAGTTGGGGGCCATTTAGTCCGAGGCTCGCCGTCTGCGGCGTATTTGACATGACAGGCCAAAGCCGGAGGCAGTGTTTGACCACCCTTATCTCTGTCCCACAAGACGTGCGGCTCATTGAAGTGGCACTTCTCCTCATCCGTCAGCTCATCCATTTCACTCGCATCTCGTGGATCGATCTTCCAAATTCGCTTCACGTTGGGATTCCTGGTAAGAGCCCAGTATTCGTACTGAATCCAAGCAGAATCTTCCCGAGGGCGCACGTCTCGAGGCGTGAAAAGACACACGTCTGGTTTAATGACAGCAAGGGCTAGCGCCTGCGAGTAGCAGTCGACAAAGGTCTGATAGCGATCTTCGGGCTAGGCGGCCGGCTTGGTGTCGGCTTCTTCGTGGTCATCGATTTATTTTTTGGTTGCCGCCATCCATGGCTTACTCGCGCAGTCATAGTACCAGCACCACTGAATTGGAGGATTTGGCGCGGGGCTCCGGCTGCGAAACCACTGGCTATCAGAAGTCCCGTGGCCTCAGGATTCTCGTCAAGACCGGTGTAGAAGGCAACATGATGATTAGCATCCGCCAGCCCTGCGTCATTCCCATCTGGCAGGTGATCGACAATATCTTTCAAGGAAGGAAGGAACTTATCACAGTCGTACGATTTGCCCTGAGCATTCCAGACGCATTGACGTGGAGCAAGCAGACGAGAGCCATTGATCAACGTATCTAGGGGAAAGCCGGCCACATAGAGAGTCAGTAGTGAGAAGAGAGAGACGAAATGCAGAAGATGCATATTGTGGAAGCCAATGAGAACCACAAGAACAGCCGTGCCGTGGAATAGTGCGGGTAGTCGGGACGTTGTTGCAAACCTGCTCACCGATGATCAAGTAGCCTACAGTAAGAGGAGTGTACCGGCTGGAAGTACTCAATATCAGCCGTGGAATCCGTGCTTCTCGTAGTCATCTCTTTTCACGGAAACTAGAGTGAGTGCGGCTTTTTGAGACACCGCTTTCACCTTTAGCAAGTGATCCAAAGGTGCCAGATGGTGGCATATTAACATGAAGCTGAATTGAACGTCGTCAGTAAGCCATCTTGCCCTTGTCAGCGGCGTGGACCAGGCTAGCAGACGCAAGAAAACAATGGATTCGTGTGGTAATTTCGAAGTATCGTATTCACTCTCTGACCAGGCCTGGGAACGTCTCAGTCGATCAGTGTGCTTATCATCGAATGACTTATCCAGTCGAGATGTCACCGTTCTGGCTGACGAGTTTTAGACGCCACTTATGCAGTACATTCCGGGTATTCAATTGAAGTTTCCGCCAACCAGAACTCGTCATATGCTCTCTTTGATTGCTTCCGGTAAGATCTTGTTCTCGAAGACTCTGACAAGCTTATTGGTTTGCTCGGCCAATGACAAGGTCAGGATCGTGTGTGGCAGAATTCGGGCTAGATGAGCTCCGACACCTTTGTACAAGGCCAGGACTCCCTCAGTCTTCACCGTCTTGTATAAACAATCGAATATTCCCTTATAGAGATTGCCGTGCTGGTTATACAGCCGGTTCATCATGGTGTCTGGGGGGTCTAGATCATGTTAGTCAGCTCAGGAACAGGTCGAAGCTGTAGAACTCACGCATAACTAAGCAGACCACAAAGCCACTCGCAGTACTGCTCAGCAGGTGTAAAGCTGGACCGTCCGTCATACCAGCGTGCTTGATCAGTCTTCGTTTGGCGAAGAAATATGTGGGCAGCTGCACCGAGCTGCCAGCACCCGTCCGGACCATTGACGCTCCCATGCCACGATAGAGGCCGCGCACACCCTCGCTCTTCCGAATCTGCCGCAGGCCGTCGAATGCATTTTTGTAGTTGTGTTGCGTTCCAACAGCGAGGAACGGTGAGTACGACTGTAGCCGTGTCTTGACGAGAAAGAAGGGGCTGCCAGCCATTGCTCCAAGGATGCCTGATGCTGCGCCGGAGAAGATGTTAACGCCCAATGACTGAACGTTGGGGTCCTTGAAGACGAGTTTGGTTGCAGAAGCTCGTAAAGGTTCGTAGAAGCCCAGCCGGCAGCCGTTTAACAAGATCTGGTAGATGTACGCGCATCCAATACCGCGGTATATGCCTCTTAGACCCTCATTCTTTGTGATGACTCGAACACCTTGAAGCACGCCTGTATATTTCCTCTCCGCAATAGCTTTGGCCTGGAGCTCTCCTTGCAGCTGTAATCGTACCTTCACCGTCTCGAAAGGATGTGTCGCGGTCACAGCACCGCACGCGGCAATGCCGCCGGCGATAAATGCGCCAGTTGTAGTTGACATGATGTCGGCTCAACTTCGTGTCCCTCCGCTGCTATCGTTGTATTGTTCGGGGGTCGATGGACATGCTCGTGCGGTTTTGAGGGAAGCTGTCAAGGATATGATGGTCAGGCTGAGGTGAGATCCTGCGCGAAAAAGGATGCCCCGGTCGGCGCTGAGGGATGCGACAATCGCACCAAAATCTCAAGTATAGAAATCAGCTCTGAGAGTTAAAGGAACTCGAGTGCTGACAGCCGGCGACAAAAAGTTAGGCGGCATTTCCGAAGTCGGGGTTGCGGTGCCCGGGGTCGTCCCCAACCTGAACCTCGCCGGAGGCCCGCAGCTACCCGCGCCAACGCCTTCTGACCGTATCTTGTTACCCCGTGCACCAATCGGTCAGCTGCTTAGCTCTGGATTTGCCCGTAAACGCCCTCTGTCAATTGGACAAGCCGGGACGGCCTCCTTGATAAACCTACCGTTCCCATCCAGTTCGTAGCCTTACAGATAACGAACAAGGCTGAAGCGCAAGATTTGGAGAAGACATTTTACCAGACGCGTTGACCGCGTTGCACCCTTGACCATACATCCCTGTGCTTGCATCCTCCAGGCTCGCGGCTCACCTATCTTCAACCGGCGCAGATATGGCGGCAGTACAGCAAAAAGTGTCCGATATGGTCAGACAATACCGTCCAGCTAAGGTGAGCCCCCTCCTGCCCCGCCTCAAGCCTATCCTAACAAACATAGCAATTCCCAGCAACGAAGCGGTCCGACGGCGCCGATGCGCATATCACTTCACTCGACTTTGACGACCAAGGCGAATACATGGTAGCTGCTGCGGACGATGAGACCATGACTATCTTTGATATTAAAGAGGGCAAGTCAACGAAGAACATTCCCAGCAAGAAATATGGCGTCCATCTCGCGAAGTTCACCCACCATTCGAGGCAGGTTCTATTCGCCAGCACTAAGCAAGAGAACTCATTACGACTGCTTGAGCTGCACAACGAGAGTTTCGTGCGCTACTTTACCGCCCACGAAGCCCAAGTCACCTGCGTTGCTCTGTCGCCAGCCAACGACCAGTTCCTATCTTGCGGCAATGATGATATGGTCTGTCTATGGGATCTGAATTCGAGGAGTCCTCAGGGAAAGCTCAAGTTGATTACACCTTACCTTGCTGCTTTCGATCCTGCCGCCCAGGTCATGGCTATTGCATCCCAATCCACGTCTTCGATTCTGATGTACGATGTCCGGAACTTTGACAAGGCTCCTTTTGCAACCTTCTACATGGACGAGCTGGAAGATAGATATACACCATCAACAAAAGGTCGGGCATGGACGAAACTCGAATTCTCAAATGACGGGAAGAGTCTTTTGCTGGGAACAGACTATCACGGTCATTTCGTGCTCGACTCCTTCCATGGAGCACTTAGGTCGTTCTTGGTCGGCAAAACGAACGGCACGGGGCGTGCAGCACCTGTCTCAACTTCTGGGAAGCCACTGGGTCAAGGTGACGCATGCTTCACCCAAGACGGCCGATTCGTGATTGGAGGCACGGGTGAGGCTCCTGACCTACTTCTCTGGGACCTGCAGCAAGCGAATGATGGTGCACAAGAACCCACTGCAAAGCTGCCCAGTCAGGGCATCAAGAGTGCGGTTGTTCAGACCAATCCACGCTTCAACATGATGGCCACCGCGGATACGAGAGTCTGTCTATGGAGGCCACAGTCCCAAATCATGGGTGAGGTCTGATATTTCCATCGTGCTAAGTGTCAGCCAATCGGAGTCGACACTACTCCGCAGGAACCACTTTCTGGAGACGTCCAAATTCAAAGACTTGTCGCCTCCAGCCATCTCTTTCTGGAACACCCACATGTCAGGCAACCAAGATAGCTTTGCTGCTGTCGAAGTGTCTTCAATTGAAGCATTGGAGGCTTTGCATGCTCGAGCAACCAGACTCCTGAGCGAGTTCCAGTCATTCAACGACTACCTTCGAGAAAAAGGCAAGCAGGATGAAGTGGAGATGAGAATCTTCCGAAGAGGTCTCCAAGCTGAATGCGATGGTCTGGACAAGGTGATCTCGGGAAAACTGACGAATGGCCATAATGTAAACGATGTTCCAGAACAGGAAGTCGAGGGCCGACGTGCACTTCTGGTAAAGACATCAAATGTGTCGCACTATGAAATATGGTGGTCTCTTGCAAAGACATGTCGAGGAGTGAGAGGCCTAGGAAGGAGAATTGGCGTGCAACCGAGCAGCAACGAGGGAAGGTCAAGGGCACAGAAGCAGAATCAAGTCCAGGGCCAAGAAGTCCAGGTTGACATCATCGCCGACGATGGGCAGGAATGGATCAAGATTTCCACCGTCTCGGAGAAGCGCCTGCTGTTTGAAATGGCCAAGGAAGGATGGGAGCGTTATGATGACAGCTCAGACAGTGAAGCATCCTCAGCCATCCTGCCCAAACTCGAGCTCCTCCGCCTTGCAGGGGCTCTACACGCCGCTGCGCGCACCACACGCGTCCGCTACCAGCACCCACGCATCCACTTCATCCTCCCTAATCTCCCTTTGGACGCTCATCCCGACGTTTCTGTTCTCCTCACCGCGCTCCGCGCCACCGGTGCCACCGTCTCCAGCGGTTCCATCCCATTGCCGCCCCCTGCAGCACCTCTAGCGGACGCATTCACGCACATGCTCCCCTCCCCACCGCACCAACCTCCCCTTACGCCCTCCCTCTCCCTGGACACCTCCATACTAATCGCCCTCCTCTCTGACCAATGCCACACGCCACCCTCCGAACTCTCCTCCCGCCCTCTGACCACCTCTTCGCACACCTACCACGCCGCCATCCAGCAGCAAATGGCGCAAGAGGAAACCTCGCCGCTCCTCCCCGGAACCCTGTACCCGCTGCTCTGTGAGCGCAGCCTAGTCTGCACCCAGGCCGCCGCCGCGCGCGCTCGCGATATCGTCGACACGATGGGCACAGAGTCGGAGCGGGCTCGCGCTGAGGTCGTGCTGGGCGAGGGTCCCTGCGCGGGGAAAGAGGGAGGTGAGCTCACGGCCGCGCTGCAGGACTTGTCGACATACGCGCTACCCGTGGGGCTGAGGCTGCCGGTGCGCGTGGTGGGGAACGTGGGCGTCGAGGGCGTGCTAGATGACGCAGCGGCGGTGCCTGCACATCCGGGGTTTCCCGTGGAGGTTGCGTGGCGTTTGGTGCGAGGCACGAAGCTGAGCGCTCTGAATGAGAGTGTACTGCTGCATGGCTGGCGGGAGGGCGTGGTGACGGTGACGAGCAATGGGGTGGCGGTGGGCCAGGTGGAAAGGGGAATCAATGCGGTGCTGGACGAGATGGAGAGGGTTGAGGGGAGGGATCTGGTTGGATTCGTGGCGCCGATGTACTGGGTCGTCCAGGAGAGTCGCAGTTTGGTTGGGAAGGAGAAGCAAGGTCGTGGGGCGAAGCAGGAGATGTAAGAGCAATGTCTTCAGGGTGCAGAAGAGGTTGTGAGGTTGTAGAAGTTCTCCATCCGCAGTTCTCGTCCGCTCTAGAAACCGTTGCTGAGAATCATTACGTGCTCGTCAACCTTTCAAAACTGTTCATACAGGCCTGGTCCACTCCCCAATGCTTATTTGCTCACGTCCGTTTTACCATTCCCTTTCTCTCATCATCACCCGCCTCTTCTGGCTCGCCTTCGCTCCACTCTATGTCCTCATCGCCCACCGCAAAGATGGTCTCTCCATCGAGGCTTTCCCGTGGACGTGGCTGTTCCGTTTTGGCTGCTGGATTTGGACTTCTAGTCCGCTCTGCAGGCGTGCCAACACTGCCCATACCACCGAGCCCGCCACGCGAGGCACTCGCTCCCCCACCAAACGCGTCGCGCTCGAGGTCCAGATCGCCGTCTTTACCTTTCTTTGCTTGCCCGTCGGGTGAATCCAGATCGTCCAGGCTGTCGCGGCTGTGGATGGAGCGAATCTCAAAGCCGTCATCATCGTCTTGCGCAAGCTATCCCTGTGTAAGCACACAATCTCCTATCGAACTTGGATGTTGAAACTCACCTCTTCTGACATGGCAAACCGCCTGTTGTTCGCTGTCGGACGCCACAAATACGCAATAAACGCGACATCAAACAAATACACAATATTCAGCCAGCCGTCCAACACGAACCACCGTGTCTGCCAGTGGCGGGGAATAAAATCTGCCTCAGAACTTCCCGCCAACGCAAAACTGTTGACGAAGAAGAATGCGAAAATGACCATAATAGACCCCAAAATGCACCACCACAATCTTTTATACATGAGCGCTTTCGTTTTTTGCTTGCGGTCGATGAGATCCTTCATAGTAGCGTTGAGCGAGGATAGAGTCCAGACGTAGAATGCTGTAAGCGTGCCAGCAAGAGGCAAGATGACGAACAGCACAATAGGCCCGACCGTGTCCGGCGTAACGGCCAGCGACGCGATGGCGTAGATGACGCCAAAGACAAAGTGCACGATTGCAAGAATACGGACGTAGATCATGGTACGTCCCAGCTCGGGCTTGACAACGCCATAGCCCATGCAGACGATAAGCAGGAGGAAGAAAGACAGCGAGATACGGCCTGCGTTCAATATGGCGACAACGACAAGGTAGACTTTGTTCCCGACAGTGTTGCCATTTCGGTTCTGGTAGTCGTAGAAGCCCCAGGTCATGAGCTGCTCGATAATTAGGAAGACAATGGTTGCCGTGATGTAATTCTGTACGGGTAAGATGTCGCCGCGGTTCTGGACGTAAAGGAAAGCCCAGAAGATGCCCAGCAGAGCATAGGTGATGGTCAGGCCACCGTAGAAGGGCAATTTGGCAATCTGCGCGGCCGGAAGCTCACCAAATGAGTTGCGCCATTCGATAACAGCATTGTATTTATGGTTGGAAAATGCGTAGGTAGAGACGCAGTAGTAACCCGTGCGGCGGACGGGGTAGTTGATGACCTTAGGATCTTTGAGTTGGATTGCTTCGTTGTAGATAGGGTTATGCGATTTTTCGGTGGCATTGGAGACGAGAATGAACGCGCCTAGGTCTTCCTCATTGCAGTAGTTGCGGGCAACGTTGTCGGCATCACATATAGTCTCCTTGTCTCTGTAGCTGCGGGCGTCATCGGGCATGCGACCGATCAGCTCTTCGTCTTCCCATTCAAAAATGATAATCGAGGCTAAGGGGTCCGAATCGTCGGCATCTGTGACCGGTAGGAACTTGACAAGGATGAACGGGTCGACCGAGCCTCCCCACGACTTGCGGCTGTACATGCCAGAGCATCGTTGCCGGTTGGCGTCGTCTTGCGCCTGCTACAGTTAGAGCTGACATCAATGTCACAAGCTTCTCACTCACAAGTTTCACCTCATTTCCCAGTACTAACGTCGCCAAACAGGCCAGGGTAGCCAATGAAGGCCCCCAAGGCTTCATCGCAAGAAGTATCCTTGCAGGACTTGACAATCTGGGAGGACGTGTTCGCAGAAGGCTACCAGACCTCGCCTCGGATTTGCTTAGGTTGCGCGTAGTAGGATCGAGGTCGTCCTGAACGTACAGAGGAAATGAGTCGAGGAAGAGTCGATGTTTGTCCGATCAAGTCGGGACGCCGCTGTGAGCCGGGAAACTGCCTTATCTTGACTCGCGTGGACAGGCTTGGACGCCTGGCCTGACTCAAGATGGCAATTCACTGCCTGATTCTTCAAGACTTCAAGCTGATATACCAATTCGCAGATGTTCCAGGGAATTGAAGCCAGAGCAAGCACCTTTATCTCAAATCGATAGTACAAAAATACAACGACTCGTACCAATCGACACGAAGAGCGTGAATGGGCGAACCGAAAGGGTACATCAGTCAACGGTGAACATTTTTATTCAACTTCACCAAGGTTGTGGTTTGGCACGGTATTGACACGGAGATGCCAGGCACAGTAGCCACGCCGACGTGCGTCGACTGCAAAGATGCAGACGGAGCCCACAAGATCCGTCAGCGCCTTCTCTGCGCTCCATGCTTCAAGCGATACGTCAACTCCAAGATCCTCAAGCGCATGGAGTCCTACCGGATCAAGAACCAAACCGGCACCTCCAAGCCGCGCCTGCTTCTCGCTCTCTCCGGAGGCGCCTCATCCATGGTGCTTCTTTCAGTGCTCGACGACCAACTCCAAAAGCAGCTATCAAAGCAAAACCGAACCGCTTACGACCTCGTCATCGTCCACGTTGACACCTCCCATTCGCCATCCAGAACGACGCCCACCTGGTACTTTGCAGCAGCCCAGCGTTTCCCGCAATACACCTTCCTCCCACCCGTCCACATCTCCTCCGCCTTCTCGCACGATCACAGACTCACCTCCACCCTATCCCACCTCGGCCTCCCCACTCCCACCACCCCCGACACCCCACAGTCAACCTACCACACCCTCCTCTCCGCCTGCACAACTCGCACGACACTCACAGACATCGAACAGATCGTCCTAACGCGCCTCCTCGCCGCCCTCGCCCGCACCCACACCTGCACCTCCCTCCTCCTCTCGCACAGCGACACGCGCCTCGCGTCCCAATCCCTCTCCGCGGTCGCCAAAGGCCGCGGCGGCGCCGCACCGGGCAGCAGCGCCGACGGCTACAGCGCGGGCCACGGCGTCGAGATGCGGTATCCGTGCCGGGATCTGTTCAGGGCGGAGCTGGAGCTGTTTGCTTCGTCGTTGGAGGAACGGGCGGAACTTGCGGAGGGGGAAGGCGAGGATCCGGCGGTGGCGGCGGCGAAGGTGCCGAGTGTGAAAAGCTTGAGTATTGATGAGTTGTTGGCAGGGTATATTACTAGTCAGGGGGAGAGGTATCCGAGTATCATGGCGAATGTGGTCAGGACGGTGGGGAAGTTGCAGAGCGAGGAGCCGGGAGTGGAGGAGGGGCAAGGCAAATGGTGTGCTTTTTGTCGGGGGGCGATATTGTCAGCCCAGGAAGGGGATAGGGAAGAGCTCTGCTACGGGTGCACCAGGATGAGACAGGATATCAAGATCAGGTAATAGCAGACGCCGCTTTTTACGATTACTACGGGGGATATCTCTCTAAACCATGCTTGTTGCAAACTCGTAGAGACCATCATACGCCACCGGATTCCAATCCCAAGTCGTTATTCATCCTTCGATGGCGATGTTCGATTAGCGACACTGATCAATGCCAGAAACATCGCAGACCTAATCAGTGGCGATCGCGCCGGTCACGCCTATCGCGCCTGTCGTTGGTCTTGACCCTTCGTGGTGGCTCGATAGTACTTTCAGTGTAGCCTGCTTCGCTTTCGATATCAACGGTAGAGTCGTCACGTCTTCCACCGCGTGCTCTATCCCTGCGGCTCGTGTATCTTGGCGGTGGACCGTTCCTGGTCCTCGCATCTTCTTCAGCTTGGTAGTCGAACTCATCAGGCAAGCTGGGATCCGCCATGTTCTCTTGAGGCGTGCCCTTCAACCGCTTCTTGCCGCGCTTGCGCAGCTCGTTTTCGAAAAGAATGACATTCTTCGTGTTGCACTTGTATGCCGCGTCTGCAATATCGCCGGCGAACGGGATGAGGCCAATGAAGAAATCGATGATGATGTTGAATTTCATTTTCATCTTGAGGCTCGAATCCAAGCTCGGCTCGACGCTGCAGATAGTACGGTATACCATCAGACACAGGAGCATGTCGAGGACATCACCAATACCGGGGATCAAGCCAATGACAGCGCCCCAGCCACAGCGAATGCCGAAAAACGAACCCAGTGAAAGGTCGAGTCGATATGCGCGGCGCTTGGCCTTGGTGAGGATGGCAGCTTCTTTTTCGGTCAGACCGGGAGGGTGCGCTTTCGGCAGCTTCTTCTTAGACTTGAAACCAAGACGTGTGGCAGGTACGGTTTCGAAATAAGGATCCTGTAGAGCGTTAGCAATGAGGAAGATGATGCTGGACAGGGAAGCCTACCTCATAGCCCTGCTTGTTGGACTTTGACTCCTTGAACAGCTTGCCGATGACAAGCTTGGTCACGAGCGAGGTCATGATGATGGATGCGTGTCACTCAGACCAACAAAAATGTGTGAGATGAATGTAGATATGCAACGATATGGCAACTTGTTGGTGGCTGGTGAGTCCACCGCTGCTCTGACGTGTAGTCGCGTGTTGAGGAACTTTTGCGGAGAAAGACAAAGACCAAGAATGCGGCCCAGCCTAGGTTAAGTATCCTTTGTTTGCCAACTTGTTTCTGCGGAAGACCCTAGAACACGAAGCCCGGGAAAGCTGGAACTGATCAAACGTCCAACCTAACCAGCCTTCGTCACAGTTAAAGCTACCCTGGTGCGACGATTGGGATCTGAGTGACGGCAGGAATCCGGCTTGAAACTCGAGCGCGCGGCAGTCGTCACTTTGCCGCAGATCTGCAGATCACAACCAATCGGCGCGGACCACATGGAGACGCACAGCCACCACCGAGCACGGACCCTGCTGAAGCGTTGCAGCTGCGCCACAGATCGAAGTCTCCAGCCACATCAACATCGACCGCTCGAGACTTGAGGCACAGTCGAGCACACCTCACTTACTCAACACTCTTCACAAGGACGTGTCACCGTCCCGGTCCACCGGATAATTCACATCCACAATGTCCCGCGACGCTCACCTCACCTCTTTGCACCTCCACTCTCCCCACCACGCCGACCTCTTCGAAGAGTTCTGCCGTCCCCCCGCTGTGGGCAACGCAGCATCATCCCAACAATTGCAACCCCCCTCCCTCGCCAACCAGCATCCCCAGCACTCCAACACAACCACCACGCAACCTACCACCGACGCCGCCTCCGGCATGGTCGCCCTGCCCGGCCACTTCCTACCCTTCGAGGAGATCGCGCTGCCGCCGGAACTGATGCCGCTGAACCCAGAGGACGAGGATGGCGTGGTGCCGGACATGCACGCGGCATTTGGCATCTTGCGCGCGCTGGGCCCTCCGGGCCACGCCGCGAACGGGACGGGTGCCGTGGGCTATGGTCAGCAAGCTGGTGGTGAGGAGAGCAGGGCTGGCGCGCAGAGGGGCGAGGAGACGTGGCGCGACCTGGGAATGGAGGGGGTGTTGGCCTCTGGTGGTGGTGATGCTGCGGGGAGGGGGGCTCGCAGTGGGATCGGAAATGCGAGTGCTATGGGGGCAAGGCACAGAGAGGGCCGGCGCATGGGCTTGCTACTTATGCGGTGATGATGGGAATGTGCTGCACCGAAACACATGATACAGCACTGATGTCCTGCGTCGCTGGACCTGGTACCCGGCGCTCACATGTGATCAGCCCCTCTCGCACCCGCCGGAAGCCGCAAGCCTCTGTGAGGAAATGAGGCTTCTCTTGACAATGTGGCGGAATGGAGGTATCACAAAGATTACCTCACCTCCCCGCGAGGAGGCCACCAAAACCAGCCATCTACTAGCGATGAGCACCTTCCCTGGCTAACGACCTCGCGTTGCTGGATCGAGACATCTGGTTGGTCAGATTGAGGGCACCTGGAGGGATGAGAGAGGCTTTGACGGGCTACTACGCAACGGAGATGGTAGACGATGGATGGCAGGGACAGTCTAGAATTGACAACCGCAATCAGGCCATGAAGAAAGGGAATCCAGTATCAAAAGCAACGAGGGAACTGGTATACGACAGGGCACGGGCATGATATGCAGACATGACGCTTTTCGTGCGAGTCGCGCGTCAGACTTGCGTTCAACAGTCATCATTCTAAAAAAAACCTCGGTATGATATCCAGGCCCGTGAAATGCAGTGGCTCGTTCAGAAATGTTCTCAAACTGGCCGTATTCCCAACAAGGACGTCCACGTCATGGTCATAACCTTGCATAATCTCTTCTCCACCAAGCGGCCCTCAAATCCTCACCACGTCCACCCGAGCCCGCTCATAAACCTTGTGAGGCACATTCTTGCCTTCTTCCCGTTCACTGTCCTCCAACTCGCGCGGATTCAGCGTCATCTGCGCGTACGTGCCCGCCGCCTTCTTCTTGCTCAGCTGTCCTGGATTCACTACCATGACCGAGTCGACAACCTGTTTTCGGCCCTGTTAGCAACTGTTTCACTAACTACCAAGAGGAAATTCAAAAATGTTGGATGTGTAACAACGTACCTTGACACCAGCGGTCAACACACTCCCCGCCACCAGCACATCCGGCCGGACACTCCCCCACTCTGCCAGCCTGCTGTAGCCTACGTCGACACTGGCCCTCCCTTTCCCAGCTGGGAAGAGCGGGTAGAAGTGGCGTTGCTCAATAACCATGCCGGGAAGGCGACTCATCAACTCACCCTTCTCGCCGTGACTGACTTGCTCCCGGCTGAGATCGAACAGCACATCTTGGGCGCTGATTGCAAACACCACTTCATTCAGGCTGACGAAGCACGGGTTGGGTAGCAGCTTGACCTGCTTCGGCAAGGCGAGTTCCTTGCGGTTCGTAAACTGCTCTTGCGGGAAGGAGACATGTTTCGACACGGCGTCTCGCGTCGACGGCGTCATGAGGACCGTGATGTTGGGGTTGGCGTGTACCAGGCGCTGCAGTGGGGCGGAGATCCATAGCCGGAAGAGGGCGGCCATATTGGCCGGGTCGGCATCGGGACCCTTCACGTCTGGGAGATCAAAGTCACCGGAGGCAAGCAGTGGGTGCTCGGTGTCGAGGAAGGGTCCAGTGAGGATGAGCGCGTCAGCCATTTGGGAGGCAGCTTGCTCGCAAAGCTCCTGGAGAGGCTCGAAGAGGAGGTTATCATCCGCTGTGTACGGTCCGGAGGCGTAGAGAATGTTCAGTGGTTGAGAAGAGAGTTTCTCGCTGAGAGTGTCGATGACTGTGGGCGCGGAAACAGGCATGGGTAGACGAGGAACGGGTAGCACCTCTTTGACGCTGAAGTACAGACCTGAGGCATTAGTGCCGCGGACAGCCACGATCTGCCCTGGGAAGAAAGTGTAGTGGGGAAGAGCAGAGACGTCCAGAGTGACACGTAGACCGGCACCCATGCGTCTTGACATCTCCAGGACAATGGAAGAAGTGTTGAGTTTGTTTTCGGGTGTGTCGCTGGCAATGCGGCCGACTGCCACAATCTCATTGGTAGACTGTGAAGCGGCATTACCAAAGATCGACTCTTCGAGGTTGTGGGCGTTCATTATCAGGGGAATAAAGGCATCGATTCGCTCGTCAAGGACTTCAGATGAATCTGACTGCCGCATCGACATCGGTTTGTATCCGAACTTCTTGATATCGGTATTGGCAACCAGCTTGACTCGTGGTTCAGCAGCGGGTGCGATCGGTACTTCGGCTTGAGGAATATGCGCGTTGAGAGTCTCGAGTACCTGACCAGGGTTTGGCCGTGAGCTGAAAGGCATGGACGATCCTTCTAGTGGGCTCTTGACGGCGGTGGACTTGTTGACCTTGCGGGGCATCGGCGTGTCCTCTACCCCGGCTTTTCTCTTGATGCTCCCACTCTTGCGCACGGCGTTAGGAGTCAACTCGTCGAGCATCCCAAACACATCGTTGCCGTTGGCTGCGCGCGGTGTTGCTCCCACGGTGGGTTTGCGAGTCGACCCGACAGTATGCGCTTTGCCCTGATTGCCGCGTTCAAGTTGTTCTTGCACGTCTTTTTGAAACATACGAGCATTCTCGAGATCGAGCCTAGTCTCTTCCGGACCCATCTTCAAGCAGTACGACTCCCATTTGTAGAACAACTCTTGAGCAGAAATCGAGTGGAGGCGCTGTGTCGATTCAAGCACGCCGAGGATATCAGGTGAAAGACCGTCGCCCGCAGGCGCGAAGAGCGCGTTGATGTTCTCTTTGGAGTCCGACATTATGTTGAGGGATCCAAGAGGAGGTGTTACAATATCAAGGCTGTGGCAAGAATGGATCACTGCTGAGGTACAGGCCAACTTGACAGGACAGTTCAGAATTGGAGTTGAATAGACGCGTAGCAGTTTGAGCGACGCGTTCGCCGAAGATGAGCCGAGAACCACTTTACACGGAGACGACGTTATCTCCGCTTTCACCTATAGTGCTGGGAGTCGTGAAGTGCTTTCAGTGCCATTTTCTTGGACAAACGGCGTATCATATCAGAATGGCAACACCTCGTTCCCGAAATGTCATTATGCCTAGTATCTCATACCAGCCCAGGGTGCCGGCTTTTCTAACCTGTTGCTTCATCCTGAGCACCGTACCTGGCGATTCGATGCCTCGCCCATGCAACAGTCAGCCTCCAAACGCCATTCGTTGCCTTCCCATACTTTCATGAGTCACTTTCCTGCCCCTCGATCAGGATATATTGTAGAATGTCGCTCAGCGATAGCACCCCCTTGAGAGTGTTTTGCTCATCCACAATCATAATACGATGCACCCTTGATTTTCGGATCGTGTCTAAGATCGTATCTAAGCCATCGTCGAGCGAACAGGTGTAGATGCCCGGATGAGAAGGGGAACGGGCTGAGAGCGCTTTGCCGACAGTCCAAGTCAGATTGCCGTAGTCACCGGACTTGAGAACGTCGATCACGTCAACTGCTTCGAAAACATTAAGGAGAATACCTGGTCTGCGTCAGTAGTTGAAATGTAAGGATTTAGGTCCATACCCTCAAACGTCACCACTGGCACGCTCGAGATGTTCCTCATGACCATCTCGTCGATCACGTCCAGCACCGTTGAGTCAAGACTGCATCTGACGATGTTTTCGTATGTCCCTATCCGAAGTGTCGACAAAGGCTTGCACAACAGCGAGTAGTCCCGTACGTTCATAGCAATGAACTTGAGGATACGATATTGGGTGATGACACTCGTAACCATATTGCGCTGTGTGTCAGAATCGTACGAAACGAGAGGAATTCTTCGCGCTCGAGACTGCAGCTGTTTACGTAAAGCGTCGTAGAGGATAGCTTCGGGAGATGTCGAAATGGTCTCTGGCGCTTTGACATTGAGCACACGCTCGACCTCTGCTGTCGTTAGCATTGACTATCTTGTGCTTGGAGTATCGCACCTCTAAGGTCACTCAGCAGAAGACTGTCAACATCTTTCAGCTTGTCCGCATGCAGGTTATAGTACCGCACCACGTTGAGGTAATCGTTGACCGTCAAAAGACCGGCATAGGTGGACGTCGTCGAGTCCCACAGGGGTGCAGACACGATACCTGTTCTTATCAACACCGACACCGAATCAGTAGCATTGCACTTACCACACTGGACGAGAATATTCAGGCTCTCTTTCACCGTCAAGCTGACGTCCAGCTCGATCAAGCGGAAACTCAAGGGCAGCACATCGTAGGCGGTGCGCGCTCTCAAAAAGTCCCTGATTTTCTTCTGCTCAGCTGTCAGCTAACTTCTGTACCACCATCAAACTGCCTATATCCATACCAGTCCTCTCTCCTCATCAAGGTCAATTTTCCGCTTCGGCTTCGACGGGCCCGAGGAGCGACTGTGCGCGAGTGGGCGTTGCAGAAAGGTGCTAGGTCTGACAAAGGGTGGTGTCTCGTGACTGCTGCTGGTCGACTCTGGTCCCGCGGCGGGCGGATTGGCTACGGCAGCAGAAGGGGGTGTGCTGTTCGTCGAAGTGACCGAGGCAATACCACCCGTCCCTGGCGACTCGCCAATGCTGCCGTCGACCTCCGCTTTTGGCTGAGAGCTCGCCTGGGAGGGCGGCGTAGGCTGCGAATGTGCTGAGGGAGGTGGGCCGTTCGCGATCTCGTGATGCTCCATCGCCGATCAATCACCTAGTTGTCACGGCGCATTGCTGCGCTGCGCGTGCTTTGCGTGTTCTCCGTAGACACAAACGGAAGCGCAGAACGTGTGGGGTGAAGGATGAAGATCTAGATCCAATGTTCGCCCTTGCAGTAGTGGGGTTGTGGACGATGAAATGTGGGATGGGAAATGGGGCGCAGGTTTTCGAGAACGGAAACTGCCCCTCTGCGCTCGGTTTTGCCCTGACATGTGACAAACCTCAAAGTACTCATTTGAGGAGCATAAGACCGAATGCAATGCAGTGACCGGTATGATTGTCTATGCTCTGCTACCTATGAAGACCAGTTGAGAATCGAAGGCTACGAAAAGCGCTTGTCGCATGTATTCATACTTCTGGTACAGCAGCCGCGAGTACCGACTCTTTTTCGAGGTCAGCTAGACACTTGTCCTGGCCTCGCTTCAAGTACATTTCATACTCGCCCACACGCTTGCCTGCCTTCTCCCAGCGTGCTTTTCGTTCTGCTCTATTCTGGTCCGCAAGCTGTGTGAGCGCAGGCCAATAAACCGAGTGGTCATAGTCGAACTCTACAAGACCACCGCTCTCCTTCAAGAGCTGCTCTCGAGGGACATGAAGACCCGAGTCCTCGTTGAACTTGATCTTCTCGCGCGTCAGAGGGTCGATGAAGGGGGTGATCAGCTTGAAGAAGCCCCAGATGTAGAATGGTACATTTGTGACCAGGGCTCGTCCTAGTCGTTCCGGATAGTGGTTCTGAAGAATGTTGAGTGTCTGTTTGCCCTGGGCGAGAGTTGCACCTTGGCCCGATTTGGTCTCGGCGAAGTTGATGAGCAGGGTCAGGGTTTCCTGGCCGGCAGGCATCAAGTCAATCGACCGCTCCAGCATGTACACCAAATGCTCGATCTGACGTGGACCACGCTCGGTGTTCTGCTTTGACGGTCGCATGTATTGACACGTCCGGCCTTCGTTGTCCCAGCCTATGATCAGCTGCTTGCCAGTTTCGTTCTCGATTCCGACGTAGTCACTTGTGATCTTCTTGATGCCGTACTCGCGACGCCAGATCAGAGTGTTCTTCAGCCGGGTCTCTGCGGCACTCACATTCCACTTGTCTGCACGTAGATATCGAAGAAGGCAGTCTCTTGTCAGGAACATTCTCTCATCATCCTCCAGCGGTGTGTTACCGGCCCCTCGGACAGAGGTCTCGGGAACTTCGGTCCATTTCTCAACGTTCGCCAGCATAGTCTTGTACTTCTCCTCTTGCTCTGATGTCAAGTCCGGCCGCTGTTTGGGTTCCGACGACTGTAGTGGCGCACCTAGAGGTGTCTTGATGGGGCCATCGATCGAAGACAACGGCAAGTTCAGAGCAGCGGTGGGTTTCGGCTCGACCGCTCCGCCGACAGCAGGGGCAGTCTGTACTTCTGAAGTGCCATTTACCATGGTAGGACCGTTCGTGCCGTTCTTTTCTGAGAGTTCGGGAGATGCGCCTGCATCCTGGAGCCTGGTGTCATCCATAGCATTCTCGAGGTTGGCCATTGTCTTTTCGGGATCACTGCCAGTTGCAGCGTCCGGAGCAGTCACGATAGGTTGCTCGGTAGCCATGTTGGTGATTGCAGTAGTGAGACACGATCGAGAAAATAACAGTAGGTCAGTCAGACCTTGTATCGAACTGCTATCGCATCATAGTATCTGTTGGGAATACTCGTAAAAAAAGGCCAGTCGGGAAGATCAATCCCGAGCCTTGTACCTGCCTCTTCTTGCTCACCGCTCACGTCAGGTTTCTACGCGCATCTCGCACATCGCACATCGTATATTTGGAGATAAGATGCAAGGACCGCAAGATCAAGAGACACTACTAAGCGCAGACCGATACATGGTTGATCATAATTGCCATGTTCCTAATCATCAGATCTACCAAGGTCGACGTTGGGGTCGCAGTTGAATCGAATTGTCCCCCGAGCCACGTGGGTCTTCGCTTGACCCTCGTGACTTTCGCTACGCGACTTACCATTTATCTTTCTTGGTCACAATTTGAACTTGCATGCCTCGTTGTCGCGTTCTTTTAGGAGAATGTGATGTACGACAGAAGGCAGCTGTCACGATCGCGAGTCGGTTGGTACACGACGACTGAATCGGCCATGAGCTCTTTCAACACGTAAATACGAGAGCTTCGCTCCAGGGTCACGCGTTCATATACCGACGCGATAGCACGACAGCTACCTACGTGGCACACAGGATGACCTGATCTAGACAGTTGACGTTCTACGACCTGCCTCGACGCGCCCTACTCTGCTCCAGAGTAAAGAGTGACAGTCGATGAACCTCAGCGTTCTAGTCCAAAGTTCATCGCAGTCCACGGCCTCAATGACCTTCGGGAGCCGCGCCCGAGCGCCGCAGTTCAATCCTGGGTCTAAACCCGATAGCCTGCCTGGATTGCGTGTAAGTCAAGATGCAGGACCTTGTAAGTTTATCAGCCACCTGCAATCCTGTCGCCGCCTCAACAACGCAAGAACGGCAACACACGAAGCTCGCAACGCCCGAGTTCTTGGCGCTCTTCGATTCGCTGAAACACCGCAGATAGGGACGTGAGGGCTGACTAACTTTGCAGAACGGTGATTTCATCAACTAACTTCAGCTGATAGAACTGAATTCTTTTCGACCAGTCGATCTCGACGCCCTTGTCAGTGCTCTGCCGTTTGGCAACCTTGCCAGCCATGTGGGCGCAAGGATCTTCCACGCGAGCATATCGAAATCCACTTAGTCGAAATACTGCAATAGGAAGTAGGACTCACTGCAGGAAGTGCGACGGCCACGCCACATGACTTCAGGGTTGAGCACCATCAATCCTGACCAATACTGGTGTTTGATCGGTACTATCAGCATAAGACTAGGGTTTGTGTGCCGCATGGTCGATTTCGAGAGAGGCACCCATGTTGACCACTTCTCAAAGCCTGGGACTGTCCCTGCCGTTAGGCAAGAGGGATCAACACGAGGCTCTCCTTCCCTTATCGTCCAGGATGTCGTTCTGAGTTTTTGCCCACCGCAACATCCCGGTGCTTATTGGTCTTGAATTGCGCAGAGCAACACGGCGTCAAGAACTCGCCAGCATACCCATCCAGCGGTGATAAAAGGGCTCGTTGTAGCGTCTGGCTAGCTTCGCTAATTACGCACTCTCTCCTCGACGTCTTCGACGATCCATAAGCCAGAACGAGAAGGTAGCCACTTATCTGTTGAGCCTGGAATTGAGAGCTCAATGGCTACGAAGTATGATTCAGAAGTGAGTGCAGAGCCCGACCGCGTGGAGATCAACGAGAAGCGTATTCTCCGGAAGATCGACTTCCATCTACTTCCGCTCGTGGTTGCACTACATGCCATCTCGCTCGTTGATCGGACCAACATTTCCGTGGCCAGAATATCTGGCATGGACGAGGACCTGGCACTTGAGACTGGAGAACGCGTCTCGATCGTCACTTCGACATTCTTCATCGGCTATATCCTGTTCAATATTCCTAGCAACGTCGTCATTCGCGAGCTCGGAGCAGCGCGTTTCCTCGGGAGCATCACTTTTGCGTGGGGCATTGTAACGATTGCCATGGGTCTTATCAACACGTGGGTGGCAGCAGCTGTTCTGAGAAGCCTGCTGGGCGTTTTAGAAGCAGGGTGAGTACTTGGTCCATTAATACTGAGGCCGTCTCAACTTGTATAGAAACACTCCTGGCTCGATATATCTGGTTCAAGCATGGTATCGGAAATATGCAGTGCAGAAGCGACTGGCAGTCTATTTCCTGGGCTCCTTATTCATTCAAGGATTTTCCAACATTTTCGCGTATGGCCTGGTCCAGATCGGCAACCATACGACGTATAGTGGTTGGCGCTGGATCTACATCATCGAGGGGTCCATCACTACTGTGCTTGGCATCATTGCATACTGGCTGCTGGTTGATTTTCCAGATTCTCCTAAAACGAAGTTTCTCTCTCCCAAGGAAAAGGCCTTTGTCAACGAAAGACTGTCCTGGGATCGGGGAATCAACGAGGCTCATAAAGTCACCTGGCAATCCATCGAGGAAGACCTAAAGGACTGGAAAGTGTGGGCTTGTGCTTGGATCTACTTCTCTGCAACGATTGGAACCTATGCTCTAGGATTCTACCTCCCCACAATTCTCAAGAAGAGCCTAGGGTTTTCTCTGGCAGCATCGTTCCTACTGTCGGGTGTCCGAGATACTTTCGCCGTCATCGTGTCCTTTACACTGTCCTGGCTATCCGACAGGATCAAAATGAGAGGGCCGTTCGTCTGCGGCCAGGCAATCCTGAGCATTATTGGGCTCGCACTGCTGGCGTATACCGAGCCCCCAACTTCGAGGTAAGAAGACCGATGTTCCTTTTGAACTCGACTTAAAAGTCACAGATTAGTTGGGGCTTTTCTCGGTGCTGCCGGCTCGAACGCGATCATCCCATCGGCACTGGCCTGGCAAGCCAACAATTGCAGACAAGGCAAGAAGCGATCAGTCGCAAGCGGGCTACAGGTCATGTTTGGAGCAACCGGGGGCCTGGTTGCGTCGTATATCCTTAGGCAGCAGGTGAATTGTTTTCCGTTTCTGTCAAATGGCCACTACTGATGCTTCCGAACAGGACGGTCCGGCATATATTCCAGGTCTCACCACTATCATGACCGTGCAGAGCTTTACGGTCTTCCTCTCAATCTTCCTATCCCTTTGGTGCCGGAGGCTGAACAAGCGTGCTGATGACGGGAAGGTCATTTTGGAAGGTCTACAGAGTTTCAGGTATACGATGTGACTACCAGTGATATGCTCATGCAGGAATAGCACTGTATGAGTAGCCCACGGGTACAAAAGGCGGCTTGTCGTTCAAGCGCAACGGAAATGTTGCCATTCTGTTGGCGCCAATGTCTGACAGCATTCGAGCATGCGAAGGTAGGCAACAGGTATGCCGTGCAACTCGAACTACACAGCTGGGAAAAGGGTCCAACATGCCTGTTCGTCGAGGCGAGCCGGTCTTGAAGCGTCAAAGCGTATCTGTATTGAAGATCAGCCCAGCAATAGCCATTGATCTCCTAGCCCAATTCAACCCACCGTGCTTACTGATGCCCGCAAAGTCCATGCGAATATGCAGTTGCAAACGGAGCCTGAGCAAGCCCGAGCTCCGCTAACACGAGCGCCTGGGATCGACCTGTCCCAATCGCACCACTGGCCTGTAAGCAAAAGAAGATAGGGCTACCCCCCACCGCCCCCCGGATCTGTGTATCTCAAGGCCTCAAATACCGTGCCCCAGCACACCCGGCATGTGCCGTCTGAATGCGGGTGTATTGGATAACTTCCATGCTGGCATTTTTCCCATTTCACAGACACGAGTTGACAGTGGTCCCCTGATGCACAACGTACTTTTTGACGTTTTAAACGCTCACCACAACGTCATCGTCACCGGGCCCATGAACATCAAGAGAGCTTAATTGATGATGCTTTCATGTCCGCCCTGCCCGGACTGTTCATCGAGTACTTGGCGGAAGGTCGCAGCTCGAGGAGGGACAGGGAGCTCCTTGACGCAAAGGCACGGTCACATGCGGCGAGGTATGCTTATCAGCGGTCGCTGCTGCAGCGGCAGCGGAGCCGGGGATCGCGAGGCAGCAGCAGCAACAGCAGCAGCAGCACACGAGCGGGCAGCAAGAGTTCCGACGTCGTAACAGGTTCAAATTCAGGGCGAGGCGGCAGATCTCGCTCACCACAGCACCAGGCAGCAGCCCTCATTGAGGCCGCCGGCCTTCGACAAGAAGGTTCAGATCTGCCTGAGCAGTTCCTCGTCCTGGATGAGGACCAACAGTTCACCCACGACATGCTCGGGCGAGCAACGAGCCCACCCCACTCCTACCCCGTGTCCCTCGACAGCAACCGGCTCCGCGCGATCGAATACTTCCCTGAGCTATGGTCGCGCTGGGCGGCGGACGTGATCCCCAACCGCGCGCAGCGCCAGGTCGCCACCGACACGGCGGTCAGCAGCATCGTGCGGCGCTGCCTGACAGACGAGCTGCACATGACGGCCTTCATTGCGTACGTGCTGCAGCGGGCGCCCGCAGTAGACGTCTCCAAGGTGTTCCTGCTGCAGATGGCTGGGAAGGCGTTGGCGGAGTTGCGGGCGCGGATTGAAGGTGGGAACGCCACATTGGAGGAGGTGGTGTGGCCGATCATCTTCCTGGCGCATTTCGAGCTGTTTGGGTCTAAGAGCGTCGGGGCTGGCCGGGCGCATCTGAAGGCTGTGGTAGAACTGGGCGGCATGGAATACCTGGATGAGGTGACCAAGGTCTACATCCGTCGCATGGATCGGGGTTGGTGGTCGGATTACCCCTCCATCTTCTTGTCGCCGCTCTCGCCACAGCGGCAGTGGGAGAAGCTCGTTCCGAAGGTGCCTGAAGACGACGTTGCCGGCTCGGGCTTCCTCGACCACGCCGACATGCTCGGGGAAGACCTCGTGAACCTTCTCCCATCGGTTGTTGACTGTGTGCGTGCCGGAGTGCTGTGCAAAGATCGAGTCCTTCGGGGCCTCGAGAATGAAGTGCTGCAGAACAAGGTCATCCGCAAATGTCAAGCACTCATGGACACGCTGCGACAGTGGCTGCCAGCCGAACCGGAGAAGATGGCATGCATATACCCTGCGATGATCTGGCTGCAGTACACGACTTGGGTCATGAGGGACCTCGCCACAAAAGCTAGCTCGTCCGTGGATGCCTACAGAAATGTGACCAGCCACGCCCATGCCAACCTCTTGAGGTGCGTGGAGCAGAGTTCGCAGGCACACGAGATGCTGCTGTGGGCTGCCGTCATGGGAATTACGACTTCAGCGGATGAGGTTGCGAGGGTACTATACGCGAGCCGCGGCCTGAGTTTGGCGAGGAGTCTGGATGTCGTTGACCTCCGGGACTCGTGGAAGAGATATATATGGTTTGAAGCGTGTGCCATCATCGACTATGGATTGATTTTGGCTGCTCTCAATGCAGCAGTGAGGTTGGATCCTTCTCTGGCTACTCAACAATGGGAATCCGTGAGAAAAGGACCCTTGTTGCGGCTTAGTCAGGATGGTTAAGCAAGTCACGATTTTCCTCTTCTCGATAGATCAGGCAGTACAAGGGCTGTAGTAGATTCAAACTTTCGACGAACGTGCAGAGTCGGTACACTTGAGCATCCATAAACCCATGCATCAGCGCTTATTCTTCTTCGCCAGCCTCTTCTCCGCCCTAGTATCCTTCTTCAGGCGCGCATCCACGATCTTGTACTTCCCCTTTGTCCCCTTGGGCCGTCCACTGATACCCCGATTAGGACCTCTAGCGACCACCACCTTGACCTGCTGCTTGGGCTTCTTCTTCGTAGCCCTGCTCATCATCCTCGCTATGCTGCTGGCCTTGTCTTTCTCGCTGAGGCCTTCATCCTCAGCTAAGAGTGCACTCTTCCTCTTCAGCTTTTCCATACGCTGTGCTGCCTTGAACTTCTTGCGACCCTGTGCTTCACGTACTTTCTTGATGGGTCGTGCGTTCAGAGCCCGTAGCTTCTCTTTGATAGCAGCTGCTCCTGCTTTGGTGACGGGCCTTTGCAGCTTCGAATGGTTTGTCTCGTCATCGAGAAACCACTCTGGCAGCCCTTCCACGTCCCGGAAGGAGTAGCGGTTGAAGCTCTCGTCGACGATGTCGCCTGACTTCTTCTCACCGGTAGCGAGCGAGTGCGCCAGAGTCATGGCTTCAGCTGTAATGATGTCGATGTCGAGCTGACCGTTGGGCTTGAGTGGGTCCTCGGCACGAGAGGTTGTCGCATGGGATTCCTCATCGTCACTCCATTCGCTTGTGGCTTCGCCCGACCGGGAAGGCTTTTCTTTGTTCTTCGTCTGTATGGCCTTACTTGAGCTGGACTTCGTTTCGCTCTTCGTCGTGGGAACTTTCTCATCGGACTCATCATCCAGCTCAATCGCACTATCGTTCTCATCCTGAAGCTCATCAACCCCGAGATCCTGGAAGATATCCTGGTCGAAAAACATGGCAGCCTTGTTTGACAGCCCGTTGTTGCGGGGCACCTGTGTCACCTGAAGTGGCTGCTCATCGTCGTCGGAATCTTCATTCTTATCGTTGTCGGAGAGGCCCTGCCACTCGTCCGTCTCCTTCTCTTTCCTCGCTCTCTTAGCCCGGAGTTTGGCATCCCGCTCTTCTCTTCTGCTTCGGAAATCCGCGTACAGGCTATCAAGCTCCTCCTCGAGTCTGTCGCCTTCGGGATCAGACTCATCATCGCTGGCAGATCCAGCGTCCCAAATCTCGGAGTCGTCATCGCTCTCCTCCATTTCTCTCTGTTCGATCTTAGTAGGGTCTTGGGCTCTTTCCGCAGATTTCAGGTTGAAGATAGCGCCCTCCCCAGCCGGTCCAACTTGCTGTTCCATACCGATATCGAAAGGAGCAGTCATGTGCATCTGCATTCGAACGAGCTCCTTTTGCTTTTGCTCGTTCTCTTTCCGACGCTCTTTCCTCTTATGCTTGTCTTTCTGGTCCTTCAAGCGCTGCATCTCTTCCTGCATCTGCATCTCTTCATCCATCGACTCGACCTCGGCTACTTCTTCGCCTTCCTTCGCCTCTTCCTCTGCCTGCTGCTTTTTCGCCTTTGCAGACATACCAAATTGATCTCGCACCTTCATACGCCACCGTAGCAGTGTTCTGAACTCCTTCTTGCCGAGAATTTTCAGATCCGCGCAGCACTGCCGGATCTCGTTTGTCGTCTCTGGCATGCGATTGAGGGCAGCCAAGGCTAGATCTCCATTACCGGTCTGCTCGAAGCTCAGAGTATTGGTCTCGCCCAGAATTTTGATAGGGTCTATCGTGTGGATGAATTCGCTCACGGGCACCACTTTGTGCTGTGTCCAATCACCTTCCTCGTAACCTTCTCTCCTTCGCTTCTTCTTTTCTGGGTTGAAGACCTTTGCTTCGTTGTTCGGGTTGATCTGTTCGACTTCGGAGAAGACATGCTTGGGGTCTAAGAACTTGGCATCCAGCTTTTTAGGAGCTTTGAAGCCGCGGCAGACGACGAAGATCTCGGCAGAAACATTCCTTGACGATGGCGGCTTCGTTGCTTCAACAAAGGTGAACAGCTGCTTAAAGACCCAAAGCAGTGCATTGTAGTCCTTGGACCTAAACACCTTGGTCACGAACGTACCGCCCTCCTTTAAAAATTCTGTTGCCAACTTCATCGACTGTAGCACCAATTCTGCTTGGGAGAATGCATCTTGAACCCACGCTACACCCACATTTGGAGCACCATCATGCAGAACTGTGTCGCACTTCAAATGCTTGACGTGTGATCTGATCGTTGCTCTGCACTTGTCGGTCGTGATGTCGCCTTGAAATGTGATGGTTCGAGGAATCGGCTTTATGGGCGCAAGGTCGACGCCAATGATTAGGCTGCCTGCGGGCATAGTCTCTGCGGCGATCTGACACCAAGATCCGGGCGCAGCGCACAAGTCCAGCAGGACGTGCGATTTCTCGAGGAAGCCATACTTCTTGTTCAGTTGAATCAATTTGAAGGCGGCACGGGCTCGGTAGCCTTTCTCTTTTGCAAGCTTATACCATTTGTCTGGATTCCATGTCAGAGGCAGTGAATGAGTGGGGCGGATGAGACCACAACGTACCGAGACGACCTTTGCCGTGCTTCTTCTGGATCGCCATCACTCAGACGGAGTGATGCCTAGGATCCGAGAGGCGTGCGAGGTTTGCGGGAGCAGCTAAGCTTGTTGAATAGAATAATTGCGTATGCAAAATTACAGACCGTGGCGGCGGAGAATGGCAAAAAAGTTCCCCAAATGACGAGGCTAGATCTCAGCCTTGCAGATCGGTTCGTGCATTCTTTCAGTGGGGATCAGCGTATCATTTGTACAGGTGCGATCGATTCTGATAATGTTGTACATTATATTGATATACGATTCTCTAGGATTGAGACGCCCCAATGTCGCTCGCGTAACTGCTACCCTCTAAGCCCTGCGTGATGAGCCGCGATGCCATCTCCAAATTGTAGTCCACGCCGATATCACTAGAATGCGCCAGTAGCAGCATGTCCAACACGCTCTTCTCAATCACTACCCGTCCGGTCTCTAGCATGTCCTTCACATCCACGTCCTCAACGTCTTTGACTAGTCCATGCTTTCCGACCATGGCCATGGCCTGTTTGAACTGCTGTGGTATCTTTTGCTTGATCAACAGACTTCTCCCGAACCCTTTACCCCATTGATTCGCTTCGAACCAGTTCGCTAGAAACCTCGCTGTCTGGCCTGGCATAGTCTGAATAGAGCCATCCACGATCACTAGTTCTCCTTTCCGATATCGATAGCTCAGAGCTGTCCGCCAGGCTTTATCGTAGACTTTTCTTGGTAATTCGGTCGAGAAGTCTCTCGGCTTAGGCCCATGCGCAACACCGCCTCCTCGACGGATGGGCGATTTCTTGTCTCCAACACGCGCACGTCCTAGACCTTTCTGAGGGGCAATCTTTTTCCCACTGCCGTGCACATCCTCGCGCCACTTGGTAGATGCGGTGCCGCGGCGGTGCGCATCGCCTTCGTAGATAACGGCACGGTGCAATAAGTCTCTTCGTAGGGGAACGTCGAGATATTGTGAGCCGTACCAGGCATAGCTACTGGGCTCAAGCGATGGCCAGGCATGTAAGGTGGTGAGAACTTTGGGCGGTGCGTAGAGATGGGGTGCCACGTTAGGGTTGATGTGGGTGCCGGGAGCAGGCGTGTCGATCGGGAGATCGGTTTGTGTCGCGAATGTCCGACTTATACGCGGAGCAAGACATTGCTAGCTATGTCAGAAGAATTGGCATTGGGGGAAAGTAGGGTATACTGAGAGAGGGTCTGACGGATCGATTCGCTTGCAACCGCGAGCAAGCCCTAACAGGCTCCTGCCGACAGTCTGATGGCTCATCGCTACGATGTGCGTAGAGTTTAGAGGTGCTACACGAGCGACAGGACACCAACGAGTTATTAACGATCAGATTCGAGAACGAGTTCGCGATGAACACTGCTTGGATTGAGAGCTACTTTTTGGTGAGGCTGCGCTAGGCGGTTTATGCGATTCCGCTGCTCATAAGGCTCCGCCGTCTTCCCCCATCAGCTGCGCTTTCACGTTTCGCATGGACTTACATCCCATAAAACACAATTCAACTCCATTGGGAGTCCCGTAGGAAAGGCACTTTTATCATAATAGTCGTACTGTCTGTCCGCGGCGCGACTTCTCTTTGTATTAGTGTGCGCAGCTTCAATCCGAGTACCGGTTTCAGGTCATCTCGCTCTTCCGAATTCCCCCAAAGTCTGGAAGCCTCGAGGCCTCCGCCGTTCTCGGTCCCACTGACCAGGGTGATTGCTTGCGGCTTGAAATAGGTACTGCCCTTGAGCTTGCAACATGGTGCGCTGGACTCGCGTCGGCGGGCAAGACGACAATCGCCCCTGAAAATCATCAAGATACCCCGCTAGCGCTGCCAAGGCATGTCTTGCGGTTACCGCAAGACCTGAAACATCTCGACCCCATCCGTGTCCATGCTACGGATTTCTCGAAAGCTCTGAAAGGGCAATGCACTTCTTGGTCCTGCACCCCTTGGATTTAGACGAGAAGCGTCCAGCTTCCGCCGATGTGACTGCAGTGGCCCTTGCAGACTCCAGTCGACGATCCTGCCACTTAGAAGCGAGGCACGGCCCCAGAGGCACCTAAGAAAGCCTTGTCGCTGCGTGATAATGGATACTACATCACGACGGTAGGCAGTATCTGCTGAAGAAGGCTTGATGACAATGGCAAACTGTGGAAGGTACAAAAGGTTACTTCCTGCTGCTTGTTCGACAGCCCTTTCCTCAACCATTCTCTACTCACATTCATTCTTTCGCTGTGCGAATTGGTCTTTCGCTAGGTCTTTTGGCCCTTTCATTCATTCCCATTGTATCGATCGTACTTTGATAGTACTGGAATCTGTACACCCACAATCCTTTTGACCAACAGCATTAACGCATTGTCCACCACTGAGCGTTCACCATGTACACCAAAGCTTATCAGGGTCTTGTCGCAGCCGGGCTCATCTCACAAGTCGTCGCCCATGGCTATGTTCGAACCTGGACGCTCGACGGCGTCGACTTCGACGGCTACAGCAAAGGCGATGGCCAGCCTGGAGCTGATGCCATCGGATGGAGTTACTCAACTCCCGATGAAGGTCCTGAGATGGACTTGACCAGTCCAGGCCTCGCCTGCCGATCGGACGGAAAGTCCGCTCAGAGCTCGGGTCAGATCGCAGCTGGGGGAACCGTTGGGATGTTTTGGACTTCTAATGACAAGCAAATCAATCCTGACGGCTGGGCCGAGTCTCATCGAGGACCAGTCATTACCTACCTCGCTCCATGCAACGGCGACTGTAGCGGTGTAGATGCAAGCTCCTTGCAGTGGACCAAAATTGCCGAGCAGGGCGTGACTGGACCTGCCAACACTCAAGGCACATGGGCCACGGATGAGATGCGAGCCAATGGCGGAGTCGCATCTGCTACGATTCCATCTGATATCGCCGCTGGCAACTACGTGATCAGAAACGAGATCATCGCGCTGCATCGCGCTCACCTCGGCGAGCCCGAATTCTACCCACAGTGCGCCAACCTTGAGATCATTGGCTCCGGCTCCAACGACCTCTCGGGCTCGGGTGTACCCTCCAGCCAACTCTACAGCAATTCCGACGAGCAGATCTTCGGATTCAGCGTATATGACAACCGCGGCGACAGCTGGGTCGTACCAGGCCCGTCTCTGCTTGGCTCAGCTGGAACGACCACTGCTGGCGGATCTAACAGCACCGGCACAGGGGCAACTCCTGCTACAAGCTCGAGCGCTTCTGTACCGGTCGCGCCACCGACCACGACCGGGTATGAGGGCTGGAAGCCCAGAGGAGGTCGTACATATTAGTGGCTGGCGACTATTCTTTTCATGTTTGCATCAAGCGCGTGATTGTTGACCTGATAGCGTTCTATTCTTGTACACCCCATTCTAGATATCATTCCGAAGCCCCAGGAAAGGCTGAAAAATGCTATGACGTTGTCCTGATCAAGCACCCCTTCTACGTCTCTTTACTATTCCGGCATCCTCCGCCTCCAGCTCCAGTGCTTCCACGCGCCCATGTCCAAAAACTCCTCCCAGACCTCCACAGCTCGACTCCCCCTCTGTCCATGCCTCCACCGCGCCACATCCAACGCTTTGCGCGCATACATGGTCGCCCGCCCGCTCTCCCCAACAGCATTATACGCCAGCGCCGCATGCCCGTACGCCGTATTCATGAACCCCTGCAGGCCCCGACGCTCGTACAGCTCAATGACCCGCTCCGCCATGTCGGTGTATTCGAACCACTGCACAGCGGACGCCGCGCTCCAATCACCCAGCAGGCCCTCGAGGCGCTTGATCTCTGCCATGGCGGCATCGTCCTCCTCGCCCTCTAGGCAGCGCCGGCAGCGACACTCGAAGCCAAACGCCTCCAGCAGGTAGTCGTGGCGCTCGCGCACGCTTAGGAAGGGGTCAAGGTAGGAGATAGTGAGTTCCTGGCCTACGTCCACTTTCCCACCGGAGACAATGTGCACCTCGTGCAGCAGACTCAGGCTGTCGACGCGGTACATGGCGTTGGGGGCGCAGTCGTGGTTGAAGCGGCTGGGTTCGGGAAAGAGGGCGAGGTGCGAGGTGCCACCGATGTCGAGGGCAAAGGCGTTGGCTTTGACGATGTCTTGGTGGGTTACACGCGGGTCGTGGTAGATGCGGGCGAGGGAGAGGAAGTGGGATTGCGTGGTGGGTGGGAGGAGGGAGATGGCGAGGCGGAGGTAGGATTCACGGTCGAAAGAGGGGGTGGAGGGCGCGTTGTGCACGACGAGGATGGGGGTTGTGGTGGTCAGGAGGGTGCCTGTTGAGAGGTCGGTGGTGGCGAGGGCGCCGAAGCCGCGGCCTTCCAGGGCTGAGACAGCGTAGTCGGTGGAAAGGGCGTTGAGATGGGCTTGGGGAGTAGTGCTTAGTTGGGCGGAGATGATACCGACTCGCTGCCTAAATTCGTTGGCGAGGGTGGGTGTAGTGAATATGGCTATGCCGCGGTTGTTGTGGAATTCGGGGTAGGCATAGACGCAGAGAATGTCGTTGAGGTGCTCGAAATGTGAGGTGCATGCCGGCGTGGTGCCGTTGTAGGCGAGGCCAGTCTGTTGTGATATCCAGACATCCTGGGTCTCGCTCTGGGACGGCTCAACCTGTCTTTGCTGTTGAATACATCCCTCTACCTGCTCAAAGATCTCAGAGCCTTCGGCATCTCCGATACACGACTGTATTGAGCTCAGGAGTAGTTCGGCGGTGGGACATTGCCGTCGCAATAGAGTAGTTGATGAAGTTCCAACTGAGCAGCCGGCCAGAATGTACGCGAGACAAATGGGAACGTTCCCAACTCTCATCGTGTCGCTCCTGCCGTCTATCTGGTAAGTGAGAGGCTACAGGTGTCCAACGTGGTTCGAGATCTTGTTTCTAGGCATGGAACAGCTTCACAGGGCGATGTTGCTGACCCGAAACGCTTCATGTTTCAGCCCTTTAACTCAGTCTGACTTGGATCCAACGAGATTGATCTGTGCGTTTGCCATGGCTGCATTTTTGGATCTTGAAGCGTGCGGCGATCTATATAGGACAACATGGGAGAGAAGATCCCAAGAACGAGGGGTCCGACCTCGCCGGCGCCAACTCGCGAATGCCAAGACGAGTCGAGGCGAGGCCCCCAAGCTCTGCTGTATATCGCTGTTGACGGGCACGTCGTAGCCTTAAACGAGTATTGATATCCTAGTGGCATGTTGACGTTCCTTGTGCTTCCTGTTCCAAAGGGCGATGAGACGATAGCAGGCAGAGAAATTCGGCGCCAAGGCTCCTCCGTACTCGTACTCCCGAGCTCTCAATCAAGCGGAATATCAAAGCACAACGTTGGAACTCGTGTCTGGCTGGCACAACTGCCTTCCGAAGCTGGTCTCGAATATAATTTAGCCAGTCTATTGCTACAGCGATGGCGGCAGCCTTATATAGGTGACGTCGGATGGCGTTGGTGAAGTGCTCGACACTGCGTAATCTGGGCACTCCTAAGTCTCGCCGTCGCCTTTGCATCCTACCTCCTATACCTCCTGCACCAAGCAAGGATGAGCTCAAGACTACCTGGACCCAGAGTTCTGAAGCTCACAAATTGGCATGCTCGTGTCCTTGATGCATTTCTCGCACTGTCGAAAGGGGGAGGTCTCATGGGCAGCCTCCATCGCAGATATGGCCCTGTCCTTCAAACCTCCCGCAATGAATTGTCCGTCAATAGTGCAGCAGGGATCCGAGATCTATATGCTGGGGCCCGCCGACTGGATCGCCCAGACCCCCTGGTTATATTCCACAACTATCAAGCCGAGAACCTTGTAGCAACTGAAGACGGCCAGCTGCATCACGACCGGCGGAAGCCAATTCGCAGCATCTATTCTGTTACCGCTGTGGAAGCTGAGGCGACACAAGAGGTCATCCATGAGGCTGTCGCACGACTCGAGACGTACCTGCGTGCCCAAAGACAACCCCTGGAAGTAAAGCCAGCCCTCCGCCTTCTCTTATACGAGATCATGAGCCATATCGTTTATGGCAAAGAACACGCGCTCAATCTCTTCGAAAGTTCCACCGAACGAGAAGCCATAGACCATGACACAACCTACCAGCAAGACCGACTCTTCAGCTTATCAGTCCTGGTCCCCGCCTGGCTCCCTCGCTTCACCCTATGGCTCCGCCGCAACAACCTCGCGCCCAGAGCTCTTGCTGGCAACTTCCCACCAGGACTAGTCGCCGACCGCCTGAGTAGAGATGCGCTTACCGCCCTGAAAGCCAGCAAGACACGAGTCCCACCGTCGCCACTTCCCGACCAAGACCCCGAAAGTCTGATATCCCGCCTCCACGACCACTTCACCACCCAGGGCCCCACCCCCGCCATCCCCTCCGAAGCCTACATCCTCAGCGAGTGCGTTGACCACTTCTGGGCCGGCACCAGCACCACAGTCGACGCCCTCATCCCACTCCTCCACCACCTCTCGCAACCCGAGAACAAAGCTCGCCAGGCACGGCTACGGCGGGAGCTCCGTGAAGCTGCCATTACACCTGCTGACCCTTCGACTCCGCCACTGCTTCCGTCCGCGAACACGCTCAAGAAGTTGCCATTCCTCGACGCTGTGATCCGCGAAACATTGCGCCTGAACCCGCCTATTCCCGCGAGCATGACACGGCGGGTATCGACGCGGGAGGGGCCAGTTTCGGTATGCGGTCATCGGATACCGCTGGGGATGGTGGTTGGCGCGTCGCCGTATGTGGTGGGGCGGAACCCGGACGTGTATGAGCGGGCGGAACAGTGGGTGCCTGAGCGGTGGCTGGCCGGGCAAGAGGGCGCTGCAGACGATTCTGGCGAAGGCAACGGGGAGAAGCTGCGGGATATGAAGAGGCATTTCTTTGCGTTTGGCGCTGGTCCGAGGATGTGTTTGGGTGTGAATGTGGCGTGGGCTGCGATGAGGGCGGCGGTTGCGGGCGTGTATGGCAGGTTTGAGACGGAGCTGGTCGTGGCGGACAAGTCGGGGTGGACCGGACAGAAAGCGGAGGACAGAGTGCGTTTCAGGAGGCTTCACGACTGCTGACACGATAGCCCACGGAAAACGACTCGACTGTGATAGACCCCAATCTAGACTCAGGTGTATATATACAGGTAGACAATCCAGCTCATAAGAACTTTTAGACCTTGCGTCGCATCAAGCCACGAACGTTTGATGATACCAATCCTGCAGCGTCAGATGCGGGCTGCCAGACGTGTCCGACATGCCCTCGCCCGGTGCCAGCACCACACGGGTGTCGGCGACACGCCTCTCACCAACGTCATCACTGCCATCGGCCGCCTCATCCCTCACAACAAACTTCTCCGTCACCGGCACGCCATGCTCAAGCAGAAAACTCAACATCCACCGATCAAGCCGAAAGCTCTGCTCGCTCGAGATGCGACAGGCGTTGTGAAACGCCTTGAGCCGGCTCAGACTCACGTCCAGCTCCACCCAGTAGCTCTGCAAGCGGGTGAGGATCTCAAAGTTGTGTTCGAGCCGGGCGCGCGCGGCGGCGATGTCTTCTTCCACGGCGGAGAACAGGAGGCTGTGCATGTACACGGTGGAGGTGACGACGAGCATGTGGCCGACCATGACGTACAGGGGTGCGCAGTCAGGCAGGCTGTTGCAGAGATAGAGCAGGTCGCAGAAGTGGCGGGCGTGGAGCTTGCAGCTGGCGGAAAAGTGGGCGGTTGACACGACAGGAGGGTGGTAGGTGTCGGGGGAGAGAAACTGGTAGAAGAGTACCTCGTTGTAGTAGTGGTAGCCGAGGTGGAGGGCGGCGAAGGCGGATCCAAGACCTAGCGCGGCATAGCGCGTCAGGTTCGCTTGCGTGCATGTGAGGTGTGGGTGTAGGGAGGCGGACCAGTTCTGCAGTTTGGCGGAGAGGGTGGCGACGGAGGAGTTGAGTGTGGTGGGAGAAGTGAGACCGGCGACAGAGGCTTTGTTGACTTCGTGTATCTCGGCCCAGATGTGTGCGAGATGAGCCATTTCGCCCCAGATGCTGGCAGCAGTAGGGGACAAATTGGAGTGCGACGGCTGTGGCAGGTGGAGGAAATGAGATTCTTCAGTGGGTAAAGGAACATGCTCGGAATAGCCAAATTGGCGAGGAAGATGAAGGCCTGTTGAGCTCCAGATGTCGATCATGTAGAGCGTCCACCAGACGCGGAGATTGATCTGGCGTTCGATCTCTGTTGTCGTGGGGCGGTTCGGTAGGTCGAGAAGCAATGCAAGTCGTGTCGCCACGGAATAGTAGAGCGCTTCGGCTTCCATCTTTGATCCAGCAAAGGCAATAGTACCTAGCAGAATACATGCTTGAATTGTCTCTATTGAGATGCTGGTCATGTCTAGCATGGCTGCTGCTTTTTCGGCGTAGTTGCTTCCTCGATGTCGTGGTTTGGTAGCCGCAAATTCTGGTTGCTCAGAGAATCTGACGTGTCAGCTGAAGTGTATAAGGAGTTGTTTAAGCCTACCTTGCTCCCAAGGCCATCATTGCATATAGCAGGATCTCTGGTAGCCGTCCATGCTGAAGCGTTTCCTCGATCGACGGGCGATGGAAGATTGAGTGGTGTTTGTCATGAATATGCTTGAAATAGAGGTCCACCAAGTCTAGCCGCACCTCTATGCTCTGTGAAGCATTGTTGAGCTCAGAGGCACCCCGTGGCGAGCCATTGATGGCCGGTGTCGAGGTGTCTCGTGGTGCTCGCGGAACCAAGTGTGGTGTTCGAGGCACCTTAGACGTTGCTTGGGCGAGGATGGTCCGCAAGCTGCACGAGAGCCTGAGACTCGAGCAACGCGTACATGCTAGCTCACCTGACGCTGTTCGACACCTTCTTCTGTGAATTCTGAGTAGCCATCAGCTTGAATCGCGAAACGAAGACTGCACACATACCGACATTCATGACATGCAGTTGCGGGCCTCATATCGCCCTCGAGGGTTTCCCATCACTTCCCAGACTTTCCCACCAATGGAGAGAAGCATACGGCATCTCGGATGTCGAATAACGTCGGAATTGAAAGCGCCAGAAGATTCTTGGGACCGAGGCAACTCCCAGGGTGGCTTCTTGGGGTAAGTTCTAGTTTGACGCCCTGTCGATGCCCCACTGCGGCATTGAGGGGCTGCGACTGGGCGGATTTGCTGCTTCTTTTTGCCTATTGCCCACCCCGTACCTTGACTCACCCCACAGCAACATCGTGGCATCGTGTTACCCTCCAACTCCGGGCGGCGGGGTCCTCCACGCTCGGCCCTCGCACCGATGGGGTATCATGACCGGTGCTTGCCCACGGAAGCCGGCTGAAATATACAAGTCGACAACCTGAAGCACTGTCGTGGTCATTCCATCCACCAGGAGCAGCAAATACCGGAAACATGGGCTCGATGAGCACTATCAACGAGATTCGCTGGAAGACGGACGAGCTGGATGTCTTGTTGACCATTGGAGATGACCAGGTAGTCCGCCTGAGGAGTATTCTTCCGCATGGTGAGGCTGTCGAGAAGCACAGTTCTCCTTACTTCTCCGACCCGTCTATCCCACTCCATCAAGTCCGGCTTGTGGGCGAGGGCAATCTCAAGCACCGAACAGCGAGGAGTCTCATACAGAGCTACGTGACTTTGCGACTCAAGTATCAGAGCCACAAAGAATCTACCGAGGACGATGCCAAGGTTCTCGAGGTGACATCTCATGACGACGAGTCTAAGATTACAGTGACTGCTCGCCTGGTGGTCTTTGCCGGTATTCCTCTGCTGCGTTCCACAACATCCGTCAAGAACGAGGGCAACTCCGATGTTGTTCTTACACAGGCCAGCTCTTTGACAGTGGGCGGGCTGACGGCGCGAACGAGGAAGTGGTGGCAGGACTGGGTGATAGCTCTGCCCACCAACTCGTGGTTCCGTGAAGCTCAGTGGAAAGAGCAGTCACTACCAGATGTCGGCGTGGATGACTTTGGAGTCGTCGACTTGCCCGATGGTCACGTTACAACGCACGCCAGCTACTCGGTTTCAAGCCACGGCAGCTTCTCCACCGGGACCTACTTGCCCCTTGGAGCATTGAAGCGAAAGGACGGCAAAGAGACCTGGCTCTGGTCGATTGAAAACAATGGCTCCTGGAGGTGGGAAATTGGTGATTACCTTGACAGCGTCTATGTTTCGGCAACTGGTCCTACCAACCACGATCACGCGTGGAAGGAGAAGCTCGCTCCCGGACAGTCCTTCAATTCCGCTCCGTCCACTATGGTCCATGTACTAGACGACTACCAGTCAGCATTCGAAATCCTCACGCAGTACCGACGGCGGATCAGGAGGAAGCACAAAGATAACCTCAACTTGCCCATCATCTTCAACGACTACATGAACTGTCTCATGGGCGATCCCGATGAGAACAAGATCAAGTCGCTCTTAGAGGCGGTACTCAAAACTGGCGCCGAATACTTTGTCATCGACTGCGGCTGGTACGCAGACGACAGCAACTGGTGGGACGATGTAGGCGAGTGGGAACCGTCAAAGAAGCGCTTCCCTTCCGGTTTCAAGGAGCTACTGAACCACATTAAATCGAAGGGCCTAGTACCGGGCCTGTGGCTCGAGCCAGAGGTCGTCGGCGTCCGCAGCGTGGTCGCGAAGCAACTGCCGGAAGAAGCCTTCTTTCAAGAAAACGGTCAAAGGGTCGTCGAGAAGGGCCGCTTCCAGCTCGACTTCCGCCACCCGGCTGTGATCGAGCGCATGGACAAGATCGTCGACAAACTAGTCTTGGAATATGGCGCCGGCTACTTCAAGTTCGACTACAACATCGACGTCATCCAAGGCACCGACGTCGACACCTTCAGCCCCGGCGCAGCGGCACTCGGACACAACCGCGCCTACCTCCAATGGGTGAACGGGCTATTCGACCGGCACCCAGATCTGGTCATTGAGAGCTGCTCGAGTGGCGCCCAGCGCATGGAGTACGCCATGCTGGCTACGCACTCCCTACAGTCGACCAGCGACCAGCAGGACCCTGTGCGCTACGCCGCCATCGCGGCCGCTATCCCCACGGCCGTCACGCCCGAGCAGGGCGCCACATGGGCCTACCCGCAGAACAACTGGAGCGACGAAATCAACGCCATGACCGTCGTCAACAGCCTGCTGGGCCGCATCCACCTCAGCGGCACCCTCGACCGGCTGAGCGACGACCAGATGGCGCTGATCCGCGATGGCATGGACGTATACAAGACCATCCGGAGCGACATCAAGGACGGCATCCCCTTCTGGCCACTGGGCCTGCCGCACTGGCACAGCGAGTGGCTCGCGCTCGGGTTGGCGACGCCCAGCAACGGCATACTCCTCGCGGTCTGGCGCCGCGGCGGCGGGGCGGATACGGTCGCGCTGCCCATCGCGGAGCTGAAGGGGCAGGCGGGCGTCAAAGTCGAGCTGCTGTATCCCAGCAAGTTCCAGGCTGATTTCGGGTGGATGGAGAACGAGGGGGCGCTGTCGCTTCGGCTGGAGTCGGAGACGGCGGCGCGGTTGTTCCGTTTGGGCGTGTGAGATACGCTGCGGCCCGACTTGGCGAGCGCTGGTGCTAGATAGAGCGTGGCGTGTGGTAGAAGGCATGGGGCTTCGTCGGAGCATGGGCTTGCGAGCACTGTGAGTAGGAGAGGAAAACCCCAGGCTTTGGGAGCTCGAGATGAAGAAAAAAGGCGAGATATGGTAAAAGTCTCCAGTTAAGAATATAGAGATACACTATCTCAAGCCGTCGCCTCGCTCATCCAGATAGTACTTGGCCCCCGACGCCATATGCAGGGTATCACGAATGCTGGACTCCGTCTATGTTTCCCAAGTTTCATCATCGCACGGGCCGAACCCAGAAACCACATTCTCATGCACTCCAATGCTTCTTCGAATCTCACGATCTCTTTCTTCATTGTTTTTTTTCTCTCATAGCCATCGAGTCTAAGCCATACTCTCCCTGGAGTCCGAGGCTTGCGCGCCCTTATCCTCCACGAACGTCGTATCCTTGGTGAGTGTAGCCCCCTCAGAAAAGACAAAGCCCGGGTGTGCGGGCACGAGACACCAGGCAGCCAGGATGATCATGACGCCCTCGAGGGCAATGAAGAGCGGCTCGTCCCTGAGGGCCTCGCTGTCGCGCGAGTAGCCCTCGCTGAGCTCGTAGACGCGGTAGGCGCAGCGCACCAGAATAAACACGGTGGCGAGGGCGAGCCAGACGCAGAAGTTGATGAAGCGGCCGGGGACTTTGACGCTGCGCCAGGTGGCGCGGCTGCGGTACATGTAGTCACAGACACAGATAGCGAAGAAGGTCAGGGTGATGAGTTGGAAGCTGAGGCCGGCGAGGGCGATGTTGACGCCGGCGTCGGAGGAGCCGTTGGAGGTGGAGGACAGGGCGCCGCCGGCGGCCTGGAGGATCAGGGAGATAACATCGGCGGGAATGAAGAGCCAGTAGAAGAATTTGGGGTTGACGCGCGAGGCAGAGCGGTCGACGTAGCAGGCGATCTGGTAGATGAGGACGTAGATGGCGGCGGCGAAGAAGACGGGCGAGAAGGTGATGAGGACGATTTGGATGATGAAGCCGCTATCGCCCCAGGGATTGGACCAGTAGAGGATGCGGCCGATGTAGCCAATGATCTCGCAGATGCACCCGAGCAGCATGGCGGTCATGAAGCCCCATTTCTTGTAGCGGATGCCGAGGTAGAGTTGGACGACCATGCAAAGGCCGTAGAGGGCGATGAGGGCGGAGGAGAAGGGCAGCGACGGCCGGTAGCCGTAGACGCTGAGTTCGATGGGGCAGACGGAGACGGTGCAGTTGACGGTGCCATCGCCGCCGTAGGTGTAAGTGAGGCCGTTCTCGGGGTTTAGGTAGGCGTAGTCGTTGGACATGTTGGCGACGGTGGGTGGAAATAGTCGCTTTGAGTGTTGTATGTGAGGCTTTGCACTGTGGTGATGATGCTAGATAGAGTGTGCTGATAATTGCCACAGCGAGGGCCTGGGTGGCATCTATATAGCCATGGCGGTTGTATACACGACATGGCCAATGCGGCCGTGAAGGTATTCAGACTTGACCATAATTGGCCGGTGCCAGAGCCTCTTGATGGCTATTTTGGATGATGGGCATAGTCAAGTCGCAGCTTAACGCCCGTTTTCGTTAGTAGTTTGAAAGCCAATCCAATCTTGACGCGGCTGGTGTGTGGACCTTGGGCGTATTGCAAAACGTGGGCGACGGGGTTTGGTGGCCTTAGATGACGAACGGGAGGACGGCTTTTCGGTACTGCCTGGCCGTTGGCGTATCTGCGACTGGAAATGGGTGGGCTGAGAGGGACGAGTCCCTAGAGAACGGAAAGTCTCTTCAGCCGTTCAAGCCAAGGGGCGTAACTTCGTGTCATCATCATTCTTTGGGTTCTTTGGGTTCTTTGGACGCACGCAACATGCCACTGCTTTGAGCTTAGCCTCAATCCTTAGGCTCGCTCTTTGCCCTCTTCACCCCTGTTCTACCGGCCGCAAGCAGCCTTGGCACTTGATTTACGCCCGCGCGGCTGCGAATCTCTCCGTACGTGTCGATAGCAGGGGACGTACGAGATGGTGCCACAGATCCGTGATCGTGGTGATCCGAGCACAGCCCTGCCCAACGAACACAAGGCATCGCGGGTGACCAATCGCATCTAAGCATCTTTTTGAGTAGGGTTTCCAGATCTGATTTTTTGGGTTGATGTTGGTTGACGTTGCTGGCCGGTGATGAGATAAGAGCAGATCGCGTTTTGCCAGCATTACTCTCGATCTCTGCAAGAAGTGTACTATTTCGCCCGCGCATCCTCTCACGATGATGCACATGCAGCTCTATATTTGGTTTCATGTCGGTAAGCTTGAGTTGATCAATCGATGACAAGGCTGCAGTGTTTGCTCAACTCAGCTCAACATAGACCGTTTGCGTTGCGTATTTGGTCGAAAGATCCGTTGAACTGAGGCTGGATGGGTCAGACATCTTGCGCGATGACGAATCTGCTCAAAGCACTCGTTGGTCGTGAAGCTCCTCGCGTAGGCCTCGATGGATAATCCGAAGTTTTGCATCGGTGGTCGGTCACCCTTAAGTCATAACAGGCTGGATGACCAAGCGACTTGACCTGTTCCAATGCCATTCAACACGCAATATAATGACATTCTATGATCATGGAAGCTGTATAGAACTGCTGTATCTTTGGTAGGCCGCCGGTTCTCGCAAACACAAGGCAGAGTTCAACGACATCAGACGTCGATAAAATAAAAAATTTTAGCAGTTCTGGTGTTGACTGCGCAACGACCACTTTGCTCGGAATGCTGTGTGGTCGTGATACTCTTCAGATAATCAGATCTCGAATGCCTGCTGATTTTAAGGGTATAGAAGATCCGGTGAACACGACATCGTATGTGTTCGATGACATGGCAGTGAGGAGGAGTGAAGCGGTGAAGGACTATGGCTGCTTCAGAAGGGCTACAGGGCTTGGCATTCACAAGTTTGTCTCGATTGATGCCTTGTCAACTACTGCTGGCTCCTTTCTTTGCTGCTGAGCAGAAAGGATAAGGAGAAGCAACCCATGGGTGTTTGACTTATTTCATCCCAAGCTAACTCATCTTTTTTGACACTTTTCCTTCGCTTCCATTGACATCGTCACAGCGAGCGAATGCACAAGGTCATGCAAGACATCCGACAAACCGTAAGTGGCCCGGTCGCAGCCATCCTACCTGCATCTGCATCAGCCGAAGAACTGTTCCACAACTCGAAAACATAGGAGGCTATCCGCGTCTACCTCAAAGCCACTCGACAATCGCAAAAATCATGCGCGATCTGCCCAGGCAAGTGTTTTCCACTAGTACGTGCGCGCAACTCGGGCCTCAAGAGCCAGCTCCCAGCCTCCTGCACTTCCAGTACTGGTGCTGGCCCTCGTGGAAATGACCGCGCCATCTGCCAACGCGATGGATTTGAAGTCGACGAAGAAACAATTATACACAACCCTTGCCAGAACACTTACTGCAGACCTTGCTTCGACGGAATCCTGCGCCGCAACTGATATCAATCGCTCTGCTCTTACTGCCGCGACTTCCTGCACGAGCAAGACCCTCTTCCATACCTTCCTCCTGAGATCTACGATACGCCTGAAGTTGCCAAGGCTCGCTTCCAAGAGAGAAGTGAGAGGGCTGCTGTCACCCAAAGCTTCATTGTTGAGAATGTGTGCCCTCTGATTCAGATCGTAGATGGGATCTCGGAGAAGGGTGAAGACCTCATCAGGACCGGAATCGACAGCAGATCGGTGCACCCCTCCCGGCCTCTCAAGCCTGGCATATTATGCACTCTTTCCTTCCGCAGCATCGGGAAGGTTGGATTCAATACCAAGTCCGGCACACTCTCTCGAAGGCTATGAGAAAGATGAAGATGGCGAGCTTTTCATGGTGCCCTGGCCAGGGAATGATGATTTGTCAAAAGCATATTATGGTGAGACGAGAGGGAACGAGACAAGCTACGACAGATCGGCTGAGTAGGATGAATCCGACGAAGATGGGCGATGGCAAAGAGGAGGATAGTGAGGAACGCAGATGGGAGCGACGATGACGACGAGCATACCGACGCCGACGAGGAAAGTGATGAAGAACATAACGATGATGACGACTCTCATCGACCGGCCCATTGCCACCTCCCGAACTTCGCTCCATCACGTCCCTACATCAGTGCATCCTTCAGCAGATTCCAAGTCAGCGTGGACTCCCGTTACAGGCTCATGCTGCAGCACCAGCTGAATGCGCTACGCGATGAGGTCGAAATTGAAGGTGCGTTCAATCCATCCTGCGACGCGGGCGATGCGCGCCCCGACTGGTGCTCGCGAGGCTACAACGCAGTCATGGCGCTGGCGGAAGAGCGCAGTCGAAAGAAATTCGCGGAAACGGGGCATACTCCGGCGATATGTGTTGGCTGCTTGCGCAGGGAATATACGCGGTTCTGGCCTGTGGTCTATGCGTGGCGTCTGCGAGGAAGCACAAGGTCGTGTCATTGGTAGGAGAGAGCTTGAGTGTGTATGTCTTGGATATTGCCTTTTGTTGATTTCTACTGATCACGAGACCTGGTGAATTGGGAAACCTCTGAGGCTAGCTCTAGAGCCGCAGCTTTTGCCTTGACATTTGGGGAATGGACTGGTGGCAATGCTGTTCATGATGGCATTAACGCAGGATAGGCTCTCCTAGATGTTGCTTCAATTTCAGCTGCAACTCGTATTCGCCCAGAAGACCTGCATAAGGATGTATACAGTGTACCGTAAAATGACCACGACAGTGCTGCAGATAGAAACAACCAAAGGTCCGTCTGGTAGTATTGCACCCTTACAAGTTTTAAGCCATCACTCCCACTCGCTCTCTGATCAATCACCACCAGCTTCAAGTATCTTTAGCTGCCGCACATTACACATCCCTGGCTAGTTCTGATGAAGTGTCGTATACGGATCGAATACTCACCTCGAATAGAGAACGATCATCCACTGCGACCAAACCAAGGAACCAGCTGCACAACTATTTCTAGGCCCTCCTAGCGGAGTAGCAATCAACTCCAAACCTTTCCTCAGTCGGAATCTCGCATCTGACATGTTCTCAGTGCCGAGCGTGGTAGTCAGGCTAGGCCTGAGATCCCAGAAATCATACACGGAGCAAATATGATCCGGCTGACCAACGCATTATGGTCTGTCCCGTTTTCATTATAATCCCCGTGTCTGGACAAGCTGTCACTTCTGTTTCTTGTTCAGAACTGGACTAGCTCAGTGTGTATTTTATGACACAAAACAGTCTCTGAGGATTGATGAGACAGCCGAGCTAATAAGCTGCAACTCGCGGTTTTATAGACGTGACAAGAAAGGACCATGGTCTTCAAGGCGCCCGGTAATACAAGCACCCTCGCTCCCAGGCTGCCCAGCCCTACGAACACCCAATTCGAATTCGTCCAAGCTGGTGGCCTGATCGATTGACCAGCTAACAACCTCTGATCACGAATATCATGGCATTATAATCACATCCCGCACGATACCTCAGCCGTTCCACTCACATGTAGTTTAAACAGCAGCTTTTCTCTCAATCCATTGATCGGAATCCTAAGCATTCAGCTCTCTGACCACTCTCCCTCCATCTTACCCTGGGAGCCTCCGCCAAACCCAGCCACCCATTCCTCACCCGTCTTCCAGCCCTCTGATCTCCAAATGTCAACCACACTAGGCTTCCCTCCCCTCCCATCCTGGCCCTACCTCTTCGCCAGCACCGCCTCCTTCATGCCCATCGGCTTCTCCATCGGCGCGCAAACACGCTACGCCCACGCCATGTGTGCGCAAGCCGGCTTCGCGCAACCCCTTTCTCCCGCATCTCCCCGGGGCAAAGGGGTCCAACGGCAAATTCAATCTCGCGACAATGACCAGGAGATGAATTCGCTGCTCTACCTGCTCGCCAACAAAGAGGCTGTCATCGGCATCGTCCTTCTGGCTCTACAGGCTGCGGGGGAGTGGAAGGCGGTGGGGATCATGCTGGGGGTGGTATGTGTGGGTGGGCTGGCGGATATGTATGTTGCGGTGGTGAGGGGGAGTTTTGGGGCGTGGGAGGCGTTTTGGACGATAGGGTTCGTCAAGTTTATTGGGACTTGGGCGGCGTGGAAGATATGTCTGGAGAACTGGTGAAGTGGGGGCTGAAGATGAGGGGTTGGGGCAAAGGTCTGAAAAAGGAGTAGGTGAGTGTTGGAGTAGGAAACTAGGAGATCTCGTTGCTGGGACTCTTCGTTGGACGTTACGTAGTCTCATTTCTGTGCTTCTCGAGCAATTCTTGTCCTGCGCGTCTGAATCGCCTTACCACTGCGTCGATGTCCGTTTCGCGCGAATGCAAGTTACGTTCTGCATCTCCGTCGAGCGGGAGACTATGCTCCAGGATCCAAAGTACAGCTTCTCTGGAGATTTGGACCGCGTATATCCAGGCTGGTGGTTCGGCAAGGTCCGTCCCTGCGTGGCGAAAGGGTGTAAACTGCTCAACTTTAACCTCAGTTAAGCCACCGTCTGTCGCTCTATACAATACCGCCTGCTCGAATAGATCTCGGTGTTCTTCGATCACGGCAGCAGCTTGGTATACCCCGTCTGCACTGGGGCGAAAGCATAAATGTGCGTGAGGATTGTCCCAGCTATGACTTGTGCATGCTATGACAAAGGCTCTTTGCTCGCTGATCGGCGAGACTTGGTCGCTGTCTGTCAGAGATTTCGCCGGCATTGGCTCACACGACATCTGGGCACCATTCCAAAAGTCCGCCGAGTCTGGCAATGTCTGCGTAGGGTCCAAGCGTCGCACGTCCCCAAGATGATACACAACTGCTGGATCTCCTCGCTTCAGCCCCGCTCTAAGATCTTTGACGTTTAGCTGTAGAGCCATCATCAGCCGACGTAAGTGATCAAAAGATGCTACCTCGAGCGTGTCGTCTCGGGAATGCCGGAGGAAGTGATCAGCGGCTCTCCAGAACAAGGACTGGCAGTCCTCATTGTAGTCCACCTTGAATTGGGCACCCCCCGAGATCAGTCCTAGTCGCGAGTAAATCCTATCACGAACGTCAGAGCACCCTAGTTTATGGAAGTCCTCTAGGGCTTCTCGTAGAGATGGTATATCGTTGCCTGTGAACCGAGCATGCCAAGAGATGATCAGATGCGCCATATTGGTATGTTGTAGGAGATCAACGATGCGGTCTGGCAGCGTATAAAGACGACCAGGATCGGTTCCCGGGACGGTGAACTGCCGGTAAAAGAAATACAAGTGCATCGCGCGATGGCCAGTGAGGAGAAGTGGAGACTTTGCTAGGATGACCTCTTGAGAGATCCAGGCCCGCGTATAGTAGTCATTGAGGATGAGCGACTCGAAGCTATCCAGAAATGCATCAGGGTCGAGCAAGAACGTTCGTGTAATGATGGCGTGTTTGGCGTCCAATACTTTCGTCTTGAGTGGACCACTCTCCTTTCGCCGGCTGTACAAGATTCGTTCATCTTCCACTCCCAGGGCCTGGCTGGCCTCTGCAAGTTCGTTGGCAGTATTGAATGCAATGTCAAGTTTTGGGTCCTGTCCCAGCCACATCAACACCTCGCTAGCGCCGGCGTACAGCTTGGACATCTGTTGGACCTGGTAGTTCTTTTCTGGAATGTCCTCCTGATTAATGCACAGTGCGTCTATCCATAACGGCTGGTTGGGGCAAAACTCTCGTGCACGATGGAGAAATTGCCACAAATTATCTCGAACGCTGAAAGACTTGCCGTTGAGCCGAATGTTGTTGGCAGAAGCTTCCGAGCCCCACATATAAGATAGGCATCTATAATGAGTCGGCAGGTCGTGATGGGTGATAGTACAGCTGATGAGACCATCTTCTAGATTCGATGAGATTTGGAGGAGGCGGGTATGTTCAACACTTTCGAGTGGGCGATATGCGAACTGCTCTATCAGCGGCATTTCGCATCAGATGTGAAAGTCGCTTGATTGGCCCCTTTAGAGGTCGCTCGGGTTGGACTCGAGGGCAGAGAACCGGGAGGCCTTGTGGTTCAAGAAGTCCGGGGACCGGATCTCGGAAGGCGGGGAAGCCGAGCCACGTTTTAGCCTGGTGTACCCCATATGCATACACAGTTCAACGAATGAGTGCAACTTTAAGATGCTAGCACAGCAAAAAGGCACTGTCTACGTGGCATCGGCTACTACTGATCATCAGCACATTCGCATCGACCCCGAAATAAGATTACCACTCAAGTCAAGTTTGACTCGAATCCGTGGCTGTCTCGACATCGTCGAGCAAACGAAACCCATCATGATTTGACCGTGTCTATGAGGCAGCATAGTCACAGTTGCAACTAGCTGATAACACTTATGAGAACGATAATTCGTGCCGCAGTCGAACAATGGCAGAAGAGCAGATGATGCAACGGCATATGAGTAACATCCCGACCATGTCAGCCGTAGGGAGCAAAATTCTGCTACACAAAGACCATTTATGACGCCTCCCGAACATCTGGCTCATCCTCAAATATTGCTGGATCTCAGAGAATCAACGTACGTTGCCGTCAACAACAAAAGGTCGTACTCGCGCGCGTTCTTACCATGCCATCACGACATGCGCTTCCAGGTCCTCACCACGATGTTCATATCCTGCAGACATCGCTTCCGCAATCCGAGACTCCGAGACGACCGGTGCGGCGATCTCAGCGGGACCGAGCGCTTTTGCTGAAGGGGGTACGTAATGCCGCGATTTGCTCGCTTCCATGTTTTTGGAGGAATCAAATAATGATATCCATGGTGGGGTTGCTCTCGACCCAGCCCAATCGATCCAATAACAGCTGAGATTTTATCGAAATCTGCCAAAATCTCTGCCAGCGAATGCTTGGGAGAACTCCTGTTCGTCTTTTTGTGCTGATGCATGAACTACTGCGCCGGGCGGGTCGCGACGTCGGGGAGACGGCAGGCTGCATCAGACCCACAGTTTTCGAATGGCATGTATGATTGCCCAGTAGATCGCTGACACGACCTTTGAGCAAGGGTGTGCCTCGCCTTGACAGAAATGGTCTATGCATTGTAACTCCAGGGAGATGAACCACACAAAGAAGATTACAGCCACACTGGCCACTCAGATGCATAGTCTATGCCCAAAGCAATGCCGTCAATCATTCTCTAACACGTCTACATGGTTATGCTAGGCACGTTGCTCTCAACGACATTTTGTCGCTCACTACAATGTTGCCACGCACGACATCTTGACTGTTGACTGGTAATAACAACTTCATACTCTACGGAAATACAAGGTACTTCCTTGCTTTGTTGTACTGAGATCCAGAATACTTGCTTGCCTATGGCATCTGACACGGACAACCCGGCAAATGCCGCAGATGAGCACCGAGCCTCTGTTCAAATTGTTGAAGATTTTCTGCAGCATTTGAAATGTTTTCAAGCTCATGAAGGGCCCTCTCACATCAGCAGGATCTTGCACCAGCGGCAGGACCTGCAGCAAGCCCATGATGATCTTCGTACAGAACACCGCCTTTCCAACGAAAATTTCGAACGGGAGATCGTTACTATGAGGACGAACGATGAGGTCGCTCGACGAAACGCCTTGAGAGACTACACGGAGGAGAGAGACAAGCTTAAGAGCGAGAAAGAAAAGCTAGTCCAAGAGAATATCAACTTGAGAAAATCTCTTGACGAACACACCATAGGCTCTGTAGCACTTGAGAGCCGAAACAAAACGCAAAGCGAGCAGATCGATGCTTTACGACTAGATCTGCAACGGTCTAAGGATTCTGTCACGTCCGCTGTCCAAGAAGTACAAGCAAGCAAGAGGGAACTCAATAGACTCCAGCAAACGGAAAGGGAGCTACGCGAACGTATCAATCAAAGAGACTTGACAGAGACCAAGCTCAAAAATGATGTGAGCAAAGCTCAAGAGGAAGCATTAGCTTACAAGAGAGAGAAAGAGAAATTCGTGAAACAAACCGACCAGGTCAAAAGCTACCTATCACCATCTGCTACTGAGTCGTTGTCTGACTTGTAATAGTTTAAGCCCTCTGCCTGAAATACTATATACTGATCAATTGACAGGACTATCGAGCTTGACACAGTATGGCGAGACTTTCTGCAACTTGCCAGGTCGACAGCCGAGGAAGACTTACCTTCGTCTGCTCTCGAGGTAGGATAATGCTGCGGAGCGTATGAGCTGATCCGCTAATATCTGTTCCAGGATCCTAATTTGTGGGACGATGTGACGAAGCTCGCTGTTGGCTTGCCCCTACCGCGTTCCAACAGCGCTGGTGCAAAGACAGCACGACAACTTCTCATCCTCTCCGCGATGGCTGATGGACTTGTGCGGTGCATCTTTACATCAACAAACTTACTGCCTCGGGGAGCGGGACTTGATGATATTTTGAGGAGCCTGGCTGAAAAGTCTCCTACGCAGGAGTTTTTTGCTCGACGTGTACTCCTGCAAGTCGGCAGCGACCAAACGTCCAGAAATACCATGACCGGTGACGTCGTTGATTGTATCAGGAAACTTATACCTCGTGATACACTCGATAGGTTCAAGTCAAAACTGGAGGCACTAGTCGAGAGAAGTGCCCAAACGTGGGTCAAATTCCAGCGCAGCAAGACCCACTTCGAAGCTTCCTGTTACCTGGATGGAGGGAACAGCTCATACTGGAAAATACTGGCACTGTCTCCTGCAAACCGCAAGACCTTATACGACGAAACCCACTCAGCTATCGAAGGCAGCTGCATCCCGGTATTTCCGCAAGTATGGGCTGTCGACGACGTCGAAGATAAGTGCGTCATCCCCGGAGTGGCGGTCCTGAGGTCTCAGCTCGCAGACATAGAGCAAGAATTTAAAGCCGAAAAGGTTGCTCCTAAATCCACAGCACGGAGACGTATAACGGCTTCTCAAGCCGGGTCGAGACAAGTTCTATATCAATCAGCTCCTGGGGTCCATGCAAACGGTTTTTTAGGCGTTCGCTGATGGGACTCTGTCGCGGGCAGCTCAGAGGGCCATCACGGTCATGGCACGGCTTGACGTAGATTCAGTATGCAGGACTAATGATGATGAGTGCAAGCAGTTTAAGTGTATCGGTGGTGACTGGTAGTTTTCATCCGTACCTGGAAGTGCTTATGAAAAGGCCTGAGCGTCCCCATGTAACACCGCATCTTACGCTACAGTCTGTCAGGAACAAAAGAGTCGACCTCGTCGACTAGATGCTGTTGTTGAGACTTATATCTGTTTTCAGGCAGTAAAAGTTTTGGCATAGTGAACGAAATATGGGGTCCTAGGGATGTATTCCAGCAGCATTGCCACCACGTACCGAGGATAGTCGTCATACCTGATGCCTTGTACGAAACGTGCTTTGTCAGTAGGGTGGGCATATGAATTGTGACCTTGTATGCGGATGCGGTGGAATTTGAAATAATTAATTAATTCGCGTGACCTGAATTCTGATGATATTTCGAAGAGGCCAAGATCGGCTTCACGTTCCCCCCACCGTGGATTCATAGAACACCGTCGTTTCACAGTTAGAACACGGACCGAACGGTAGCCTTGGCCCATCCAGCGACACCTCCTTTCTTCTGCTCCTCCTTCAATTCAGCGATACTTGCCCTACGCTCATCCTCCGTGAGTCCACGCCCACTGATCATCTCGGCCTGTCCTTCGCGCATGCCGGTATAGATATCGATGTCTTTGATCTTGACGTACAAAGGCCGGTGTGCGGGGATCTTGAACCAGGAGTAAGTTTTCCAGATGATGTACAAGGCCACCAAGAAGGGGCCGGCCAGGTAGAGCTCGAAGAATGTTTCCGGGTCGAGATTCGGGCCTCCGACCGGATACAGGGCGGTGTAGAACTGTGCCATCAGACAAATGAAGTTCATGATGGCACAGATATATGAGCCATAGACGCCAAATGCGGCTTTGAAGGGTAGCTCGTCAACACTGTGACCTTGAAGTTTCCTTCGAAGCTGGGTTAGTCATTGAGACGCCTGTTCTGCGCGTACAACTTACCAAGCCTGTCGGAAGCGAATGTGAGCTATGGCAATGCTACCAAAGATGAAGAACGAAGATAGGCCGGACAAGGCCAGCAGCCAGTTGAAGATATCGCCTCCACTCGGCGCCAGATTAATAAAGGCAAGACATCCGAAAAGAAGCTGGAGGAGAGTGACGACCAGCGGGCGGCCCTTGCGGTCGACATATGCGAAGATCTTCGGGCCCATACCTGCGCCTGTTAGTCGTGCTGCCAGGACTCGTCCTACGGGCCAGACATACCGTGCTGTGCCAAAGCTTGGAAAGTACGAGTCGACCCAAATGTGCATGAGTTTGCGACACTCATCACCGAGATAAGAATCACGGCATTGAAGATCGAAGGGAGAGCTTTGATGTTCGCCAGCTCGATCGCGATGACAAATGGCGAATGGCGACTAGTAGATCCCTCAGATGAATAGAGATCGCTGTTTGCTGGCACAATCAACCCGATCAGGAACAAGTTAACGAGATAGAAGATGCATATACGCCACACCACCTGCCGGGTAGCCCGGGGGATTTCTTTGCGTGGATCGTCTGCTTCGGCAGCTGCGAGCCCGGTGAGCTCAGTGCCGCTGAAGGCGAATGATGCCGTTACGAAGACACCACAGAAGCCGTGGAAACCGTTGAGGAAGGCGCTGTATGGTGAGTGCCTGAAAGGTTCAGCATGAGCTTTGTTACACGATGATGGACAGACCAATATCTTGCACCGATGTAGCCTCTGTCGTCGGTCGGGACACCACCACAGTCGATGATAATTCCAAGGATCATGAACCCAACGCAAGCAATGATTTTGATCAGGCTGAGAACGAATTCAACCTCACCCTGTCAGCGTATGACACGAAATGGGTTTACCAATACCTACCTCTCCATATCCTCGGACACCAAAGATCTGTATGACTACGAGCAAGAACAACAGCGGCACGATCCATGCAGCGTTATTGACGTCCTCAATGCCTGACCAAAAGTGAATGATCTGGAAATTTGTCAGATTCACGAACATTTCTCTTCGGGGGTTGATCTTACGTTGCATGCCGCCGAGATCTCGAACGGGAGCACTGTAAGCCAGCTGATGCCGTACTGCCAGCCACAGGCGAAGCCCCAGGAAGGATCGATAAACCTGACAATGTACATCGTGAAGGCACCGTTGATAGGATACATCACCGTCAGTTCAGCCAGAGCTTGCATCATCAAATAACTTTGGTCGACTATTAGCAGTTGACATTGCTTCACGGGGACTGAAATCGTACATCATGCCACCTATCCCCGAATGTTAGACCGTCAACAATGGTTTTGCTAGTCACTTACCAATTATCATAAAACCAATCAGCACCGCACCGGGACCACCAGTCTGGAAAGCACCGCCGCTGCCAATGAACAGACCGGCACCGATAGCTCCGCCACTACCAGAATCAGCATTCGGACATCGAGGAGAACAGCAGTATGCTCCATCAAAGCTACTCACATAGCAATCATCTGCATGTGGCGTCCCTTCAGGTTCCGATGCAGCTTTCTCTGATCGGCTTCAACGATGGCGACATCTTGAGCTTCGATGCTGAACTGACGCCCACGGGCATGCTCCCCCAACGGAGCTGTCTCGATGGGTCCTTTCTCGTCCGCATTCTGGAGAGTCAGGCTCTCTCTGCGTGCGCTCATCTCGATGTGTAGAAGGCACAGCTGGCTGGATTCGTGAAGAGTTGACTCTGGGGTCGTCCTGGCTCTTATCGAATCGACCACAAAAGAGTTGGAAGAGCCCAGCGAGATCCTGAGCCGGGGGGTGTAAGTACTGGGTCGCTACTTTGCTTATCTGAAGAAAGCCTTGCTAAGAGAGATGCTTCTGCTGATAAGCTTTCAGTCTATTCCTTATCTCTGGTACCTTTGTTCGGCTTCTGACGCATCTGATAGGATCATCTGGTGCGCTAGCACCAACTGGTGTTCTAGCTCGCGTGCAATCTACATATCGGGAACCAGTCAACAGCAGGATAGGCTCGGCAGGAAGGACCCTACCGAACTGCGGGGTCCTGGCCTCTTGCTCTCGTCGAGACGACCGTGTCTGATACGACTGGCGGATGAAGAGCGACACAGCGCCGATAAGGCATGGTAGCAGCTTACTGGCAGAGAAATGGTCAGGGGATCAGGAATGGTGTGATGGTGCTGGTACGGTCACGTCACTCAGCTTTTGTCCGCGCGAGGTCGTCACATAGGCGCGATCATCGACTTGGAGAGGGTCTGAAGCTACTACCACTGTGCCTCATAACACGCCATGGTGAGTGGTAGCGGTGAGTCCATGCAAGGGCCTGAAATGGATTCCATTAGCACACTGGCATATGATTCATGATTCACAAGTTAGTTCGGCTTTGATGAATAGTAGATTAGAACTGATATGTCCTTTTGAACTGACATTTTTGGCGTGGACTGCTACTAGTGAAACGGAGCAGTGCTTACCACCTACCTCAGAGACCTCATACTCCCGGAGTCTCAACTAAGGCAAGTGTTTCCGTCCAAACCAGCTTCTGCTGGCAGGTCGGACACGACAACACTCTGGAGAACCATTCCTCGGCACAGCTCCTGCAGGCGCGGTGTTTGCACGGGGTGATTAGCATCTCGTCACCACGCTCCCAGGTCCTATAGCAGATCAAACAGTGCGCACTGTCTTCGTCGACCAGCAGTGGCATGGCAGCGTACTCGGTGAACCGGGCTTGCGAAGGAGCCATGGCTTCAGGGACGGTCTCTTGCACGGCATTCTCCCAGATGTGCGTGCGGAAGATGCGCCGACTGTGCAAGATGGGAGACATTTGAACTGACCTGATTTCGGGGTTGGGAGCAGGCTGACGGTTGGGCTGGCGACGAAGCTGCTCTTTCCTGCGCTCGGTCTCATGCACCAGCCACTTTGCCCATGATTCGCTGATTGGAAAGATAAAAAGCAAGGCAACGACAATGCCCAAGTACGGTCCGGAGGAGCGAACACCATACCACCAACGGTCGACGATGCTCTGGATTAGAAGGGCTAGGAACGGGGTCAGTACCAGGAAAAGCAGCATCATGGCCCCGAGACTTGGCAAGCCGGAGTCGTTGGCTCCCAGCGGACTGATTCTGTGCCCGAGGCACGCAACACGGAACACTGCTCTCCAGACGATAATGTAACTGGTCGCGCCGTGGTTGGGATTTCGTTCAGGCATGATGTGAGTAGTGAGTTGCAGAGTTCAAGGTACTAGAAAGCTGACCTTTGCAATCGATTTATAGTCAAGGGGCCTGGGCTTGTCTCGCTGTCACTGCGAAAGGTGTCGGGACTTCAGACTCTTGTTGTTCGAAACGCATTAACGAGTTAAAAGAGCTTTGTCGGAAAGCAGTTGTCTTGCCTGTACTGATATCTGGTTTGGAGTCCCCGTGGTAAGTCCAAGTCTACGAGGAACCCTCGCCTTGCACCAAACTTGGTTTGTATCCAGTTTAACTGTATCTACGTCCCTCAAGACACAGTACTAGTTCTATGCAGCATCTGAAGGTTTAAAAGGATATGATTGCTTCTTACGAAAACGGAAACTAAACATACCTGGTCCAGTGTTTCTGTCAAGCAAGCATGATTACACCTCGGTAAAACAGAATGGGAGCGCTTAAGATGAGGATATGTGAAATATTAGTAGTCTTCAATAGTTCTATTGAGTCTCATGCTAGGTAGATCTAGCAAGCTGACTACCGATGTGCTGATTACGCCCGGCTTCAGTGCAAATTCGGGGTCTACCGCAGAATTATAGACCACTAGTAAGAGTGGCAGTTCCGCTGACGACGGTCCCGGCGCCGCGGGCGACTTTCATCAGCACAACCCTGCCGCGAGCCAATGCCAGCAGCCTCCTGCTCCAACCACCTCTCCCACGAGCGCTGAGTCCTACCGATAGAGCTGACATTGGAAGACAGGCGCAACAATGGCCAGGGTGACGAGGTCAGATTCTTGGGATCATCCTTGATCTCTTTGACTTGCTCGTAGATGACACTTAGCGTAAGGAACTGGATGAGCATGAGCAGAAAAATGGCATAGCTGGAGGGCGCACTGGGGTTGTCGTGGCTGAGGGGGCTCACATTGGATCCCAGGGTAAAGAGGCGGAACAGGGCGTTCCAAATGGTATAGTGCCAGTCGGTGGTTTGTTGGGGCATGTTGATGGTGATGTTGTTGTAGTCGTGATTGTGTTTGATGATTGTAGGGTGAACTCAGTTCTGGCTATGGCTATATACCAACAATCACCGCAGTCTCATGCCGCAGTGGATAAACATTGTCATTCGACAGGATTCTTTGTGCAGTACTCTTTCATGAACAGAAGAGCATTGTTCGTGGACAAAAGTCTTGTGTGATCTCGTTGACGGTGACTTCAGTCATTGTACCATGATTTATCGAAAGGTGTGTGTTGCAAGCAGTCAGACTGCTAGCCGTCAAGCTGCAGGCAGTAAAAGTCTTGGCATCGGGCCGTCCGCAACCAAGGGTCGTCGCTGACAGGCACGCCCGAGGGCAGCGCCGGCTGATTACGTGATGGTCGTACAGATGTCGAATGTGCGGAGTACACAGTGTGGAAGGCCGGACCTCGGAAGCATATATCTCATCATTGGAAGCAGGACATCCAACCATTAACGCCTAAGCTGTACATATGCGTTTCTCCCCGTTCAATTGCTCGCTGAAACAACTGCAAACAAGAACCTGGGGCGCGCTTATTGCCTCGCGGAAGCCACGTCCCGTTTCCCTATGTTCCATTGTTGACTCAAGGCTTCCAGTTCCGGTAGTCCAACGTCAAGCACTTGTCGCTTTCGAAATGACCTGCCTGAGTCCCATACTCTGTTTCGTACCACGTGTCTCGTGTCTCATAGCCAACTCAGCGTTACATATACAAGTGCTTTTCCCACCAAGCGCCTTGCACATAGAAATGTACACGCCATAGTCATACCTCATAGTTCATAACACCATACCAACATTCATTCAAAAAGCCCTTAACATTTGGTGTCAAAACTCAAGACCTTGCATAGGGGCGGTTCATAGCCGCGATTTCTCGTGCCACAGTTGGCCATTCGAGATCTCGCTTGATGTCTTCGCCCCGAGCTTCTCGCTGCTGCTCGTCCCACTTCATCAACTCGTACACAAACCTGAGATGAGGTTGAATGATCACGTTCAATCGACGGGCGCGGACGAAGCAGCTGTGTTCGGTCAGTAATGCAGATCTAAAGCCACTTTTTGCCATGATACGTACTAGGCTCTTGGGAAGGTCAATCCCATTTCTTTCATGACTTCCGCAATGCAGATAGTGGCTGACCTGCTGACACCAACTCTGCAATGAACAAGCGTTGCCATGCCGTCACTCTTGCCCCGCTCTATTAGGTGTTAAAGGGGGGGCTTCTTTTGAGGACGTAATGACTTACCGACGAATTCCAGACAACGACTCATTTCCTGTGACAATTCATCGATGCCATTGTCTTGAACACGGTCAACCATCATCAGGTTTTCACGACCCCAGTCCTCGAGCGCCGAGGTAGGCCAAGACACAGGCTCGCCGACACTGAGAATGCGGGTGATGCCGAGAAGCTTCAACAGCTCCGGGTTGTTGGCATGTGTCAAATTCCCGAGATACATGTAGGGAAGAATCCTGCTAGGAAGACTTCCGTCGAGCTTGGCCAGCCAAACCGGAGGCTTGGGTATCATCGTTTTTGCACCCTCTAAGGCAGGACTTTCCTTGAGAAGTCTCTCTTGTAGCGATGTCAAGAGGGCCACGTCTGAAGGATATGCGAAGAAGTTGCGGCCCTTGTCTCGATGTAATTTGACCCAAGCATCGTGGACAGGAAGGCCTTCTGCATACATAAAGTACGCGACGGCAAGTAGCGTAGTCTCGGTGTACCCGTCCGCGCAATGTAGCAGCACTCTTCGGGGCCGGAGGCTGAACTCGGACATCTGGATATCTCCGTCTTCGTCTTTGAGTGGGTCGGCTTGCTTTCGACGGGCGTTGTGGGTCAGATTGTACAGCCATCGGCACATAAGGAGGATCCCATCAACCTCAGTTTGCGACCAGGAAGGAGGCAGGATGCTTCCAGAGCTGGGAAATGAGAGGTGAAGCGGAGGGCCATCATCTGACTCATCCATCTGCTTCTGCTTGGATCGTAATATCTTCTCGTCAGGCATTGCAGCATGATCACTTGCCTCGATATATAAGTCAAATAAATTACCGTTCTCGAGAGCATCGGGAATCAGGTTGACGTCAGGTGATGGACCTTGGAACACGCCTTTGTTGATCTCCGAGGCTTTGGACATGGCGCACATTTCTTTGCGCTCTTGCTGAAGAAAATCCAGCACGGCGCCGGTGTGACGACCTCGCGAATTGACTGCTATCAGCTCTGGGTACGCCTCCTCAAATACCTGATATGGCTCGGTAAGCACAAAGGTACTGTAGGTCTCTGGTGTCTGGCCCGAAGCCTCCATTTCTTTCCGCCAGTGGCGCTGCACGGTGGAAGCCCGTTCGGCCACGGATTTGATGATGCGATGGTCGGTGGTCTCGTCGCCATATACAATAATATCTGACACTTGTGCCATCTTGGTGGTCTGAATATGGAAATTGCGCACGGAAAAGCCATCTCGGGGATCACAATCCAAGAAACCTTTACCAGAGTCGTCGCAGAGGTTGAAGACTTCGTCTGGAGCAACGGCGCCCTTGATGCGGCCTCGACTCAGATCGCCGCCCGCCTTGATAATTGTAATGCCTCGTAAGCATTTTGGCACCCGTCTCAAAGATCTCTTTCTTGCCACAAAGAAGGCAAGTTGGATGTGGTTTTCTGGGTGCAAGCCATGCAGCCATGGAAAGACATGTGACGGATTTGGCAGAGGTTGGGCGGCAAAATGATTCAGTGCATTGGCGAGCGACTTGGCGTCAAGGCCATAGATGGGAGGTGAATTCAGCAGCTTTGGGTAGGTGCTGGGCGGACTGAGTAGTGAGTCCTGCTTTAACGAGTTCTGGCGCGAAGGGGGAGAGTTTGGCGGAGTGATTTGCGAGGGCGATGGGATGGGCCCTGGTGGACAAAAGGGGATGTGTTTGTTCGGTACCGGGGTGGAGGAGCGCGCAGTATTGAGGGTCAGAGCCGGGGTGAGGGGCGGCGGAGTGGGTTGCCGGAGCTGGGTCTGCTGGTGTTGAACGACGACGGTGGCCATGGCTCAAGGATGGAATCGATGGGCTGACGGCAGGCTTTTGAGAGGCTTGGGCGCCTCAAACAGCCATATCGCTGAGCCACAGGCACGCGGGCTTAGATAACTCGTGGTGTGAGAAAGCGACTAATGAACCGGGTAGTAGAATGGGGGAAATGCAAGAGCCCCGCTGCGGAGTAGGTCGCTCCTTCTCAAGCGATGACGAGGTGCTCTCTGTCGTTGCTGAGAGGTTTGTAGGACTGAAAGGTCGAGAGAAATCAGAGCTAACAGAGCGTTATGTCAAAGGCGCAGTCAATAGAGGGCGTTGAGAAAGCATGGGGAATGAATCAATGGGAGGAGTGCGGGCAACGGGCCATGGTGGGGCATCACTTCTCCCTCCCTGTCTGTCTGGTATGGAGGCGGCCCGCGAACGAGGACAAAGCCCAGACAGCGGGCCCTTAGCCCGTGCTGTAGCTTTGGGCCTCAACGCAGATTGGACACCGGAAGGCGATGGGCAATGCAAGGGTAGCGACACCGGCAGGATGCATGGTGCCATGGAGGGGCTGAAATGCAAGGACAGAGCCAGTCATGTCGCCCTGCTCGGCCGTCAGAGTGAGCTGGGGTTCGATTGCGGCCGATCCGCGTGAGGGTAAGCAACAGCGCTTCAGACCTCCCCGCCTTTAGTAGTGCCTATCGGCGACGCCAACCGCCCCAGTAGACGCCACGGTGGGGCGTACCCAAGCGAGAGCCCTGCTTGCCATCAGCCATCATCGATGATAAAGTCGCACGACCTCACCGGGCAATCATGGCATTCCGCGGTAGATGTGACAAATCTGGCAATGCTCATTGATCTGTTATCTCACGCTCTCAGGGGTATAGAAATCAGAATGTGTACTGTACAGATGGGGGTTGGGTGCCGTGTCTTCCCCATTTACGCCCATGCGCTTGCCATCACGGACGGTGGCACCGATCTTCGCAACACTGGTGTTTCAGACGGCGAGACCCTTGACCGTTCCTTGCATCGCCGTCGCCGTCGCCGTCCTTGTCATTGTCGACGCCGTTCTTTCCCACCTCTCATATATTCCTACTCCGTATCATCCACCTCAACGCTCGCTCAGCCTCTTCCGTTCGACGCTAGCACTAGCCGCTTCGAGGCACGTGCGAAATGCTGACCTCTCTTCGTAATGTGGGGAAACGTGCAGGGCGCGCGCCCAGTCTAGATCATTCCCTCGTGCGGATTTTCATTTCCTGACAAGCAGCCTCCCTTGCAGCGTTGACAGCCCTTAGCAGAAGAGTGATTCCAGATTTCCGGACTGGCCAGCTTGGTCATTGGGGCACTGGCCAACTGTGGTCGATAGTTGCTTGGCAAACAACGATGCTTGCTCTGCGAGTGTCTTCATGTCAATAAGTTTGCCTTGATGTGAATACAATGGAAGTTGTTCGCGAGCTGGAGCCAGTGAATCATCTTGACCATTGCCTCGTCCCAAAAACGACAGCAAGGATGCTCTGGACAGTGTCCGAGCCTCCGCAGCTCGGTCTGTTTTACTGCTCTGTGCTGTCAGGAAGTCTTTCTCCGCCCCCAGCTCCAACGTGGTCATTACGGCAGGGACCTCGTCATTTTCTTCTTCTGATGTGGAGGGCAGCTCAGTGTGCAATGCCGCCAGAGGTGAGTCAACGCTCCTGAGGTGTGGGTACAGCATTGTATACCCTTGCGCTCGCATCATCTCTGAAGCCAGCTTGGCCCAGGTAGGCAGGGAAGCGGAGCCCGCCGCCTCCGTTTCCGTCTCCGCCTCCTTCGAGAGCTGAGGATCCACGGTCAAGCGCATCGATAGATACTGGTGCATCTCCGCCCACTGGTCGCCGAAGAAGAGCGCGGCATTCGTCTGCAGCGACTGGGATAGCACAAAAGGCCGGTGCTCGGTCATCGAATCTGCAAAACCGAGCAACGAAATACCCATGAGGCCATCTCCCATGATCGCAGCCGGCTCCCCATACTTATACTCGAGAAGGAGATACAGGAGAAGCTGGTAGTAATTCTTGGACAGTTCAACCTCTGGCGATAACACCAAAACATGCGAGCTCGTTGGGTCTACCGGGTAGAATGACTCAATCGCCTGCAGAGCTGCTGCTGCAGGGCTGAGGGATTTGTCGTCCACTCGATGTCGCAGAGTCAATTTGGATTCTGCCGTCGGCGAGCGAGGTGGCCAGACGAACCGACGCAGGTGTTCCAGAACGTGCATATCGGTGCGCGCCGGGAGATCGATGACAATTCTGGGTAGTGGAAGGCCACCGTAGTCTGCCGAGCGAAGGCTCCTCAACAACCGTAGTAGGGATCCAGCTGATTCAGGCTGTACTCGAATAACTATATCGACTTGAATCTTGTCCCACCAGCTAAGGGCATTCGCATCAAGATCGAGCAGCCAGGACTCATGGTGTGGTATCTGGATAGAAGTTACACCGTATGACTCGGCAGCCTTGGAAAGCCCTTGTCGAAGATAGTCATCTTCTCTCTGAGAGTCGTCGAACAAAACAGCTCGTGGTGCAAGTGCTCGGTGTATGTGGCTCAGTGCGCCTTCCACGCCTCTGGAAAGACGAGACGGGCTGGACTGCGTAGCGAAATCCACCTGAGCTGGGTGCCAATAGACGGGGCAGTCGCCAGGCACAATCCTGTTGATCTTGAGGACTTGTTCCTTTGTGACTTCTTCCTTTCCCATAGCTGCTACGTGCACCGTGGAGCGGTTTTGTACCGCCATACTGCAGGCTGCGGCCACGATAGGGGATGCGCTTCGGAGACTCGCGAATGCGAATAGGACGCTCGCTTTGTGCGCCGGCGGTTCATTAAAGAAAGGTCGGAGGGATGGCGCGAGACCGAAGAAACGGACGGGGCCATCGTATTCGTCCTCGATATCGTGGTGAGAAGTGTGACTACTCCCACTGACAGGACCCTGGCCAGGACGTCCTCCAAGACGTCCGTAACGGGAATCAAACCTCTGATTGACCGGCACCAAGTCTGTTGGCATATGCTTGAAGAAGAGGTATAGCAGCCATGTTGCAAGTATCCCGAAAACGATCCTTCGCCGCCGGAAGGGGCCCAGAAACCGAAGCATTTGGTCAAGATAAGTCGGATGGTTTACCGTGGGATCATCGTGCTTTTTGGACGCGCCATCTGCCAACGCGTAAAGATAAGTGCGTCGAGTAGCCATGCATCTTCACACCACAGAGGGTGGAAGAGTGCTGTCGTCTGGCGGGTGGAATGGTGACTGGGCTCCTTGGAGGCATTGACACAGAGAGACAGCGAGGAGATCCCTGTCTCCGCGTCCCCTCGCGTCAAAGCTGCAGGCGTGGCTTGGCAACTGGAGTGGGCAATTCTCCTCTCTGACAGCTACCTGTATCAGTCCACTCTCCACACCCAGCACTGCGACCACGACAACGACTTCCCATGGACCTGCCCCGACCATGCGACATGATTAGGTGATGATCGTTGCGGTACGACGCACGCAGTCGTCTAGGCATGCGCACAATATGGGCCCGGGCGACTCGACCTAGGGCGAGCTTCAACCCAGCTCCCCGATTATCAGTCAACTCGTTACTGGCAAGACGGTCTGTCGCTGCCAGTGCCTCCCGAACCCAGATAGCCGCATGCGACGTCTTCGCTCTTTTCCTAGGGCCATTGCTTGCTGCCGCCGCGTTCGCCGATGTGTCATGGAAGGACAAGAAAAGGAAAGAGTGGGAATCTCGTTTTGCTAAGATCAATCAAGACCTCGAGTTATTACGGGCACGCGAAGTAGAATTATGGACAAGAATCCAGTATCGCTCGGTGCGAAATGGTGTCGGTCAGCACAGGCGGATGTACTCGACGGCCGCAGCCACCGTTGTTCCAGATCAACCTATCCTCAACGACTGGATGGACGACAGCTCGTCCAACCATATCGAACTCGTCGAAGATGCTCTTCCCCCGGCTGACTCTAGCCCTATATCACCTCATGATCGTGATTCCAGCGGCTCCGAAATTTCATACCCCGAGCTGCCACTCGATTCGTCCTCGCTGCACTACGAAAGACTTCTCGCCTTGCGATTAGCCTTGCAGCTAATATTGCAAGTGTACACTGGCTCAAATGAGCTATACCCCGAATCCAACCGCACTTTCATCGAGGACAATGCTCTACCTGAAGACTTCGGCAAGGTGGTCGTCCGGCTCCATGCCGTGACGAGGGAATTGATCGAGCTCGATCGCAGACGGGATCTCGCCAAAGACGGCATACCGTTCAGACACACTCCCCGTCCCGAAGATCGCGCGAATCAGCGAAGAGACATCATCGCGCTGGGAAGTCTCTTCAGAGACGGATCAATTACAACATCGGGCCTTGTTGACCGCGTGACGCAATGGTTGTTGCAGGAAGGACAGACTCCGCCCGGGCCAGTGCTTTATGCCAAGCTCGTTATGCTCTTCAGCTTCAACAATCTTCCAGAGTTGGCTCGACATGCTCTACAGGCACTCACAAATACCACCTATGCCATTGACGAAAGAGAAATCTGCAGCATGCTTGAACACAGCTCTAATTTGAGAGATGTGAAGACCTTTGACTGGGTGATCCATCAACTGACAAGTGCGAACGGTGTACTGGTCAGCGGCGGTCAACGCTGGGAGTGGTGGCGCGTGTCTGGTGTTCTATTACCCGTTCCGAGCAACCAGAGCGCGCGACTGTTGCGCGCGCTGATTCGGTGTGCCCTCAATTTTGGTGATCCACAACGAGCCGAAGCGTATGCCACACTGGAAAGCATCTCAAAAGACCCCTACATGATGGGCTTTGCTCTCAAGGCGTTCCTCCAGTACTATGCCCGAGCTAAGGACTGGCAATTAGGCCGAAAATGGCTTAGGAAAACCTACGAATGGATTGATAGATGGAATCTCGAAGGGCGCACAGGGCCAAACGGCCTGAGTGCTGTGCTCCTACGCATTTTCGATCTGCTCGTTGCCTGCGACCAGCGAGACGATCAGTGGACGCTGCTCGAAGCAGTAGTTGCTGCTGGAGTTGAGCCACCAAGGCTGGATGCCTCAAAAGGTGAAAGTACAGCCAGAGTCGAATTCATCGTTCGCCAGTGGCAGGGTTTGATCAACGAAAACAACCCCGACGCATTGACCTCGCAAAGCTATTCTAGCCTGAAGGAATTCATGAGTACATTCCACATTTTTACCCAAGGAGATGCGCCGAGATCATACCCCGACCTATCTCTGCCGCCACAATCGTCACTCGATGTTGATGCTTTGAAGGAGGTTAATGAACGATACGAAGCTGCTCTTGCCCGGATGGAGGCCCAAGTATCTGAAAGCCGGCGGTTACATGAAGAGCTCCGGTTAGCTGCCACAAGGACACCCGCAGTCGATCCGATACCTCAGTCGGCTGCGGTTACCCAGGCCGACATGAGCAAACTCTTCGAACTGATCAGCCGCGAGCGCCAAACCCATGTCCGAATGCACCGGGAGCAGCAGGAGGCCATGAAAGAACAGGAGATGAAGATTCAGGCGCTGCAAGAGCAGCTCCGATCGGTGACTGAGGAGGCGAAGAAGAATGCCGCCGCTGTCAAAACAATCCCATCGACGTCTGATGCCCCACCACACACATCTTCACCTCCGGATTCCTCCCATCAGTCGACGTTGGAAGAGCTTCACAATGTGGCCACGGCCGCCTACGCCAGTACCGCCTCAACCAGGGGCTCACCCCCGATGCCGCAGGGGCGGATATCGCTTTCCGGAAAGATCAATGGTTTTGGATCGCCCATAAGCGAGACCGCAGACGAGGCAAGCCACGACACCGACAGCGACAGCCAACGAGATTCGGGCTACGACTCCGACTCCTCGTCGACGTCGACTTCGATGTCAATGTCTCCCAACACCCGTGCGCCAAGTGCAGCGCGTGCCGGTAAGAGGCTCTACAGTCCCCCAGCACGGGCGAAGCAGCACGCATCATCTGCCACCAACCCGTCTACGGCCCCGAGCGACGCTGCCGAGCCTACCGTGAGAATCCTACGTGTCCGCGCCAAGCCGGACAAGAAAGATGCCCGGGCGACGCCGCCATACAGGCGAGTATGGCTGGATTCTCTGCCCACGGCAGAGTCTGAGCTTGATGGCGTGAGGCGAGACGAGACGGCTTGAGTGTGGCACTGACGTGTGTGAGGGCTCAGCATTGATCAGAGAACTGAGGACTGAGGACTGAGATACCGGTCACCGCATGAGGCGCGCTAGCCCTCGTGGAGAGAGAGAGGGTGTGCTTGTATAGCTAGCAATAGACTAGAGCTTTAAGATGTCAATGTGAATGAATATTCGAATTCTGTCCCTCCTGAGTTTGCGTATAGTGTAAACCGAACGTACATGTATCCGAAAGTGCTGATGATTGGCGCGTCACGGTCAAAATGAGCGATGTCATGCATGTCGAGCGTTGAAATATAAGTGTGGAATGATAGCGACGCTTTCTTGGTCTTTCGCTCTCTCGCGGTGCTTTTGTATATGCCAATGCCACTGCCCGTACCAGCGCCAATAATGCCAAAAGCACTCCGTCCTATACTCCACATCTTATCTATACCAGCTGTTGTTCTTCCATGCACTCTAATTTCTGCAGTTCTTGCATTTCGTGGGTATCATAACGTCAGGACGTCCATCGCGCCTCTACCGTAGTCGTCTGCTCCGGTCTAGTCCACCAGCGCCTTCAGCACCTGGACTCCAACGGACAGACACTCCTCATTGCGCGTCTTCCGCAGGCTGGTCTTCACCACCTCAGCGGCCCCAGCCTTCTTGGCTGCGTCTTTGCCTTTTCGCCCATTCTCCCCTTCGCCCAACACGAGGTTCGCCAGCACCACCAAGCCTCGATGCATGACGCCCTCGTCTCCGTCATCACAAAGCCCCAATACAACTGGTATGCCGCTCTCCACCTCCAGCAGCACCGGCACCACACTTTCGAACTCACTGAGCATTGCCAGCGCTCCGCCCGCGGCCCTACGCGTAGGCAGATCCTCTACGTCTGCCATGGCGAGCAGCACCCGCAGCCGGCTCTTGGCTCGTGCGCTACCGTCTGCAAACTTTGCCGCCCCAGCCGGTACGACGCACAGGTTGCACACAAGCTCGACGGCGGCGCGCCGTAGGAGAGTGTTGTCGTGCAACATCAGCTCCTCCGTTGGGTCCCACGCCGTGCGAAGGATTGTGGCGGCGACGGCAGGATCGGGCGAGCTTGCGAGGTTTGTGAGCGCGAGGAGCGACTCAAAGATCGGTAACAGATCGCGGGGGGCGTCTGCACCAGGAGCAAATTCACGCGAAAGTGGTTTGAGGAGCTGGACAAGCGGAGGAATGGCTTCCGTAATATGTGGGGTGGCAGAGGCGGCAAATACATGGGCTGGGTTAAGGGAGATGAGTATGCGAGCCAGAGCGTGAGCTGCATCGATGGTGAGCATGGAAGAGGCGCCGGTGGGTGTTTTTGGGCGCGTGGAGGTTTGTAGCGCGCGTTGAGCGTGCTGGACGAGAAGTTTGACGGCGCCCTGCTGAGCGAGTTTGCCCCGATCCTTGGGGTTTCGAACGAGGGACAGCAGAATCTTATCGGTAAGAGGAATGGTGGCGGAAGAGGTGGCTTTGTTGAGTTTGAGAAGTGTGGGCATCAATCCTGCCTCGACAAGAGCGGTGCAGCGTGCCTTGATGTGAGGTTCGTCTTCGAGAGGCGACGGGTCGGAAGGTTTGGAGGCATTGGCGTAGGCTTTTAGTTGCGTCATCTTCTTCTGTTCTTCAGACAGATTGGGTGGGTAGTGAGTGAGATTCGAGACGATGCTAAGAGATCCCACGACAATTTCGGGAATATTGCTGTTGGCGTCAAGCGATGTTAGGAGCTGTTTGAGGAAAGCATTGTCATGTGCAAGCTTTTCCTTGACTTCGGGCTTCAAAGATGTGTACGCAAGGCCTTCTATTGAGTCAGATATGTTTCGTGCATCTTCAACGCGTAGGGTTTTTGTAAAAAGATCAACAAGTTCACTAACATCATCATCAGCCTTGCTGGCTCGTTGGTCTGCAGGCTTGGTGCCTGATGTTCTCAGTTTCGCTAGAATGGTCGCTGCCATGGCGGGTTGCTTGTCCATGCCGTTGCTGACTTTGTGGGAGAGCCATGCGGAGCAGTGCTGCGCAACGGCTTGTCGACAGGCTGCATCTATGCAGGCTGCATTGAGGAGTGACAGAAAGCTTGTATGCACTTGAGTGCTGGACTTGTTCCTCTCCAGCAAAGGCAAAATCGATTGGAGGAAGCCTTCGGTGAGGAAGAGTTGGGCCACAACTGCCGATGCAAGTGGGAAAAATTGAGCTGCTGCCGAGAAGGCGAGAATGAGGTCGTCACTCCGTCCTTTTGCCACATGGTCGGTAATGTACTTGACAAAGTATTGCTGACCAGTTGGCTGAGCAACTTCGAGGAATTTAGACAGAACCAGGGTGGCTTGGCCGCGAACGTCAGGTGGCAAACGGTAGTCGAGGGATGTGAGAAGTGCTTCAAAGCCATCTTCGTCGACAAAGGTGTGGAGCCGTTGCGTGTCCGCAATCAAGAGCAGGGCAATGCCCTTGAGCGCTCTACCATCATGATCATGGCCACTCTCCATCAACTTTGCCAAGAACAGCTGGAACAACTCATCCTCGACATGCAGACGCGCAATATCGCTTTCCCAGAGCGAGTGGTCGAGAACAATGGACCGCAGGCAATTTGCGGCGTCGTCTCCACGATCGTAGACGTTATCAAAGAATTCGGTGGTGGAGGCTTGGAGTTCGGTGGCAAAATAGCGGCGGACAGCGAGGCTCTTGCTGGCTAGCTCGGCAAGGATGGAATCTTGAGAGGCGCTCAAGGTGCTTGCCTGACATTCGAGAATGAGCTGTACACATTCCAATGCGGCACCAGCAGCATTAGGGGCCTCGTTGCTTCGCAGATACTTGATAGCTTCCTCGCCGGCCTTCTGATCGTGGTACATGGCGTAGCGGCGGATAAGGTCGAGCAGTGGCGACCTTGCCTCTTCATTGTGAATGGCCAGAAAAGCAGATTGAACGTCGATGTTTTCTGGACCCAATGCGGCTGCCGCCCTCAGACGTCGTGAAGCTTCCTGCAAGCAAAAGTTAGGCATGGGACTCGAGCTGAAAATTGGGGGGCCAAGAAAAGACATGTGAAAGTTCGATGGGTGGCACATACATCTTTGTGGCCAGCTCGCGAAAGCTCAACAGCCTCTCTGGCGAGGACAGTGGCTTTTTCCTCAGACATGCGGCGAGTGACATTCTGAACTTGCTGAATGGTGGCCATTGCCCGTGGCCGAAGCCAAGACGCGCCGCAAGTGTCGAGCTTCGGGGGAGTGGTAAAGGTTGAACGCCGCCCAAGAGAAACAGAGTCAAAGTCAGGCAGGAGAGGACATATTTGTAGAACCGGTGGCGTGGCGTAGCGAGAGAGAACAGTCAGACCAAGAGCTCAGGCGGCGGGTCAGATGATGCTAGAAGAATTGTTAATCAAAGGGAGGATAGTCCAGGCCTCGGTCAGATTGTGACTGAGATTGGTACGGAGACCGAGTCAAGCAGGAGGAGGATTGCGTTGCAGACTTTGGTCCGCGTGGCAGAGTCCGAGGGCGAGGAAGGCGAGACCCGCTTCCCAAAAAGACGGCTACTACCAATCCAGTCGGCAAGGCAGAAGAGCAAGGCAAAGCGTGTAGCAGTGATGGACAAGGCGGATGGCAGAAAGCAGCTGTGGAAAAAGCAACCAGTCAAAAACAGAAGATCAAAGGCGTGAGAATTTTCTCGGGCATGCGTGGGGTGTTTGCATTGCTTCACGTAGTCTGCAGTTGCTGAGCCTTGATGCTGCTTACCGCTCACCATGTCTCTCATTGGCAGGTCAAGGCGACATGCTCCATGTCGTCCGAGAATTTGACCGTCAAGATCGCTGACCAAAAATGCAGAAGAGGGCGCAGACGAACGGCGACAACGGGTGAAATCCGGCGCTCCCAAACAATCGGTGTACGGGCATTTTTCCCATGCCGTTAAAGGCCGGTAGATTCTAAGGTACATACATAGCCTCTTTGGCACCTACCGGCGGCCGTTGATTAGCCCGAAGCTGGGCATCAAAGTCAAGCCTAAAAGTGAAGAAGCTTCCCCCGGAGACGTGTAGTCCGCCGGAGCCGCTCAACGCCACCCTGCTCTGGGCTTCCCGCGATTCGTGGGCGCCAGCATCTCATGCACCGCCAGCACTGCCAGCTGTGCAACAACGCAAAATCTTTTCGCTTCATCTTGCTGACCTGCTGACCGGTTGCACAGTCGGGCCTGATACCATCGCAGTCATTAATGCTCCAAGGGGCCGATAATCACTGACGCGTCGTTGCCAGTGGCAGCAGCGGTGACACCGTGCAACAGGAACAGTCGTTCCACTTAGCGGAACCTGATATTCAGGGTCTTTGGATGCCGACTGACGCGAGTTTCCGCCGTCGCCCAGAGAATTCTCAACTAGACTTCACCTCCATGACTTGAAGAACTTCTCGATGAGGAAACCCCTTCGTTCAGGTATGCCAGCCAATTGCGGATCTTGGTGACGCATCCGCTGTATCGGCTTCTACCTCGTCACCATGCCAATGGTCCATGCATCGTCCCTCCATTAAATCGTACCTCGTGTACCTGTAGTCCACTGCCAAGAACGTGGAGAGGCTTGAGTCATTCATTCAGCAAACACGAATCCCTTGCTTAATTCAACCACAACCACGAGCTCGCCATCCTACTTTCCTCGTTGATCACGGGATCGCCTTCATGCAGCGGAGTCGTAGAGCCTGCTGACGATTGCATCCAAGATGGATGGGCTGGAAACATCTGATCACTTTGAGCAGACTACTACCGGTGAGCTGCCATCCCTAGCTACGGCTACTAGGACCACATCCGCGCTTGGACTAACCAACTTGGTCACCAGAGCAGAGCCCGTCACTTCTGACCATCATCCTCGACACCAATCCAGCGGCATGGTCTCTACTTGCCGACACTCTCTCACTGTCCACAGTGGTGGCGAACCTCCTCGTCTTCATCAACGCCCATCTTGCCTGCAACTACACCAACAAAGTCGCTGTCATCGCCAGTCACCCTGACAAGGCTCAATGGCTCTATCCATCCCCCGTCGAACAAAAAACTTCCGTCTCCTCCACACCGTCCAAGCGCACCAACGCCACCGATGAAGACACCGACCACCCGTCCAAGCGCCTGAAGCTCAACGGCCCCGAGGATCCATCCACTAGCGACCTCTCAGGCTCTCAGAGCGGCAGCAAATACCGCCCTTTCCGCCTGATTGAAGAGGCTCTCCTCTCCAACCTTTCCAACCTCTTCAATTCCACTACCCCAGAATCACTTGCGACTTCGGGGAGCACTTCAACGATGATCGCCGGTGCCCTAACACTTGCACTCACCTATATCAACCGCGAATCCACCGCCTACGCCGAATCCATCGTCGGCGTCGCCACCGATCCCACAACACAGCAAACAGCAGACACCTCATCCCCGGCCCGCCTGCAATCACGGATCCTCCTGATCTCAGCCTCCCCCACCACCGACCTCGCCCACCAATACATCCCCATCATGAACTCCATCTTCGCCTGCCAACGGCTCTCCATCCCCATCGACATCCTCGCCATCCCACTCCCCACAAATCCAACCACCACCACCTCCTCCTCCTCCTCCTCCGGCACATCAACCAACACCACCGTCTTCCTCCAACAAGCCTCCGACGCCACCTCAGGCATCTACCTCCCCTTCCTCTACCCCCCAACCCCAACAAAGACATCCACCTCACAAGCCCTCCTCACCCTCCTCCTGGGGCCCCTCCTCCCCTCCCCCCAAACCCGCACACACCTCACCTCGCCCACACTGATCAACATCGACTTTCGCGCGGCCTGTTTCTGCCACCGCCGCGTCATCGACCTCGGCTACGTCTGCAGCATCTGCCTCAGCATCTTCTGCGAGGTCCCTGAGGGCCGCGAGTGTCTGACGTGTGGAACGAGGCTGGAGCTGGGTGAAGGCGTGGGCCGCGAACCGCGTGTCGTGGGCGGGAGGCGGAAAAAGAAGAAAAAGCTGCGGGGCTTGGGTGTGGATGGGGCAGAGGGAACTCCGTCAAGAGTCGGGACGCCCGTCGCTGGGTAGACGTCGCGACTTATGTAGCAATAACTTGTGAGAATGGCTGTCCAGCGTGTCGCAGATTCCAATATGTCGAGTCACATATCAAAGGAGACATATAGAATGATATCACTTCTAAAACTAGGTTCTAAAGATTGTGTCTGCCAGCAGTGACGCAGCTATTGATACAATTCACCTCTACCAGCCACGGGCTTCATTATCGACTCGTACTTTGATCCATAGGCCATTTGATTCATGCTCGCCAGTTAACGCCGCGTCTCGGATTTCGTGCCACTCATCTGCGCCTCCTTTCAGTATCATTATCATCCACTCACACTGGTCATCGGGCTGACATAGTGCTTGCTTTGTGTAGCTCGTGGCTGAGTCTTCTCGAAATCCGCTCCTGCATTGCCTTGGCGAAATAGGTAGGGCCGGTCTGCTCCTAGGAGGCCTTCCGGTCAGAACGTGTGCGCGAGAGTCGTCCGCCTTGGGCGATCGACCCGCCGCCCTTATTGCGCGACATAACGCAAACAGGCTTCCGCTCTTCACTGTGCATCGAGGCAATAGCAAAAGAGTCGGTGTTGTGCGCAAAGTAGAAGTAGATGCCATCCTTCATCTTCTTCACGGCAAGGATGCCGATCGCACCAGGACAGGGACTCATGCGGACGCCTGGATGACCAAGGAAATCTTCGGCAATCATATGATGTAGAGCCTCGTCTTCGGAACACTCAACCAGAGTCCTCTTCTCCTTCTTGTGAGGATAGTAGACACGGTCGGCCGCAGCAGCTGCTGCGGAGGTGGTGGCCATGTGTTCGCCTGTGCCGCTGACGACAGTGGCAACTGAGACTTGTTCTGGGTCTTCGGGATCCTTGGGGATGACCGCGGTACCCACACCAACAAGAGCAGCTGGGCCACATCGACCTTTGTGCTTCATACCGATACCACCCGAGGAAGACCCAGCCGCAATGTTGCCCCATCCATCAATGGCGATGGCACCCACAGTATCGACGATATTGTCGTCTCTGAGATCACCGCCCTGGCTAGCATTCATACGAGGCACATGGAGGTGTTCATCACCAGAGCCATCGTAGGAGCCACTGACTCTTGTACGTCGTGGCGGAGATGACTCCCACTCCATGTCGGCATCCATCGCCTCGCCATTGTCGTCTTCTTGCATCATCATACGTTGACCAATATTGGGGGCATCGTAGTATCTGACGTTGGGGTATGGTGTAGAGCCCGCTTTGGCGTGCAAAGCCTCTGCCGGCAGATCAGCTGCAGATGCAACAAGGGGTCTTGAGGGAGTCGGGATACTGGACAACGAAGGTGGTTCATCTGGCGTTGTTGGCGGGCTGACGGCGTGCTCGTCAAAAGCTTTTGCCTTGTTGTCCTTATTGGAAGAGTTCTTCCTAGAAGCACCTTTTCGTTCCCGAGCTTCTTTCTCAGCCACGGATTGAAGATCTTGTTTCCATTTGACATATCGCTCTCTGGCGACATCAGATATCAGGAACTCGTGCGGCACAACAGCCATGCCGACCTCGGAGGCGAAGTCTGCGACTCCATCTCCCACCAGTAGATTCGGCGGAACACGAGAGAGTGATAGAGGCTTTATTGACTCCGCTAATACAACTCTTGCTAGGGCGATGGGGTTCTTGATGTCTGCAAACGAGTGTTAGTAAGGCTGAGGTGAATCGACTGTAATGGACTTACAAGAAGCAGCGCCAATGGCACCGCTACGACCGAGATAGTCAACTATAGTAGCATCGCACTCGACATGACCATCCATGTTGAGGTTACTGCCGTAGCCAGCGTTGGTGATCTCTCGATCCTCGAGAACGCGAATGCACATCTCAACGGCATCTGTAGCCTCCCCTCCATTCTTTAGTATGGTCATTCCAACCTTGGCGGCATCGTTGCATGCGGCGAGATGATGTCTTTCATTCTGATACGAGTGGTAACCAGCTCCGGCATGAACAAAAATCGCGCAAAGGTCACCACCGTCGGGGCTTCGGTGGCGGGGCGGCATCGAATGGCTCCTGCTAGGAATGCAAAGCGAGCATTGAGTTGGAAGCCTTGATGAAGAAATGGTTTCAGAGTACAATGAATGCGGCTAGAGATGGGACGTCGATGCAATATTGGCAGTGCTTCGATTCAGTGAAGCAGTTACTTCGAACCGTAGACCGAGTACTGAGCAGTTGATGGAGTTGGGTGAGGCAAGGCTGATAACAACCAGATGCAGATAGACAGGTCAAAGAAGGGAGCAGGGCTGGTGCCCGAACAAATGAATGTGTTCAAACTGCTGGCAGTACTACTATGAGGTACTGCATGATCGGACGTCAGGTGGTGGAAGACTTTGGTGCTCGTGGGAGATTCATAGCAACATGAGGGTTGTACCTGCCGCCACAGACCGCGTGGGACACCGACTACTTCACTCCACCCCCGGGCGTCTATCTTGATGCGCGCTTGCACCTAGATTGTCATGGAACTAATCTTCTTCTGTACGCCTGAGGTATTCTCCTTTTCTCCTCGTGCGAGCGAGAGAACACCGTCCACAGCCGAAACTGGAAAGCAGAGGTAGAGCCCAGCCAGAGAAATCTTGGCGCTACGCAATGCTTACGGTGGCCGATAGCCGCCAGTAGCACCACACTATTCGTCTTAGGTCTCAGCGCTTGGTGGGGAGGCTGTGAGACTCAACTTCAAGGTGTTGCCTGCGACCTTGAACATTGCGCCGCTCGTTCACTGGTTTTGACAGCGGGTCGGGCACATCTTGTCATGAGTTGAAGCCATTCTGTACCTCATTCTCCTATAATAGCTCCACCCCGCGCAGCCGGGTAGTCCGCCAACCCACCACTCACCATGGCGGCCCAGACTCCGGCCGTTGTCATGGACAAGTATGCGGTCCCTGCTCAGAAACAGCTAGTGGCTAACAGTCTACAGCGGCACCGGCTTCTCCAAGCTGGGTGCGTCTCGTGCTCTTCCAGTCGCTGCATTCATCTGACAACACACCAGGTTTCGCCGGCAATGATGCCCCCTCCTTCGTCTTCCCTACAGCGATCGCCTCCAAGTCTGGCGCAGGCGGAACGAGCTCTGGCTCTGGCCGGCCAGCCGTTGCGAATAAACCCTCATTCTTGACTGGCGGTGCCCAAGGTTCCAATGTGGCCGCAAAACGGGGCACAGAAGATCTGGACTTCTTCATTGGTGACGAGGCCCTCGCTGCCGGAAACAACCCTGGCTATGGCATTCGATACCCTGTTAGACATGGACAGGTTGAGAACTGGGACGATATGGAGCGTTTCTGGTCCAACTCCATCTTCAAGTATCTGAGAGTCGAGCCAGAAGACCACTACTTCCTTCTCACCGAACCGGTACGAGCCTTGCCTGGCAATGACAACGTCCAAGCTGACAGAACAATAGCCGCTCAACCCCCCCGAGAACCGCGAGAATACCGCCGAGATCATGTTCGAGTCCTTCAACTGTGCCGGTCTTTACATTGCCGTCCAAGCCGTGCTTGCTCTTGCCGCATCTTGGACCTCTTCTAAGGTCACAGACCGATCTCTGACGGGCACTGTTATTGACTCTGGTGATGGTGTAACGCATGTTATCCCAGTCGCAGAAGGTTATGTCATCGGTTCCTCCATCAAGAGTATACCGATCGCCGGCCGGGACATCACATACTTTGTTCAGAGCCTGCTCCGAGACCGCGGCGAGCCAGACAGCAGCTTGAAAGTATCAGAAAAGATCAAAGAGGAGTACTGCTACGTCTGCCCCGATATCGTCAAGGAGTTCGCTCGCTACGACGGCGAGCCAGAACGCTTCCTGAAGCACACCGTTACGTCTCCCAATGGTCGCACTGTACAGGTCGATGTCGGCTACGAACGATTCCTGGCTCCCGAGATCTTCTTCAACCCCGAGATCTACTCCTCCGACTTCCTAACTCCTCTCCCAACTGTTGTCGATGGTGTGATCCAGTCCTCTCCAATCGATGTACGAAGAGGTTTGTACAAGAACATTGTCCTGTCGGGCGGTTCAACACTCTACAAAGACTTTGGCCGCCGGTTACAACGTGATATCCGTCATCTTGTCGACGCTAGGATACGCGCATCCGAAGCACGGAGCGGAGGTGCAAGAAGTGGTGGCCTGGACGTCTCTGTCGTAACACACAAGCGTCAAAGACACGGTCCATGGTTCGGAGGTAGCTTGCTGGGTCAAACCCCTGAGTTCAGAAGCTACTGCCACACCAAAGCTGAGTACGATGAGGTCGGGCCTAGTATTGTGCGGAGATTTGCTCTGCTTGGTGGACCAGGCAGCACCTAGACATGACGCCGGAACGGGAAGATGACGCGAACAGCATGATGAGATCATCCAAGGGCGGATGTTGATACAAACGAAAAGCACTCTAGATGATGCCCCATCCTACTACATTTGAGTCTCCTCACTTCTCTTCTCACAACCACGATGATGGCTCTGCGGCTCATACTTTCAAGTCAGCTGCCTCACCCTGTGCATTCTTAGGGACGCTGCTTGCCTCCGAGATCAAGGTCTCTGTTCTCGCCCCGTTCGCGGTGCCAACGATGTTCACCAATCCCTGCCCGGGCTTACTGCTATCGGCAGCATCCCCTTCACCTTTTGTCGGCACATCCCCGTCAACAAACCTCCTCTTCTGCTCCTCGTACTTTTCATTCTCCACCCTCTTCAGCACGCACAACCCCTCCACATGCCCCGTCTGCGGGAAGAAATCCCACCCTTGCAATTCCTCAACCTCATACCGATACTTCCCCACCTCCACCCCTCCCATCCTCCGGTGAACCTCCATACCACCGTTGCCTTCGCCTTCGGCGCGCCAGAACCCCTCGCCCACATACCCCCTTACCAAACAGCCCACATCCCTCGCCTGACTCCCCACATTGCAGCTCACGTAGCACACGCGCGCCGGCCCGTAGCGCAGCAACTGCCTCAGGAAATCCACACTGCAGCCCTTGCGCGGCGGGTCGATGACCAGACAAGTCTGCGCGGCGGGGAACGGCACGTCCGCAAACAATGCGGCGGCGTCCGCCTCAATAAAGCCCGCGTTCGTGATGTTGTTGGCGGCGGCGTTGGCGCGCGCGGATGTCACTCCATGAGGATCCAGCTCGATGCCCAGCACGGAGGTAAAGAGCGGGGAGAGTGTGAGTGCAAAGAGGCCGGAGCCGCAGTACGCGTCGAGGAGGTATTTGAGTTTTGGGGTGGGGGACGCGGGCTGGATGAGGGAGCGCACGTGCGAGAGGAAGGAGGGGAGAATGCTGTTGTTGTTCTGGAAGAAGGAGCCGGCGCGCGTGCTGAAAGTGTAGGCGCCGATTTGCTCGATTGAGGTGGTGGTGCTGTCGGTGGTGTAGGTTTTGGTATCGGTTATGAGGGTGGGTGGCTCGGTGGTGGAGATCGTGTGGCGGGCCACAGAGACAGGGCCGGTGGACGTGCGTTTGATTTCTGTTTTGTCGGGGGGCGGGATGGACTCGAGAGAGAGTGGCGGGAGGGGAGAGTCGCAACTGGGCCCTGCAGGTTCGCTGGAACGTAGAGCTTCGTTGTAGGAGCGCCGGGTGGTTTCGCGGAGGAGGATGGTGGCCCCGCGCTTGTACTTTCCAATGTTGGCTGCTACTTTGGCCCGCTCGATGCTCAAGCCTTCTTGCAGGATGGGAGTGCCGATAGGACAAGACTCGATATCCATTACCTGGCGGAACCCTTTGCGGGTGAAGCCGATTGGGGGAGTGGCGGTGTATGCGGTATTCCTGCGTGGGCCGTCGAAATGAGGAGTCAACTTGGTGCGGTAGCCGTATTGTAAGGGCGAGGAGCCTGTGTCGTCAATGGCTGGTAGCTGGTCAGAGGCCAGACCAGAGAAATTGCGGTAGGCCTTCTCGACAATAGTCTTCTTGTGTATGAGCTGCTCGCTGTAAGGGATCATTTGGAGTTGGCATCCGGAGCATTCGCCAAAGTATTTGCATTTTGGTGTTATGCCTTCTCGAAGGCTAGAGGGGGTCAGAACTTCGACAAGGTCGGAATGAGACCACTTTCCGGGGACTGCTCTCCGAGGTGCTTTGGCTATGACCTTTTCTCCTGGAAGCGTGAAAGGTACGACGTAGACGTGTTCTGATGTTGGATGCCTCGCCAAACCCTCACCGGTGGCTGACAGTTCTTCAACGAGAAGCACAATTTCACGAAATTCACCAGCATTTCCGGAATCTGGTTCATCTTCCACCTTGGGAACTTGGGTATGGTCATTGGGTTGTGTAGGTCGAGGCCTTCCAAGAAGCTCTTTTACTTCGAATCTCAGCACATCATCTGTACCACAAGTGTCCAACGAGGATGGTGGTGGCTTATGATCTACCTTGCGGCGTTTCTGTCTCCGATCATTGTCGATCCAGGCCTGTTTTGCCATAGCTATTTCCGTGGCGTCTGCGTACGGATCTAGTCCTTCCGGCTTTGACGAATCTCGAATCTGTGATCGATGTCTAGAACGCGTCGAGTATGGTTCCCAAGAACCAAAGTTGGCCGCCTGGACCGCTTCATCAACTGATGCGAGCTCCCGTTTCAGACGATCTCGTTTTCCGGTGGCTCTGATAACGTCTGGTCGCGTCGGCACAGCTGCTCTGTTTGCGAATCGATCTAAGCGGGCCAAAGGAGCGCGAATATCTGCAACAGCTTCGTAGTACTTCTGCTTGAGCAGACCTTGTAGCTCCCCACGGTCTGATTGATATGTGTTGAGTACGTGTTGAAGGATGGTTATGGAGCGCTCCGAAATGTTCAATGCGTGGGAGAAATTTTTGATGTACCACTCTGGTTTTGGTGGTGGCTTTTTGGCACCGTATGTAGCTGTCTTCAAGTTGTGCAGCTTATGTTCAGCAGACTTGAGATGAATTTGGAGAATGTTCCGGCGTTCAGACGCAGACGTCTGTGGCAGTGACCGAACTAGGTCGACAGCATCATCCTGGAATTTATGTTTGTGGCCAGCGAGAAGAGATTCGAGATCTTCTTGCTGCTGCAAAACCCGACTGGTCTCTCGCTTGGCAATCAGGGGGCTCCAATCACTTCGAGATGTAGTTGTGGACGAGCTCGACCTGGTGCCAAGATCGTATCTCTGAGGCAGTTGAAGTCGTCTTACCTGTGTGCAGCGATGAGACATGGGTCAAAAGAGACGACCGCAAGAATGAATTGAATATCCAATGGCCAGAATGAAATATGTCAAGAAAGCGGACTCTTTGATTGGAGCAAAAATATCACAGGTATCGTCTACACCCTAACCCTAACCGTCTTCAATCTATGCTCTGGACCCTACATCGTCGAGTTGTCAAATTCTTGGATCTGCAACAAATGCCACCATATATTCCGAGTCGAATCTCTGTCCGTGGATCAGGTTGTTGTTCGCTGCTGTATGTTGATAGACCCGGACGGTGTCACAACTTCGCGCTGCGCCCTTCTTTCTCGGCTTCTCGAAGCACTCGCTTCAAAATCTTGCCAGATGGAAGTTTAGGAATGCTCTCCACGAACTGTATGCCACCCTCTAACTGCTTATACCGCGCGAGCCGCTCCTTCATATGTGCTTGAATGTCGTCGGCAGTCAGGCTCGAGCCTCGGCGTTTGACCACAAAAGCCTTCGGTGCTTCCGCGTCGTTCTCCAGCTTCTTGCCGATGACAGCGGCGTCGATGATGTCGGCGTGCGACAACAAGACTCCTTCGAGTTCTGCTGGCGCGACCTGGAAGCCGCGGACTTTGATCAGTTCCTTCACTCTTTCCTCGACGAACAACAGCCCTGTCTCTTTGTCCAGACGGAGGACATCTCCGGTCTTGAAGAAACCTTCGGAGTCCCAGCTCTCCTGTGTAGCTTTGGCGTTCTCAAAGTAGCCTTTGACGACGGTAGGCCCTTTGACGCACAGCTCTCCTCGTCCTTGATCAGTGACATCCTTTCCGTGCTCGTCTATGAGCTTCATCTTGTTGCAGGGTAGTGGCCGGCCAACGTTGCCCCAGGCGTTTTCCATCTTCCCAGCTGACTGCTTCCTCGAAACATCCCAAGGTACGATGGCAGCCATGGAAGTAGTCTCTGTCATTCCCCAGACTTGTCCGAAAGTTGCGCCAGGAGATAGTAGTGCTTGGAAACGTTTCTGCATGCTTCCATCCAAGGGCGCTGCACCAACCGTGCCATTTTTAACGCTTCTCATGCTGAACTCAGGCTTATACGTTTTCGACTTCTCATCGGCGAATCCGGACATGACAATGCTGACGACCATTGGCGGGACCTGGAAAACTATCAGTTGCAGGAACAGGCCCATTGTGCATGGGTACTCACCATGAAAGTTTCGGTGATCTGATACTTCTTGGTATATCTGAGATAGTTCTCGAGCTCGAAACGCCGCATGACATATGCTTCGCGTCCCTCCTTGATCGCCGATACCAGTACTTGTGGCAGGATCCCGACGTGGAAGAACGGCATGCAGAGTATGACCCGGTACCGATAGCTCCGTGGCCACGCTTCATAGAACATTTGATGTTCGGCCACCAGGTTTCGATGGGTTGTCTGTGCGCACTTGGGCAGTCCGGTCGTCCCTGAGGTGTAGTACAACTGAGCGACGGTTTCGCGAGAGATCTCTTCGTTGTCAAATGTGATCCAATCCTTCTCACCATACTCAAGCAGAGTTCTCCATGATTTCAGACCGCTGCCCTCTGGTACCTTCTGGCCTTCGACCGTATCAAAGACGAACAGCCGCTGTCCAACGGCAATGCCGTTCTCGTTAAGAGCGGTCGTCATGTTGGACAGGATCTCGGGCTCCGCGAAGACCCACTTGACTTTAGCGACCTTGACTCCATGGCTGAGCTCGTGCCGTGTATACGACGGATTTGTACCGACGCTCAAGCCTCCAGCGCCTATGATAGCAAGGATCAACAATGGATATGTGAGAGAGTTGAAGCTGTGAACACAGACTGTATCACCTTTTTGGAGCCCAGCCGCGTAGAGACCGGCAATTAGCTGTCGAACCAGACGTCTTGAAGTAGTGTGAGTATAGTAAACGGCCGGGTTCACCGGGTCGATGAGGACTGGCCTGTTGGTATCGTAGTCCGGGTCGTCGAATGTGAAGCTCACTACGTCCTTGTTCGATATGGGGTATGTCCCCGAGTCTGGTAAGGGCATCCTGAGCGTTGAGCAGCTACGCAGGGAGCCTGATCCGTCGATGGCTTTAGCACATGTGTGCTGTGAGATCGAAGACGATACGGACAGCACCGAAATATCTTGGAAGCTCCTGCATGTATTCGAAAGGTTTACCAAGTCCCACTGTCAATTGTAAGCACCGGCAGGCCTGGAGATGGCTGCAGCATATATGCAGACCGAACGAAGGACACCTCCCCGCAGGGATCTCATTAGCCGAGGGAAATCCTGTTGGTATCCCGCACAGCTTCAGCGAGTGTTTGTCGCCTACCTTCTCGAATCTTTGGCTTCATATGATCCAGACAACTATTTCGTGAGATTTGAAAACATTATAGTTCCGGCCTAGTCGTGGGCACGAAGCACAGTGATACACATCGTAAACAGTGAAAGGACCGGAGATATATCTGCATTATCCTGCGAAGCGATAGCGGAGCAGGGATATATTGGGTTTTCTGCGCCAAGGAATTGAATCCTGCACGCTGATTGGGCAGATCTCTGGCTTCTGA